GTTTTGTACTTGTAAATAGTTCCTATTCTAGAAATGCAATGTAGGAAGTATGCAATGTAATACGCTGGGTACCAGGGCCATAAAAATTCGAGCACGGAAAGAGATTCTAGCCGAGAAGACGCTCCACCGCATGCGCTTATGTACCTCTGGAACCCAGGGTAGCAATGTAAGATCTATGAAGAACACTGAAAACGACATATAATGCTCTAAAATGCTAATGTAGATGGCTGCGTTCACTTCTGATGCCACTCAATATTTATTGTCTCTAAAATAGTCTTTATTGCTATTAAGGCTTTGAAAAATATTTTTGATGTAATTTTTCTTCCAAAGTTGCTTTTGGGGCAGTGGTTGCAACAATCTCAGGGCACCTCTTCGAGCGGATGGAAGGATACGGCATGACTGTTAATATTTGACAAGGAACATGGTCTAGTCTTTGTGTATGACTTTGCCTTTAGAGTGTTCTTTCTATCCAAACCATGCCTGTATATTACCAAATCTTTTACCTCAATTATTCTTTCCTGGAAACAGTCTCTACATATTACACAAAACCCTATTGGTTTGCAAAAGAGTAGGAAGAAAGCGTTGGAGGCCCTAAAAGCATTTTTTGCTTCGGAAATCAATTCTTCCAAGAGAAATTAGTCATTGCAAAGGAATAAAAGTAAGTGCATGAACATAGCTAGGAAGAGGTTTATCAATTAGTAAATGAAAAAGAAAGGCAAATTTGACAGATGAGAAGAAGATAGGATTCGCACATGTTGGCGTTTTGGCACCTTTTACAATTGTGACAAGAGAAACATGAGTAATTTTGGGTTTATGGCCCTAGCTAATCTGAGAAGTAGCTGGCACATTACTGCAAAATTGTCACCTGCTACCAGATTTCCAAGTAAAATGACTAGCCTTACATACGGAGAATTACTTTAAAGTGCAGGTTGTTTTGTTATTACCATCTAACCTGCCTTTGCCATCGCACGCTCAATCAGTTTAGGTGGCTTTCATAAATCACTATAATAGTTATGAATGTGGAGTTGTTACATAATCAGGAGAGGCTGCAAAAACTGGACAGGTGGTTTTCTATTTTGAACAAGCCCCGAAAACTGTTCATTCATTTGTAACGGGATAAAGTCACATGTTCTGTTAAGTCCTGTTGAGTCTTTTTATGGCAATGTGTCTGTCTTTCAACATGTATTGTCACGCTCGTATTGTCCTGTTAATTAGCTTCTGTTTATGTTATTAGTATGTGTTGATCACGATATAAGTTAGTCTTTCTGTTGAATCATTAGAGTTAAGATCAAAGAAGGAGTATCTTTTGTGCGTTACTTGTTCGGGGCTTAGGCCCTTTGGCCTAGCCCATCGCTCCATCAACGAGCTGGTTATTAACTGGCTCTTCACCGTCATGACAAGAACCCTTATAGTTACACATTTTCCGGACATATTTACGTAGTTTGAGGCTCGAGAATTCTTGATTATGGTCTGATTTAAAAACAAATTTCTTCAACTAGATACAACAAATTGTTTTTTAAGCCTAGGCAAAAGACTGGACATTTTAGTGGTCAGGCACTGGACATTTTAGTGGTCAGGCACATGAGATCATTTTTCTCCTCCGCTAGTCTGCGCGCAGGCTACACAATCATTTGCTCTCGGCCATCGCTTTCCATATCGGAACTAAATCGCTAATCTCTTTGCGATACTCCTTCTTTTCGTCGGATTGAATGTTAATGTTGATTCCATTTTTGCGCGGTGTTGACTAGGAAAGCGTGTTGAAGATTTGAATGTGGAAAATAAATAAACGCCAAATCCAATCTACTACATCAGTTGCGCGTGCGCGAACTGGAAAATGTTCAGTAGAGTTGAAAAGCGACTGAACATTTCTCTTCAACACCTACATATAAACAAAAGAATTTAAATTCTGTCAAATCGACTAAACAACACTCAACATCGCTGAACAAGACTGGACAAGGTGGCAAAAGGACACAATATTTACGCTGGACATTTGTTCAGTGCATGTTCAGTGAAAATGTCCAGTCGTTTTGCAGGGGCTTTAGAACCCTCGGGAGTGGGTACCTTGAAATATTTAAAGGTGTTGGAATGTGCCATTATTCAGAGGAACATATTTCTGAAAAGTGCCGGATCATCAGTATCATTTTTTGAAAAATGTGTCGAACTATGGGTACCATTGGAAGAAACATGCAGAATTATGGGTACCATTTTGGGAAAATATTGCAAAATAATTAGGAGGGAGTTTTAGTATTAGCAATGTCCAGTTAGAGATGAAAATATGAAATGCAATATTGAGATTTTGGGAAAAAGACTTGCAAAATTTGTTTGATGATTTTGTTGTGCTTTAAAATATTATTTGCTTTGCAGAATTACAAAATGGCACGTCTCCGTCCAAAATTAAGCTTAGCTACCCCTCAAGCATAGAATACTAAGTAGCAGTTTTACGCTGCATTGTACGCAAGAAGCTGGGAGATGTTCTTACTTAGTTAATCGAGCAAAGTCGCTGTTGACACAAGTGCACACATCCTTCATCGTTCCATCTTGTAGTTTCGAGAAATTTTCTTATACATAAAATCTTCTATTTACATATGATTCGAGGTTTTCATTCAAAATACCTTTCTCAAGATTTAGATGTAACTTTTAAATAAAAGGTATCAGAGCAACTTGATTTTGCAAAAGGCGATAACTTACAAAACAATTCTTGCCTCTCTCTTTTTACACAAGCTGAACCAAAGAGTAGACACATAACTATTTCTTATAGAGCTGCATGCTCAAATGTACCTCGATGAGTTTCATTGGTTGCTTTTTTGCAATGAAAACATCAATGCATTTGGTCACTGCTGGCCCCTCCTTTCTTTTCTGAATCTCCTTCGCAATTCTCTTGCCCTGAGCTCACTTCAAATGATTCTCTGAGGGCCTCTGAGGCTCTGGCATTCCAACTGCACTGGGTAATTCGCAAAAAGTAAAATCTACCGCCGGGGCAATAAATGAAGGAAACGTATTCCCAGTTCAGCTAAAAAAGAAATTTTTAGAGCCCAGATAATTTCGAGAAATTTTCGACTTGCACGTGCCAATCGAATAAATTAAATAATATAAAATCCATGGTTCTATGATAGAACTTCTTTTGAATGCATTAAAATTCTATATATATTAAAGAAGTTGAATATGTCTAGTAGACTTATTTCAGAGTTTAAATCTATTAACATAACCTTTTTACAGAATACAAATCCACCATTGTCATTTATAAAAAACAAAATTATTCTGAGTAACGTATACTTCAAATTGTGAACAGTTGCTATTAATCATTAACAAAGTTACAACAGTTATAAACAAATTATTAACAAGCTATGTAAAAAAACCATTAAAATGGAACCTACACTATTTAAAAATATGAGCTATAAACTCAATGCAGCTTTACCATTTATAATTTCTTTCCATTTTTGGCTCTCGTTCATTCAAATCTTGAATAGTCATCTTCTTGTTAGCATTCACCAATATTCTCAGCTAGTTCTTAAAAACGCAAAGAGCATCTGGCTTGAAAGCTCGTTTTCCCCCGGAATCCAGTCAGGGTCAAAGAAGTGGGTCAAAGCTAAGATGTTAAAAGATTTCCCTCACCTCAAATGGTAGTATTTCTTGACAATAACCCTCAAATGCAGAGGTGGCGCCAGAAATCTTCCGACGGAGGGGTTGGAGCTTCCGACAGGGGGGCTAAAATGACTAAAATAAGCAGTTTTCGTACGTTATTTTGTCAAATTTGCTCCGACAATAACCTAAAATTTCCTCCGATGGGGGGGCTAGATGCTTCCAACAGAGGGGCTGTAGCCCCTCAAATGGAATGGTAGCATAAGAACCGAAATTATGTACTTGGTGGCATCCATTTCTTTGTGCTGGCCTGTGCTGCTCGCCTGGTCCTACTTTGACAAATTTCTTCGCCATTGATTGTTGTTGATTCGGTTATGATAAAACATTATATTTTGTAATGTAATTATTTGTAAAAACTTTTGCAATTTATTTTATCGTATAATTTTAATGTTATTTACTGTTATTGTTGTTGCTAGTTAAGTTTATTATTTGTTTGAATTAACAGGGCCGCCGGACGCAGGTTTGAACGGGGGGGGGGGGCCAAAACGAATAAAAAGGGCACAAATATATTTTTTTCGAAACATTAGTAAGTACCAAAAATGGTACAGATTTCATGGTAATTTAGAAATTTATTAGAGAATGACACACGTTGGACATAGTGAGAATTATCTTCGCTGAAAGTAGATATGCCTATTTAGTCCATTTAGGGAGCACACACTCTTGAACATAACATAGTCAATGAAAAAAATTGACAATAGTTTTTCTATTGACTATGATCATAATTAATGGTATTGTTTTTTGAGAGTGTTTTCTATGCATGATTTGTACCTCCATGTATGATTTATACCTCTATTACAATACGCTGTACTTATTTTTCCTTATAGTTTGCAGTGTAAATGGATTTGGCCCCGGGTAAGAAGCAAGCACACATCCTTCTTTTAAACTTGTGGCAGGCGAATTATACTAAACAAGTGTTCAAATTGATTGCAACATACCAATGAATCTAACCCAAAATATGAACTGAATGGAATTTTGAATTCTTAGTCTTTATATATTTCAATGCCAATTCCAATCCCTCTCCCTTTCAAAGCAAAGTTTCAGTCTCTATGATTATCGAAAGCTCGTTCGAATAATCATTTTAATTTTTTTGATTGTACATTTAAACGATTTAGTCCCCCTTGGTATTTGCGCCTTCCCATCGCCACTAAAACATATAATTTGTTCGCCTCCATGGAATATTTTGCGAAAAGTGAAAGTGAGGTTTCACCTATTTCCACTTTTGTTATCAAACATGGAAAAATGAAATTTAGCCCTTCGTGTTTCTTCCAATCGGGCCTTTAAGGTTCAGAGAGATTATTGTTTTGACTTTTGTGGCGTATCAAATGGTGATTATTTGGGCCTATGGAATGTATGGATCCTTGAGTAAATCTGATGATACTTTAGAGAGCGCTAACCACTTCAATGTAAGCGCTGGTGCAGCCCGACACAAGTGACGGAAGCAGATAACAATGGGAACTGGTACAGAGTCAATACCATTGTCAAATTTTATGTCCGTCTGTCAACATTGCAAGCGTACAAACTGTGACCTGCCGCTTCCGTTAGTGACTTCCTCGCTGCTGCGGAGAAGTTAATGGCCGGGATTTGCCTCGGAGCTGAAAAGATGGCAACTACAATAGCATTCATTTTCAAATGCCTGTTTTTATGTCTTATATTAAAGATTTCAAATGCAAGTAAGTATAACAAACAATTTTCGACGCATAGCTATGTCGAGATATAAGAATTAATAGCTTGACACGTTCAATTTATTTTGTTTTACAGAGTTCCTACCATGTTTGTTGTCATTTATTCTCCATGTAATCAATTGAAGAGTTAAATTTGTAATGATTTGAACAATTTGATTATAAAAGTTTCCTTGTTAAGGTTTAGTCCAAGTCAATCTCGAAATTCCATAAACATTAACTGTAGAGTATGTAAGGAATGATATAACGAAATTATCACAAATGTTAATGAAACGCAAGACAAATGATGAGGGGAAACAGGCTTTTTAGTTTTCGATACTATGCCAGTTTGATAATCAATTGCCTACAGAGGACTTACTGAATTCGAAGGATGGAAAACACAGGAAAACACCCCTTTTGACTGGTCCAAATGGTTCAACATCGAGAGTTAGGCCTGCCCGATAAAATGTGCTAGATTGGACAGGTTTTGCGTTTGATATTAAAACCCTTATGCGCAGTGAATAAAACGCTCAAAAGATAAAGAATGGGCTCAAGGACTCTTGGCAGTTTCAATACATGTCTCAATGACTTTGCGTGACTTTGCTTCTCTCAAGAAACAAATTCATAAGGTTGCCTTTTATAAATTGATTTACAAGCACAGTCGAAACGCAAACTAATATAAGATGATCATATTCTTATTAGTTTTAAAGAATTGTTTAGGAATTAAGGTTTCAACATATTTGCAACATTGAATCGTTCAAAAGTCCGAAACAGTCACCCATTTTTCTTCCGACACCAGATGAAAGGGAAAAATGTTTGTGTCATAATACTGCGCAGGGGCACTGGTTAATGCTAGGACGTAATGTGCTCAAGGAGGGGGGAGGGGGGGGGGGCCCTGTTAGTCTGTGAAACAAATTTGATCGTGGAAGGATTTTGACCATTTAAGGATTTTATACATTGGTGTTTTTGCAAGCATTAATCGTAACGAGATATATTCAAGTTCTTTGTTACCTTGTGATCGTAAGCTGTACGATCTTACTTCCACCATTTGCTAAGCTGTCCTAGCACAGCATTGGACTTCTTGCCCACAGAATTTTCAAATTTGGATATCAATGGCAGCAATGTGCCGCCAACGATTGTGAACCAGCTCCCAGGACGTAGCATTCCTCAGGGCTGTTTTCTTGGCCCTCGCTTTTTATAACAACCTTAACGCCTTTGGAAATTTCTAAGGTAAGCATGTTTACTGTTGAAGTTCACGTGACTTTTACATCGTAGGCGCCGACTTTTATTTTTCCTGGGGGGGGGGGGGGGGGGGGCGGCTCAAAATTTAAATTAAAAAAAATTAAAAAAAGTTAAAAGGTAGAGAAATTCCCTGTCGCTTTAATAACGTAATACAACATATGTAGTATGTATAATAACAAAACAAAACATTTAAATAAAGCAGATATAACATCATGGTCTACAGTATCATCAGTTCAATTCTTTGATTAGTGTTTCTTCGATAGAATAAACGTGTTTTTTCAGACGGAAGATCTCGAGATAAAATCGTCTAGCAACTCATCAACTGGAATGCTAGGGATTTATTTGATTCAAATTATTCTTTAACAGTAGATAAATTTCACATTTTTAAGACTTAGAATATACATATACCTTCCTTCAGCTGTTCTGCGCTGAATTTTCAGCCTAGTGGCGGATTTCAAACGAAATTCCCAGGGGGGGGCTGACCCCCCCATAGCAATTCCCAAGGGGGTGGGGGGTCAATTCCTAATTCATAATTGATCATTTCTTTGTAAGCATGCATTTGAAAAAATAGTGCCAATCCTAGAAAGTCAGGGTACCCTTATATAATCTAGTTACGTGGGCTCAGATATCAAACTAGTGAGAAAATAAAATCACTTATAATCATTGTAGGCGAAGGGCTTAACTGGAAGAAGAAATTCAAAACTGTCAAGAGGACAGTTTACAGGGGTCTTTCATCTTTAAAACGTTAAAAAATATACCTGCACAGTCTCAGTCCTGCAATGTTTATCGTGCTCTTGTAGAAAGACACATTAAACTTTCCACCCAGAATCAAAGAGGGAATCTTTTCAGCGTTTTCAAAACAGAACCATTTCCATGCAGTGACGGACACTTGGCCAACTATTTTAGGGGCAAGCCAGATTTTTTTATAAGATGACGTCACATTTGGCCTTTGTCTTACAACAAAAGACCATTTTTTTCAAAAACATTTTGGGCAGGCGACCGCACCTCTTCGCCCCCCAGGTGTGCGCAACTGTTTCCGTGGTCGATAGAGCCAGCGTGGAAGAGGAGCTAGATTACCTTTAGACGTTAGTTGATGGTCCAATGAATAGTTTGAATATGTTCAATAATCTGCCGATGTTGGCTAAAGGTGGCCACAAAGGGTGTGTAGGTCACCATAAGCATATCGGTTGTCAAAAGGTTAGGGGGCTTAGTATGGTTCTTGCCCGAATATTATAGATGAATTGTAAGTGCCCGAATGGAGACTGAGATGCGTTTTTAACTGATTAAGGGGGCCGAAGCCATCCCAGCCCCTATGAATTTTACGCCTATCAAGGTAAATTTCTGGATAGGAAAATTTTCTGTCTCCAGTTGGAATCAGAACAGTCTCTAGCAACAAATGTTACCATGAAAATAAAAGGTACAACAAAGGAGACCATTCTTTACCTGGTTGTTTTCTAAGTAGTGAATAATGAAACCTTCATTGTTGTTTCTTAGCTCTTTGAAAATTAAAATTTATTAAACGTCAATTTTCCGCCTCACGTGAACAATATCTGATATTTTCCGTTTCGAAATTCCGTTGTCATGGCTTAGCATCGAGTTCTTGTATTTCAGATCTTTGCAACAAAGTGAAATGCGAAAGCTCATTCGAGCGATGTGTTGGGAATTTAACCCACGCGAGCTGCATCTGCAACTTCGGTTACTACAGGGCCAGCGGAAATGGCCGATGTGAATGTGAGTATGCGCATAGTGCCACCAGTATTTTTCCCCTGTTCTGTTTCTTTTTCCTATTGAAGTGGTTGCTGTTGCTGTTTTTGCTGTTGCCAATGTAGCTGTTGCTTTTGTTGCTTATGTTCTTCACGCAAAACATAGCTCTATGACGCCGAAGTTTGTACCTATCTGTTTGTAGGGCATCAGTTACTATTGTAAGACAATGTAGAACGTAATCTTATTGGTCTTATTCTCTAAATTTTGTATACCGTAAATGAACTGATAGGTCCAATGCTATACATGTAGGAAATCGTCTTTAAAACATATTGTTGGCATATAATTTTGTTTTCTTTAAAGAATAACAGTTTGGCAAAGATATGGGGAGGGGCACACTTGTTCTTATTACAACTTTAATCAAATTTTATGCAACGTCTACCAAATGAAATTTATGAAAGCCAGCTCGTTTAGCCCAATATCATCCTCAATGTTAGGGAGGGGATGGAAAATCACCTTAGGGACGGCTCCTTTCATGAGGACCATCGCTACTGGAGGCGTGTGACACCTCCCATAAGATCAAGTTCCGCTGCAAAAAAAGACGTTTATAGCCATTTAGGGTTATTATCACCTGTTAGTGCTCATTTTCTTTAATGTTAATGTTTTAGAACTTGTTAACTACTTTGTTTAACGTTGTTTTTCTTTAATTTTCTTTTTGTGAAAAAATGATTTAAAGAACCAAAACCAGTACTTTGTTAGAATTGGCTAGCTAAGGGATAACGTACAGTTCATAATTCATCATTTTGTATCAAATCCTTGAAACTGTAACAAGTATTATTTTTTGCAGTGGAATGTCAAAAGTTCTATTGCTACCACGAGGGTACGTGTAAGCAAGGCCCAAATGGAAGAGTGTGCAGGTATTGTATTTGTTGCATTTGTTTCCACTTAGCATCCGAAGGTAGTTCTTAGGACACTGAGAAGCTTCTGCTTATCGAGCAATGTCCTGGTCCTCTCGATGTAGCCACACCTCGTGATTCCTACGACTGGAATTACAGAGAGCTGGCGACTCTCCTCGCTCTGGGTGAAAGTTTGGTCATGCAAGGGACTTTGGTCTTTAGTGGCGGCCTCTAACAACTGAGTCATTCTCGCACCATATTTGCATTTGCATGCTTTCATAAACTTTTTAAACCTGTCTGTGTAACAACGGGATAAGACAACTTGTAGGCAAGAGGACTCTTATATGGCAGTCTCGACTGTCAATGGTAGTGCTCACTTGCAGTACTTTTAGATTAGTCTCTTTTCGTTCTATGTTTTTTGTAAATTGTACAGTAAAGACAGCTGGTTGAAAATGGCTAGAAGCCACCTATAAATCAGGGCCTATTTTAGTGTGCAGTATTACACACTTTGTGCAGTATTAATTTAAAAATGTGCAGTATTGATTTCGAGAATGTGCAGTATTGAATTTTGGGATTTGTGAAAATGTCTAATTGCCGCTATCCCAGATTCTCGCTTTGTTCACAAAATGTGAATTTTCCCCGTCAGTTCGATATAGAGGTCATGTAATGCAAATCTCGTATGATCATCAGAAAGACTCTCTTATCAAAACTTAAAACAAAACGAAATGACTAGAAATTTCCGAAAATTGCAACAACAAAATTTCCTATAAAAAATGTAGTTATAATTGTGCAGTATTAAAAATTTCTTAAAATAGGCCCTGCTATAAATAATTCTATGAATATGATTAACTCTCGATTCCAATACATCACACTCATGTCCTAGAATTTTTAGATCAATTCTAGATGATATGCATGCTCTTGGGATGCAACTGGAACTTATGATAGTGGTAAAAAACGTGTGTCATAGCAACAGATAGCTTAAGAACTTGTGCAACCAAATTTATTCTTTGATATTTAAACAATTATTTGGTGGTACAAAACTTAAAAATGGTTTCGAAAGAAGCAAACATTAGAGTAAACTAAATCTTTTCGTCTGACATTTTTCAGATTAAAAAAACGTCAGAACATAGATCGAAAACTCTACGCCAGAATATTTTTATATACCCAGTCTTTGATATGTATTTATGATTTGAGAAATTACAGAAATGTTGTTGAATAATATTTAGGAGTGCAAATTTTCTGCCATTGTAATTTCTTAAAAAGGAATCATGTGGCCTTAAAGGGTCATAGATAGATACTTCATGTAGTATGTCTCACTTTTCAATCATTTTGAAGTATGTGAATTTAAATAATACATGAATCGACCATTTCTCGTCCTAACAGTTTCTAGTGACTGCCGATCACCTCGCGATCTTTACACGCTGAAATCCATGCTCCATATGGGTAGAATGATCGCGGCCAGCTAGTTAGGTGAAGTATTGTAAGTTCAAGGAGCTTTCGTGGGAATAATTCTTTTATTTTTCTAATATAAAGGTGTGTCTCGCCATATTCTGGAAATCGTTGTGAAAATGAGAAGAAGGTTGTCGTCCAAATTGCTGTTGGTTCTTCTGTGATGGCTCTAGTTCTTATTGTTACTCTGGTATTGATTTTGAGTAAGTTTAATGCATTTATTTATTTCATTTCTGAGTCCTAAGACAATATCAGATGCAAAAGTTTTTATAAAGGGCAGTAGATGAAATTGTGTAGAGAAACTGATGCATTACAGGAGTTATTGACTCCGGGTGTGTTTGTTCGATAAAGATTCTAAGAAGTTTTATGGTTACTGATGATAGTATCAGTAACGAGTTTTTTCGCTTGCAAGTACTCTTTTCTAAAGGCTTATACATAGGCCATACGACTTCAGCCCCCCCCCCCCTCCTCCCTTAACGGATGCATTTCCAAAGTGCAAGTCTAGTCTACATCTAGATGTAGACTTATCCAATGGCAGCACAGTATTTTAGTAACAAATAAAAATGCAAGTCATCACTTTACAAAAAGATCTCGACATGTATTTCTTACAAGTAGGATCTGAAACTTTCATTTGACAAATTTCAAAAGCTGCATAAAGTGGGTGTCTCAATCTTTCGTTATTGTTTGATCACCAATCCCACCTTTGTACAAAACTGCTAAGCTTTTATGTTGATAAATATACCACAGTTCTCTCATTTTCAATCGTATCCTTCCGAACTTGGGCTTTGACAGCCACAATTTTCAACCGCACTTTTTATCATGGCCTCCCCTTAACAGTTTTACCATACATCCTTCTCCTGAAGCTTTCTTAGAAGGTTTATCTTTTCTGTCACACTTGCCCACAATTTTGACAGTAAGTGACGGATTTTTTAAACCACTGTGTCTCAAAAACCGACCTAGAATTTTTATTTTCTCTTTCCCATACTGGAAATCAAAATCTTCGGCCTTGTCTATATCTAATTGTTATTGGGTATTGGTCTTTAATTTTGTATTCATCTATTTAACTTTCATGCAACTGGCGATTTGCTGTTGCACATGTGTGTTTCTTTGACGTGTTAGATTAAATAGTTTTGTTTTATAATGACCTTTTTTAGGGAGCAACTCAGAGAAGAAAGAAAAAAGCCACCCTTGGGATAAATGCAAGCAAACTGAAGAAACATTCCCCGTTTTCATTTCGGAATTGGAGATAGAAGAAGGGAGAGACCGAGAGGATTCAAAGCCTTCAGAAAGCACTGAAAGTGCTAATAGCAACACTGTTCCAGGAGCACACCACACGTATATGGAAATAACAGATTTTGGAGCAGCGCAGAATGGGCCTAAGTATGAAGTTGTTGCTGACGTTAATGTAAATGGGTCTCAATCCACTGAAAACGATGCAGGCTCTAGCATCTCTGCAGAAGTTGAAATGGAGATCCAAACAAACGTCGACGAAAGTTGCAAAGTGAAAGAAAGTGAAGATGCTGCAAAGAATAATGTTGTCGTTGCTCATGCGTACGTAAACAATGTAGCCGAAGAAGACGTGAAGGAAGAAGAAAGAAGCTGCACAGATGAAGAGTCGAGCTTGTGAGCGGGGTCTCAAGTATTGATAGGTTATAGACCTCGTGACTTTTCCAGTAGTTTTAATACTGTGACTAAAGGGAAGTAGTTTTGAATAGCTGATAAACTGGTTCAGGTATATAGTTGAAGGAAGTTTGCATTTTGCTTTCCAGAACACTTTGCTTGAATGTTTAAGCATTGAGAATTTTCAAACATGTTTGTGAATAATGTCAATAAGTTCAAAATTTCATCAAGGATTCAGGGGGGAAAATATGATTTTAACTTCTAGGTATGAAAATGAAATGTATTCATTTCTCTGTGGCTTGGCCTTCCATGGTAAATGAATTTTGATGCGTAATAAATAGATCATCGTTGAAAAACCATGAACATCAGAGCTTTTCTTGAAAAATGAATTAATATGTTTTGATTATAATTCATTTTGTGTTCCCAAAAAGTATGTTACGTTCTAGAATGGGGTTTTGTTTCATAGTTTACAACTTATGACGAAATTTTGTGATTCATTATTATTCTATCCAACTATTTTATTTAAAGAAAAATTGATTGATGTAATATTATTATGTTAATTATTGCGATTGTTAATAAACCGACTAACCTGACATCACGTGTATTTATCTACAGATTAGATTCAAGTTTGGATTTACAGTAGTTGATGATTTTATGGGTATCTATTAGACATTTTAAGACAGCATTCTTAATACAGTAGAAAAGCAAGTTTCGACGAAGTGGCATTTGTGCAAAAACTTGATAGATGTAAAGTGTAAATGATTCAAGAAATACAGTTGTGATTTTTTTTGATAAAGTTGTTGAAATGAACTTGACGTGTTGAAAATCTTGACGTGATGTTTATTGCCGGTCTCTCATTTTCTTTGATTACAACTCTTGACTTCATCTTCACAGAATCTGTTAAGTTCGATTTAGAGTACATCCGATTTGCTTCTTTACTATGCGCACTTTTGCAGATGCTTTATTACGTCATCAGACAGCTCAATCACATATTTTAAACATTGGTATATTGTATATAGTAGTTATACGTCATAACAGGCACACAATGCAAGAAATACTATTTTTGACCATATCTTTTCGTCATTTGCTGGCTTAATCTATTAGAATACAATCCTTTATCTGTGCAAACAGGTTATTGAATGTATAATGGGGAAGTGGGACTGTTATTTGTGAACGTAGGCAATTCCGTCTTATCAATAGAGCATTTTCTAACTATTTTGTGCAGACAGGCCACAGTAATCATCTTAGGCCTGTTTACATGGAGGTGGCACTGGAGAATTAACCAAGCTAGCTCGCCCCGTTGGGATGATTCATTTATTGTCTACACTTGAAGCTACAGCTTGAAGCTTCAATCGCGGCATTCTTTCTGTCTGTGTATACAACTGATACAAAGCAAAATATTGCATTCACATTGCACCGATACTCCTTTCCATTTCAAACAGATCTCGCCTAACCGAATCGCTCTGAACTCGTGTAAACGAAAGGCTAATAAACAATACATTTTATTGTTTTGCTGGATCCTATTAAGACAAGCTAAGACAAACTACAATTCCGGACAAAAACGTTGAGACAAAATGCAATTTTTATGATTTTCTACTTTACCTCGCCCCTGTAAATTCTAATCCCCCCTTTCCCCCAAGCAATGTTGGATTTGTAGTTCTATCATTTTTGCTACAAGATCATGCATTCAACATTGAATTGGAGGAGGGGGAAGCTATTTTTCAAAAGAAAGAGAAAACAAAGAGTTGTCTTGAAAATTCTCAACTATTTTTGTCCGGGATTGTAGCTCAGTAAGCCAGCTAGCCCACCTCCATGTAACACTTAAAATGAACTAAAGATCACGTCTCCGCTTCATATTTCACTTTTCGTTCCTCTTCTGTTTTCGATGAGGTCACAGCGATAGGTGGCAGTTTATTTTCAGTTTTTTTTACATTTTTCTTTATCCTAGACATGTATCCTTTCAGCACTCTATCTTTCATCTCGATATCAGCCACTTTCGCTTCCAACTCCATTTTCTCTTGCTCTAAAAGATCTTCCAGCCTTCTCAATTTGCTTTGCTCCTCTTCTTCATACTTAAGCTCCGTTTCAATCTTGAATAGTTCATTGCGAGCCGAGGTGAGAAGTTCTTGAATTCTACCAGCCTCGCATTCTGCTGATATCAACTCTAGCCTCAAGCTGTCGACTGTGTTCGAAGATGGAAGATCACGCAAACACGAGTATCTCGTGGTTGATTCCTGAGTAGAATTATTTGATACAGTGGATGCCCAACGATCTTTTCTTGTATCTTCCGTACTTATCAATGTCCGAGTACTTATAAACATTTTATTCAGATTCCTAGAAATACATCGTTTTAATTCTTTTGCCTTAAATTTATAATAAGCCAGACCCGTACATAAGTCATTGATGCGTTCCTCGATTTTTGTTTTGCTCAGCGCTGTTTCATCGACCTTTTCATTTATTCCCCTGACTTTCTCGCGTGTTTCTTGCAAACTTTCGGAAATGGTTTTCTGTTGCAAATTGTACTTGTTCATATGCTCTTCAACAACCTCATTTTCTGTAGAGAGCTCAGAAAGTTTTTTCTCCCAACGTGTTTGAATGTCAAAGTGTTGTATTGGTCGCCATACCTGGGTGTAGAATAAAACGTAAGCAGTTTAGATCAGTAAAATGTATAAAGTACATTGATTCCGTGTAAAATATATCCAAGGATGATGAAAAGATGAGATTAAGGAAAACAAGCTGAAAAATCGTATTAATTTTTTGATGAGTGCTAAAATAGATGATAATAACACGATAATTTATTTCTGACAAGAGCTATGCAAAACACCAGAGAAAATAAACTTTGGTTACTTTTTGTATACATTGATAAAGGAAGAAACGAAGAGACGGTGAAAGATTATGATTGTAAATTTTTTATGATATAACTGAATTTGGGCGTCAGTTACAAGTGCATCATGGTTAAAAGGAGTACAACCTGAAATCAACATTATCTTCAATTCAATGGCGTTTCACAAGGCTCTTGCTTAGGTCCTCCACTCTTCCTAATCTATCGTAACTATCTGTCATTTTCCTTGGAAAACTGCAAAGAATCGATGTATACCGATGATGCTGGCATATCCTGTTCTTCTAAAAACATTAACTATCTTATTGAAACGGCTCACAGTGTATTCAAATGCTTCTGGGAAAACCAGTGTCGTTGAACGTAATCAAGACTGGGCAATGGTCATCAAAACTAGATCGAATCGTAGCAAGATGGGCAATAAAGGAATCCCACTGTGGAGCTTATTGACTTGGGATGTACAAAATTTAGCCAATTCAAGCCAAGTGTCCTGCTCAAAAGGCTTCTTCAAATACAAATACATTTCTTTAATAAGATTTTCTTTCTTTAATAAAATGGGTTTTCATTTCGATAAATTATGTTGACAAAAATATCAAGAAGTGGCTACAATGCGGCAAGAGAAGGTTCGACTAAAGAGCTAAAATTACTTATTGCCAGAGAGCTAAAATTACAAAGTGTGATACTAGCCATTGTGTTAGGGCTTGCTTAAAGTTTTGTGCCTGATTATCTCTCAAACTGGTTAAGTAGAGTTTCTCTCGCAATGCTATAAGTCTAAGAAAGGTTTAAATGATTTGATACTATCATTCAAAAGGCCGCGGTCAACAAGAGGGCCAGGGTACAACGTCACGTTCATGTAAAGCCAAAAAACGTTTTCGCGAAACCCCTTTTGTGATAAATATTAACTTTGCCCTTGAAACACATTCCCCAACTTGCATCAGGGTTAATGCTTGACAAAGAGAAGTAATAGACAGAAAGCGTTTGTATTTTGTGGAGCAAAATTCTGGATTGACCCTAGCTGCCATATAAACCCCCCCACCCCCTCTTCTTAAGTGAAAATTGTAAATGAATCATGGTTGTTATTAGTGTGACAATCTATTGCATTATTAGCAGTTTTCAATTTGCAAAGTTTTTCCTATGTACCGTAAAAGCCAGTTCTACTAACCCACCAAATTTTAATAAAATACCACGAGAAAAATCTACAAGTGCGAAAATGAAATAAATTATATTATCTCATTTTTTGTGAAAAATTTGTTTGTTTTGTTTCTTTTTCGAATGTTTGTTTTTTCTTTTTTCAAAGTGGCATTTTGCTGTAAGGAAGGGTCACTAAAAATCGGAGTCCAGAAAAGTTGTTAACCTTCCTCCTGACAGAAACATCCCAGAAGGCAAACCTTCCTCACAAAACAATGGAAAGTGGGCGTGGCTTGGGTGTGTTACAGGAGCTTCTTCGTGGACCTTCCTCCGGTCAGTGGCCGTGCGACCGTAATGTTTTCCTGACTCTGCGAAAAATCTCCACGGTATATCAGTTAAGATTCCCAAAGGATTAAATTATGATTACCTCAAATATATATGCTCGTTCCCTTGAGAACCCATCGCTTTCATTGGCATCAAGCAAAACTTTGACTGTATGCACGCATTCGGCTGCTTTCATGCATAAATCAGGGATAAGCCGGAGAACAAGATAGAAATCTCTGCACCCAGAATGGTACATTATTTCCATGAAGAACTGAATGCTTTCTTCTGTAAAGCAACTTTCATTGATCATGGCACCAGTCTGCTGCAAGATGCTCCAGTTGTTCAGAGTTTTCCTCAGCGCTGCAATAGTTTTTCGGCTGCTCTTGTTTTTATAGTATACAGTGAGTGGAGAATAAATATTAAGCACGAATTTTGAGTAAAACCTTTGCATCTGCGCGTGTATTGTTATGTATCTTTTGAGGGTGTCAACGCAGAACTTCCAGTGGCTTTTGGAACCACTCTCAATTTGATGTATGTTTGGGTAAGTCTTTTCTGTCCATTCTAGCAATTCAAAAATCTAAAAAAATACAGTTCTTATTGATCAAAACAGTAATATTCTACCTCAAATTATAGGTCGGTGTAGATAAAAGGGATGGTATGTTTAGGAATAGCATAGTGTTTAATTTTTTGACTTTCTGCCAAAATCGGTTAAACCCAGTGAAAAAATCACACGAGGAAGTGTTAAACACACAAGTGAAAAGACACAACCCTGTTAAACACAATACCCATTGGCAAAATTGAGATCTTTCACTGTCTTTATATAACAGAGTTTAATGATTTTGTGTCAAAAGATATATTGGGGTTTAATAGTCTACCACTGAGGTAGGAATAGGATATCCCACCTCATTCGCTGAAAAACTGACCTGATCAACGGAAGCGACGTACGCTTTTGGACTCAGTCCTCCAAATAACTTGTGATTCCAAGACCGCCATTCATTGGTTATTCTTTTCAGCGCCTTCACAACGTCTACCAACAAGCTATCCTTGTCTTTTAAGAACGCGCTCAGCTCCTCAGAGTAACGATTGCATTCAACACGAAGTGAGACGTGCCTTGCCATGCCACTGAGCATACGCAGTTCATGTTGCTAAAAATGAAATTTTCTGTAAATCAAAATTGATACACCTGGTTTGTTAGTCTCAGATTTTGAGAGAGTTATGCAAAATAGGATAGCATTGTGTCTGAACACAGTGGTAGTTTTGAGGGCTGAAAAAGATAAAATGCAGACCCCACCTGAGAAATACTCCCAAGTTCTATTTTTAGATTGTTATACTGGTTGCCAGACCCAAAAAGCTTTCATTCTGTGATGTTGCTGCAAATTTTGATACAAATGGAAATTCGTAGAGATCCCAAGCAGTGGTTTTTGTCCACTGTAATTTAGAGGTATTTGATTTCTGGACCAATTTGATTGACCCTCCATTTATGTTCAAATCTAACTGACCAAAATACTGTTAGTTTGCCATTCGTGACCAATAGCAACATGTTCTGTTTTATCAGTGCTAAAACTAAGAAAATTGCATAGTAACCAATCTCCAATATTGTCAATCTCAAATTTTTTATCATTGCAGAGTTCGTCCATATCTTTATCTGAGCAGATGACAATGGCGTCATCTGCAAACATATCTGAGGCTCATTTTTTGAGGTGCTGCTCAAAACTATTGACATACCGGGTGAAGAACAAAGGCCTCAATCATGAGCCCTGAGGAACACCGCATTTAACAGTTTTTAGACTAGATATGTAGCAATTCACTTGACAATAATATTTTCTGTTCGCCAGACAAATGTAGATAACCAAGGAGGTGTCCCTGTCATCCCATCGAAAAGGTCTCTCTGCTACCCCCATAATAAAATTAGCTTCAAGAAAAGATTTGCGTGACCAATGGCCTGGTTCCGCTTAACGTTTATGTAGCTTCTAAATAAAACTGAACGAAATCATCCTGTCTCGTTCTTCGTACTTGTTCCAGTGTCAAGTCAACGCTCAAAAATTGAACGATTCATTCCAAAATTGAAAATTGCCCATTAAGAACGATATTTTCAAATCGAACTGTTGTATAAATCGTTTTCTTTTGGGGAGATATTTCTACCCAATGAATAAATATTCCTTTAGAAACGTAAAGCCTTGGCCAAACTGGGCAACATTGTCGGGCAACATTCTCAAATTCCTAATGTTGCTCAAATGTTGTCCAGTTTGGCCACCGTGTCGGCCGACAAATTCATCAAGAAATTTGTTGCTCGAATGTTTGAACATGCTCAAACATTTTTCGGCAACATTTGTTGCTCAGCTCTATGTTGTCCAGTTTGGCCACATTGTCGGGCAACAATTCACTTTAATTTCCCATCTGAAAAACCAAATTGCACAGTGATGTATTGCAAAACAGTATACTCTACTCGATTCAAATAAAATGGCCTGTCAGAATTTAAGCTTTCAAGTTGATTGTACCGAGTGGGAAGAAAACCATGGAGTAGAAGAATAGTTTAGGAAGAATAAAAAGTCTCGTCTCAAACAAGTCCAAATGCAAGCTCTTTGAAAAAACAAATCGGCCAAATGCTACCAGCGTGCTCGACCATAGAGTGCTAAGCAACAAAGGTGTTGTGATGTCAAAACAGCTTCCAGTAGCTGCAGCTTGCTTTCTATCTGCCATTATTATCCAAATTTTGGCTCAAATCAAATATGGCGCGGAAAATCAGATATCAGATAATATTTGGCACGCTGTTTTGACAACATCATCAAAAGATGCTGCACGACAATGTTGCCCAGTTTGGCCACCATGTTTCGGCGACGAAAAAATTAACAAAATTTCGAGCAACTTTGTCGGGCAACAATGTTGCCCAGTTTGGCCAAGGCTTAATACAGCTATATGTCTATCATCATTGAATAAAATACCAAATTATATCTTGTTATCTAACAAAAGAAAACAACGTATTGGGAAATAAAGTTTTAATTTCAGTAATATCTTGAGTAGATTTTTGCAGCTCGAAATCCTGGATCTGCAATATTTATTAGCATTAACTTGGGTGAACCAAGATTTATAAATCACATAGCGGAATCATTTGAAAAAGAAATTGCTTTCATGCATTATTCACAGAGCAAGAAACTAATGAGGACACATGCAATGCGTTTGACAATCCGGTTTATGAAGAACTGCGAGAGTTGTGGTCAGAAATTCGAACTCAACGAAGCCGCTTTGAGTTTTTTGCATGTTATAGTTTTTTCCGTCGCAGCTTGAAAACCAAGCTTTTTGCGTAACGTGACAAAATCTGTTTTTACGAACGCTTTTTTATCAAGGTAAACAACTGAATAGCAGAGTCAATTAATTATGTGTAAGACACTCGGTTTAGCAAAACGCAGAACTTTCGACATCAATTTTAATTCATCTTTTTGGCATAGGCCATCCACTTTTTACAAACATGCGGTCGCGTGAAAACGAGGCAAATAGATTACGTAATCCCTAAAAAGAGTTCCTTATTGGGAGGGGTTTGAAACAACTTAAATTTACCATCTAATAATATAAAATATATCATTGCTCTTACAATCCAACATATGGAACAAAGAAAAATTTCTTATGACCAAAGAAGTCTTTTGATATGATGTCAGACAAATTTATGGATCTAAGCGCATGCGATATTATGACCTGGGAACTAGAGACAAACAAATTTGAGAAGGTACGCAACGCAATAACATTGCTTTGTCAAATCGGTAAAATGGCTCTAATTCTGCGAATAACTTTTAAAAATACAGTGAAATATCAATATGAAATCTTAAACAAAATCTACTCCCTATAGAGAGGGAATGACCAATTTTTGGAGGGGATCACTTTTTTTTCAGTAAGACATGAACGAGAACAATGAATTTCAGATTATGCAGATGATTTGTAATCTTGAAGTGTCCGCTATTCCAAACTTCAGTAAGACATGTCCGGTGGATGTTTTTGCTGTTACACAAATTTTCCTGTTGATCGTGACTTTAAGAGTTCTGTTGCGTATTTGTTAGAATAAGCTAGCTAGGGGATATATGAAAACATAAGCATCAAAAGTGCCACGGGTGGCGCTAGAGATAAGCATTCAAGGTGTTGAGGTAATATTCGAAGTAATTGCCGATCAAAGATGTATCATCAAACTGCCGACAGAAAAATATAAAATGAGATGCATTTAGGTGATGTTCCTCACATAGAATTTTTTTTCGCCCATCAACTTTTGATGTCATTCTGACATCCTGTGAAGGTCAGTAACGGTATAACGTCCATCAAGTACCGACGGTATTGGGAAAGTCAGAACAGATTTGCTGCCGACGTGGGTGCTAGCTAATATCTTGGCGGCTGAAACCCTGCATGCCCCCATGCCGCCAATCCTGCTCTATCCCGATTGCTAACAATCCTTCTTGTTAACAAACAAACTGACCTATAAGAAAGTACATTGAAAATCAACCCTAGAGGCTTATCAATCACAAACTGCCACAGCCCTGATGGTTTTTGGAGCAGCTAGTACCCTAGTACCTGTGAAGTCAAAAGATGCCTGAACTTCGAAGCATCGAAAAAAGTTATCAAGTTTCATTTAATCTTTGCTGTAAAAACTTCTAGTAGCCCCTATTATGCCAATTTTAAAGTACTGCTAAATTTTGATTGCCTCCAAGCCTGTCCCTACATTTGTGTTATTAATGGTGTACGACAGAAAATATTAGTGTAAGTAAGAAAATATTTATCATAAGGAAAAAATTATCATAAGGAAAAGTTTTTTTAGTTAAGTAGGTACCTGTGTTCTCCCTCCCAGTTTTTCTTAAGTTATCCTTAAAAAAATTCACTATTAATAAGTTTTTCTCATATTTAATTTTGTATTCACAATTTCCTTAAAAATAGACATAACAATATTTACCAATCTGACAAATTATTTAATCATGTAAAAATCCACTGTCTATACTTTCGCTGTAAATTGACAACTATAGAATCTCTTGATGTATATCTGAAGTAATTCTGCTTTATACGATTAAGAATTTTATTAAGCTTCGAGTAAATGCTATGGCAAACAATAAAACTATAAACGTTATTAAAAAACCCACAATAGGAAATTCCGCTATAAAATGGGAGGATCCCCTTAGATACCTAAAGCAATACCATTTATCTAAAAAATTCTCATGAAAAAATATGAAGTTTAGAAAATACCAGATTTTGTTGAAAATCAGAAGGAATTTCAAAATTTCGTTTAAAACATTATGAAGAAATTGCGCCACGAAAATCTATCAATTAAAGGAACAGGTTGCTTTTGTGAAATGCAGCGATAATGAAAGCAGTAAATTCAAGTTTCAAGAAACACGTTGAAAAAGTAGCAAAATAAATCAGTTTGGAGTGTTTAAAGGGTTGGAAAGATAATATATTTTCAATATTTTAGAAAGTCTTTTCACCCATTGATACAATCCTGTTAGGACGACAATTGTTCCAAAAAAAATCTTAAACAGGCGATTAAATATTTCTTCGCATTAACTATGAAGTATAAAATAAAAGCATTTGATAACCGGAAAGCAACTCTTTGAATGATGTACTTGGTATAAAAAACAAAAAATGTGATAATAGAAATCGATGCACCCAGATACCAGTGAAAGAGGTAGGCTCTTTTGAATGAACAATACGACAGATATACACAACAAGCAGGAAAGCTTACCTGAAGCTGTGAAGTGTTCAGCATAAACATCTCTATACACCACGGAATATCCTTTCCTTCCAACCAGTTTTACTTCTTCATCAATTTTTTTGAATCAGCAATTTTGGGTTTTGCAAGAAGCGCAGGTGCAGTACAATTTAATTGCAGTTATTTTTCTGAAAGTTGAGCGAATTCATAGACAAAATCAATACAATTGAAAACTTTTGCAAATGGAATGGTCTAAAAAGAATTGATGAAACGGCAACCATGTGTTTTGCCAACTTGCTTTGGTGAATTCAAAGACATCACATGACTTCCATTAACTTTCTTTTCGTGGCCGGGCTTCATTTAGAAACCACAAATTTTAAAATTTAATTAAGGAAAATTTTGCGAGAATGCTACATCCTATTCTCTTATGTAATGATATCCAAACATACAAAATACAAAATTTTTCCATCCTTATCAAAATTGATAAAAATTGTATCTTAATCGACTGATAAAAATTGTATTTATAAAAATATTCAGGTTCAGGGTCATGCAATTTGTAATCATAGGAATTTTGCAAAGCCTTAGCTAGCATTGATGTCTTATTTTTCAGCGGATATAGGAAATACGCAGGTACGAAATCTCCATTTCATACTTTTCGAAAAAAAACAGACAAGTAAAATGATAGCATAGGGCGTCAAATTTCGATTGGCTTCGAAAGGAATCGCCAAAGCGGGAGTCCCCATCGGTTTGAACCAATCAAATTGAGAGAAGTGAAAAGTTTCAGGATTTTGACCACCCCTTCTTTGAAAATGTTATCGCCAGATATGAGTATTTCCAGCTAAAGGAATCAAACGCAGCAAAGATATAGAATATATACAAACGAAAAAGAAATTGCAAGTGCACCTGATATCCTGAATTAGCCCGGCTTGTTACATCTTTTCAGATTTATGCAAAGAAACCTTATGGCTATTTCCTTAAACCCTTAATTAACTGCAAATAGAACAATTGCGAAAATCCTTGTTGATTAACTACTCTCTCGGGTATGATCTTTGATCAAGCAAAATCTTTTTATAAAAACTATGTACAGTATATGGCACTTAATGGTATGTTATTTGCAAAGCTGAGTTCAGGTGGGATCTATCCACGTTCTATTGGTGCTGCAGCGTTAAGACCAATCCTAAAATAGGCCCGGAAAATCTAAGAACCTCGAAAGTAAACTTGCTTTTAACAAGCTTGGAAAATCTGGGCTAGGAAAATCTAAGAACCTCGGGTTTTTGTTACAAACATACAACCATGCCTGGCGAGCAATATCGTTCCGCTCAAGCCCATCTGCCAGCTCCGTGAAAGTGGTACAGCCTCTTTATATTCCGTGAAAGTGGTACAGTATTTTGATACAGGAAATAACTAAAAAAGCAGCTATAACAAAGCTATTCTCGAAATTTAATGCACGGAATATATGCATGGTGGCTCTAGCAATCGAGATTCGTCTTTAGTCAATTAACAAGACTAAATTTTACAACTTACATTTATAAAATACCCTATCGGAGAAAAGCATAAACATTATCATAATCATAAACTTCATTACAGTATACCTTTTAGCATTTGGGGAAAAGGGACAAAACTTTTCAAAGCATCTAAATTTTCCCTATCTTTTCCAGCCCCTTTAATTACACTTTGTACTTTTAATAGCTGTTGGTAAGGTTTAGAAGAAATCTGTGTCGTTAACATGAATTTCTATTTCAGAAAGCCGTCTATAAAAGATCGAGACCTAAGTCTGCAGAATACATACTTAATAAAAAATATGAATCATCCCATAGTAAACATGCTGATGATAAAAATGAGATCTCTTTCCGACCGATTAGGTGATCTGCTTTATGTTTTCTTGTGTTTTCTGGTTTCTAAAAAGTAGCTCTTTAGCAGTTGGTTTAAATGCCTTTAAGAATCTTTTAATTGCAAAATCACCAAAAATTTCAAAATCTGTGTGCCTTTCTTAGAATAATTTCGCATAACTCAATGCGTTTACAAGACCTGCATTATGTTTCCAGATCAAAATTAGACGCAACATACCTGCTACGCTTTTTCACTTTTATGAGGATATAGGTTACAAAAATGTTCAGGCTCAGAATCATCCAAGTTTTAAGAATAATTAAAGAGTATTGCTCAGCCTCAGCTCGCATATTTATGTCTCGTTTTTCAGCAGTTTCCTGTTTTGGGATGTTTAGAACATGGAATCGCAAAATTGACATACCTTTATCATTTTTCAAAATTATGATTAAATGAAATTTAATCAGAGTTAGTTAACGAGGGGCTTTCGCATTGGCTGTTACTCTTGAGTTGATTATTGACTGTTATTCATATTTTTGGTCTCATGTGCCACGCTTTCTCGAGGGGCGATTCACTCTTGCAAATAGCGTGCGAGATTTTGCCTAAAACAAAAGGATTTCCGGGGATTTTCAGATGAAACAATAGGATTTTCACAAAAGGTGTACGAGACTTTCTTGGAGTGATTTGCCCCTCGCGCTTTCTCGTGGTTCTCTTGCATTTGCGTTACTCGTTTATTGGTATTGCGAAGTAGTCTTGGCCTCTGGGGGTTTTGTTTAGTAATGCTAGGGCAACATTTATGGTTTCATTTTGCTTGGTGAAAGGCGACGAATAGAGTGTGCTGTTCATTTTCCCGGCCCTCCCTCTTTTTTTCTCTTGATGCCTTTAATAAAATTTCTCGTACCTTTAGGCATTTCTTTATGCTGTTAGCATATATTTGGATGCTATTAGGTAGGACTAGTGCATCGGCTGTTAGTGGGGAAAAGAGTCTTTTCTTGTCCATTCCCTCCCCTTTATCAATTAAATTTGGGGGTTATTATGGAAAATTCCAAAGTAACCGCTACCTGTTTAAATCAGTGGTAGGTTTAGCGATTTGCGCCGATGCACCAACGGCCCAACTCGCTCTCGATGATGTGGGAACGTAGCCTCATGACTAATTTCTAATGTCTAGGGCATGATTTCTGAGAGGGTTTTTTGCCCTTCATTTTGTTGATATTTTATTCACGAGTTAGAAAATTAAATACGTTTAAGTGCTATATTCCCATAAAGCCATATGAGATTTGAAAAAATTAGAATACACTAATTTTTATAAGACATTGGCTACACAAAACGAGTACTGGACAGTCGTAAGGAATTAAGAAACTTCAGTTCTCGAAACACAAAACTTAAGAAACTATTAAATCGCTATAAAACTGGGAACTAAGAAATTTTGGTAAAATCCAAGAACATGATTGCCCTGTTGGCCTAGAACTTAAGACACAAGAAATAAAAATATACCTTCCGCATCTTAATACAGCATCAGAACGAATCTCTTGACGTGATATAAAAGTCACAAACATTTCATAACATCGTTCATGACATCATATTTAAGAAACTCTTAAGAAACAATGAGTATTGAAATGTCTAAAAACTGAAGTACCCAACATCGACCTTCGTTTCTTATAAAAAATATGAGTGTACATAAAGACTATATTCAGGCACAAAGCTAAAATTTCTTAGGAATATTGAAGCTGGAAAAATCTTGATGCATAGGCTAATTAAAAAAAGATTGTTTAGCAGTTAATAGGTATAGATACATTAACATGGATTTAAACCCTTTATTTCTACTTACTTTTAAAACAAATGTTGAAAGCTGCAGAATATCTTCTAGAAAGAAAATCAGAACACGTTAGTAGCCCTCAGGCTCGACCACGATTCTTCATAAAGCCTCTTTCTTTATTCAGGTTTTTCAACTGTAGCAGCAATTGATTACACGCAAATAGAACATCTGGTTCTTTGGTCTCGAGACACAGGTCAAACTCATCATTCGCAAAGAGGGGGCGGATTGTAATAGTTTTTTTAAGCTTGTTTTGGTTTTCGCAAAATCACAACATTGCACAGAAAAATAAATAATTCATGACTGAAAGAATAATCAATGAGTTGAAAATGAAACATTGATTAATTGGATTTTAAATATATAATCCTCTTTCCGGTGATTTGTGGTGCTGATGAGCTTCGACAAACATATTCTCCTTCTGATTTATTGACTAAATTATTTCTCAGGGAAGATCAGAAAACACCCAATTGATGGATGAAGCCTGAGCAAGGTGCTATGTTTTTTTAGAAGCCAGGAATATAGTGCCTGCATGCCTTTAACATGCTTCCCAAACGAAGCCATTTATATGACTGTTCCTTATTTTTATTATTATTATTATTTTTTCAAATGCTAAGTAACTACACCTTTCAATGATAGGATTCAAAAACTGTTTCTGTCAAATTAAAGGTAATGAAATTTGAAAATAGCACTTTAGTATGATATGATTTTGTTCTATTTAATTTGCAGCATTCGGTACCAAACATATTTTATAAATACACTCTTTTTTTATAAGAAACCGGCTATAAGAAACGAGTACTGGACAGTGAGAAAACGAAATTTTGTAAAATCCAAGAACAAGATTGCCCTGAAGGCCTAGAACTTAAGACACAAGGGATAAAAATACTTTCCACGTCTAAATACAGCATCAGAACCAAAGCAAATCTCTTGACATGATAAAAAAGGTCAGAAACATTTCATAACATCATTCATTACATCATAATTAAGAAACTCTTAAGAAACAGTGAGTATTGAAATTTCCAGAACATTAAGAAACTGGAGTACTCAGCATCGACCTTTGTTTCTTATCAAAGATCGATATTGCATTGTGAAACTATTACAATCCTTGAAACTTTTTTTGGAACACTTGGGCAAAGCTGAAGCTTTTTTTCAAACCCCCCCTCCCCCCCTCACCCCCCATTGCAATGTTGTTCAATTGAGCTGTTTTGATCCTAAAGGTGAACATTTCTTCACTGAAAGCTGTGTGAAGGTATTGAGAAAATAAATCAACATTGTACGGGGGAGGGGGTCCAAATTTTTGAAGCATCAGTGATATACTGGTAAGGTAGTTCTAGACTTGCTTTGTTTATTTGCATGCTGCAATGGGAAGGCGTTCCAGTTATTATTGGCAAGGATTGTAGCAAATCAACTTGCTTTAGCTATTTGAATTTCGGTTTGCTATAAAAAGTTAGCGGCGGTGCTGCCATTTTGTGGCGGGTGGTGCAATACTTTTGCTCACCAAGTGTACTACAACATTGAATTACTAAGATAAAGTATAACGATTCTACATGACGTCACAGCGTTACTACAAGGACATGAAGAAGACCGGAAGACACCACGTTTAAACACATTTAAGACTACCCAACAAAATTTTTTTATAGTTCTCGTGACACTGATGGCAATATGATTTCCATGCCTGGATTTCAAATGAAGTAAGAAATGAAGTGTCTCAAGTCTTCCTTTGTGCCTTCTTTGTTCCTTTGTGCCAGAAATCATGCCTTCCAATGAAAAAGTAGTTTGAATTGCTTTCTTAAAAATCATGCACGTGAGTAAGCCTTTTCTTTCACGTGACATTTCTACCATATTTCTTGACAATAAAAATTGAAACTCTGCTAACAATAACAGCTAAAAAAGTGTTTATTTATGATAATTAGAGATCTGAAGAAGACCACAGATCCAATAAACTAGGACAAATTAGATTTTTATAACTATGATGTGCACATCAAAATAAGAGTTTCCTTACTCAATCTACAGTTCTAATCATGTTGCCTAGAGGCTTCAAAGGTCAAGCTTACTTATAGGAAGGGACGTCAATCCCTTCAATTAGCTCAAGATACAAGACCAAAATATTAATCTATGATTTGATGGGTTGTGCATTTGATTTCAATCATACAATCATGAACACATTTGATTTGCGAGAAACACTTTGTCAGATACACACCAGGCAGGATGTATGTGTAGTCTAACCTTTTTGAGGCCACCCATTTTCAAAGTCAGAGCGTATAAAATTGTGATTCTTCTAATGCCCTCAGTCAGAAACCTTTTTTCAAGAGGCTTTCCTTGTCTTTTGCACTTTGCTAGCAGAGATGCCTCGCCCTTTAGAAACATGAAGTATCTTTGGGGTTAAATTTTTATGGATAAGAACTCAATCTTGATTTTCCAACACAAGAATACTAGCTAAAGCTTTTATAGCTTTTAATATTGGAATTCTGTAGAGGGCCTAAGCATTCCCAAAGTGCTTCTGGGCGTTCTAATTTTGCTCAGAACGTTTAGATTCCAAGATCTAAACTCTTATTTGTTATGTTTTTAATAATTCATTCAAAATTACGGCCTTAAAACTTTTTATACTAGTCACCTTCCAGTTGTTTCATTTCCAGGGTTGAATACGACATCAAGCAAAGTTATGGTGACTTAATTATTAAATTGTCTAACTAGATTTAGATTCCAAATTATATCATTACAATTCTCCCGAACGTGTGCAACAATGATCTACTTTTTTCACATGGTAAGAATTAATTAGATTCTGTCTCCCACGCCGAACCCTTACAAGGAGAAAGCTATTTTTTAACAAAATCATTTGATTATCTGAAATTTTGGCTTTGAAGTATTCAATATTTTCACTCCCCGCAGGCGGACATGGAAGATTTGCCTATTTGACCCAGATTGAAAAGCATTCTTAAATTTGACAAAGTTCTTATTTATTCACATTCCCAGCGCCAGTTTACGCACGCCAAGCACGATGACCCAGATTTAACAGCATATGCCCATTGTTGATTTAGCTATTCATCGTGGTATTAGGCCTTTGACTGGATTGCAACTGACTTTTGACTAGCAAGGCTTTAGACGTTGCTTAAAAACATGCTTTTTATTTCAGTATTAAAAAAGATCACCCTACGCTAGCCTGTTCTCATTTACTTAAGACAGCGGATGTACACCCGTCGTTTTCCCGTATACGATGTACACCCGTGTACACGATGTAAACCCGTAGAAATTTCTATGAGAAAGCGAGCCTTAAAATTGAGAAATGACAAAAAAGTTGAAAAACAATAATACCGATCAGTGCCGTCGGAACAAAATTCATATTGGGGGGGGGGCTGTCCATTGTTTTACACATTTTTCTATAAGAAAAACAGTTTGAAGTTGAATATTCCAATTTCTTAAGACATTTGGAAATTACAATACCCATTGTCTTTCAGCAATTTCTTAATTTAATCTTAAAGGTTCTTTGCTTATTTGTTCATGCTAGGCAATTTTTTAGCAGAAGCTTGTCTGAGAAGGTTTTTGTCACTGCAAACAAGAAAACCCGTCAATGTTTCTTTCGTTTTCAAATGCTTGCGATATTTCCCTTAAAACACCCTTTCTTATTACATGCAACACATCAATCAAAATGGCTCCTATTTGCTGTATTATTTCGTTAACATGGACAGAAAGCTTTTATATATTCTAGTTAATAATCAAATGAAATTAAAACATTATCAACTCTCTACATGAAAGTATTTGACTATGCATAAATTTTCAGTTTTTAATATTAAGATTTTTGCTGCTGTTTTTACCCGAATTAAGACTGAATGGATTACAGTGTACTTATGATGCTTAATCAAATATTGTAGAAAACTGAACAATTTCATGTTCTTTTTTATGAATTTGTAAGCAAACCTCACTTAAAACACATGTCGAGGTATGACCAAAAACTGACGCATGGCATTTCATTGTTTTGTGCCCTGAATCTGGCCCATTTGTGGTGTTTGTTTTCGATTCCTCAATATCTTATTGATGAAAATGCAAAAATGTGAATTTCCATCAATTAAGCTTTTTTAATCATTCTTTGAATGAAAATTTTGAGGTTCAAGTTGACTTAAAATGGCCGTAGCAAAAATTTCTGCGGAGTCAAAAGCTCCTCCAGGAGAGCATAATATGATGTGAATACAATTACAAGCGCTATTTGGAAAACTTAAAGAAAAAAATATGCTTGCAGTCTTGACAGAAAACAACGAGGGTAATTTTCGGTCTTTTTTGTTGTGAAAGTCTGATTTCAGAGGCGTTGCAACCACGTCGAATTAAAGAATTCGAAATACTCTGACAAATGCTAATCCAGTATAAAATTCTTCATTTCTGAATTTAAATCCTAAAATTAAAACCTTCCTCACCACCATGCAATCATTAATAAAATATGGCACACATCAAGGGCCTGACGTGGGAAAACCTTTTCTGAAATATCACGACAGCGCTCACATTTAAGTTTCTTAAATCTAGTTTGTGCTGTAGGTAACCAAGGTGTAATGAAGCCGGCAAAATACTTCCATGCCAGTTCCATGCGTGTGAAGTCGATTCCACCAACAAATCACCAACTTTTGGCATCAAACACTTTGTGCAAGAAAATTGTCCGATACCTCCACTTTAAATATTATTTAGCATTTTTGAGGCATCTTTCTTAAGGTTTATGTTTAAAACAACTTTAAAATTGAGATGTTAAGTTTCAGCAAAAGTGAATCAATGAACTTCTACAGATTTTGTTGTCAATCGCTGTTCTTTTATGACGAATAGACTCAAAATGTTTCCTGTAAAAATATTTGGTGGGAAAGTGGGAAGCCTTGCAAAAACTTTGGATACAAGAGTACTAAGAAAACACCTGCATACCTATTCCAGCCTTTCTCTAGATAAGCAATTTTAAATTACTTTTAGTATGAGTGCATTTCCAAGAGAATAGAACAACCAATTGGCTCATCGTGAAACATGTTCCTTTGATGATCGCTGCTGTGATGTCATTCTGGTATAATCATTGTTACACGATTTTTTAAGAATTTGTTTTATGAGAATATCAAAATCCGAATCGTCACATTTTTAAGAATATTGTAAAAATATTGCTCAGTCTCTGCGGGCATATTTGTATCTCATTTTTCAGCAGCTACCTGCTTTCCATGTTCATCACAGAGAGTAGCATCACCACGTGGTTTTTCAATAAGCATGGTTTCATTCGAAGGCGGGGAATGTTCTTCTAAAAGGGGATTCTGAGTTTCACGCTTCAATAGAGAACTTATTAGAAATGGCTTTGTAAAACATTTCACAACGAACTACTTAAAGCTTTTTCTTCTGACACTCCACAGAGTATAAAAAGTCAGAATTAGTGTCCGAAAGAACACGATGGAAAATACATACCCAGTTGTGAATAGGCCAATAAGAAAAACGCAAGCACATGACCGGCATAATTGTCCAATCAGTACTGCGTGCCTAGAGAAGAATTCTGGACTCCAAAAGAAAAAACGAACTCCTTCTATCTACACAAGAAATAACTTTTTGAGTATTCGAAATGAAATGAACTTGAGCAAAGTCGTAAAAACATGGACATGAAAATATCTTGGGGGCCCCTTTTGATCGGGGACTCTTTGTTATCGAACTGACGTGCCTTAAACTGCGTTACGTCACTGCTTGTTGGCTATCAAAAGGGAAATATGCTTTGGAACGTGCTAGAAAGGCCTCTTGTACAAACAGATGGAATAAAATCACAACTCGCTTGCACGTGGCCATTACTTCGCCCTAAAACACTATACTGACCAGATTGAATACGGATGCAAGACAAATGATTTTAGCCAGTGCGTGAAAAGAAAGCAATTGCAGGATCAAGCTTTCAATATTGCAAAAACTTTTATACAATCAAATGATTTCAAATCATTCTTTAGAATATAATGCAAAGAAAGTTAAAGGTACAAATGATTACTTCTCGGAACAAAGCATAACATCCTGATGTATATATATGTAATTTCAACACTTTTCCAGGTGCAGATATTCCGCCACCCCGCCTGCAGCTGCAGCCTCTTCACCCGCAAACTACCGCCTGAATTGGGTGTCAGCCTCAAAATGCATGTATTATTAAGTCAATGCAACATCGTTGGCGATACCTTAGAATGCGTCTTAGTTACATGCAGCACAAATATTCATGTTGTCCATCATGCAAACATAATATGCTTTCTACCTAGTCATGAAAACGTTTAGAGGACTTCACAAAAATTGTCTCTAGAAACAGTCGCTGCCACATTTAACTGAATAGGGACTCTTGAAGAACCCCAAATAATAGGGATCTTTGTAAATCATCAAATAACGCTATAAATGAGAGAAGGTCACACCTTTTACCATTTCTTTCAACTTAGCCTAAAATCAAGCTCGGATGGAGACCGGGAAAACTCTCCTCCGCCCCAAGAGCCTGATCTCAGGCTACGTTCAACTTTTTTTACTTCCATTGATCGGTTTAGACTATATGTACCTAATCGGTTCACAAAATGATAATTATCGAAAGGTTTCACAATGCTCGCACTCGTTTTTTCTTTATTTGACTTTATCCTATCCTATTTCAACCTTGTCAAAGTGACTATTCATACAGGAATAACTTGTTTGAAATTTAATTTACTATTCAATTCTATATATTGTACTTCTTTATCATATCAATTATACCGACCTTTCTTTGATGATGAAACCAACACAGTATTGAGAAGGGTATTCCATCAAATAACCATATTTAGTCCACCTTTCAAAATTCAAACCGAACTGTTGCCATTGAATAAGCCGTAGAGACATTTTAGACAAAAATAACAGAGTAGCGATTAGAGGCAATTGACTTCTCTAGCTTAGAGCAATTATTGGTAAATTTTCAATTTTGTCAAACCTTTTAGTTTTACTATTGGCTTTGGTTCACCTAAGATTTCGGTTCGTGATATTTTGATAATGAAAGACTCTTTTTATAATGAATTTTTTAAACATTGTCCTGAATGTCGTGGTTTCGCGGAATTCCCAAATCACAACCGCTAAGTTACCAAGATACGGATTTGCTAGCCATTGCTTTCGAGATAAGCTTCGTGTGTGAGGGCAGAAGAGTTTGAAACTAGAAGAATTCGAGAGATGATAATGAGGTAATGAGTGATATGGGTCTCTCTCAATTACCGTAAATCCTCGAATAAGCCCCCGGGGGCTTATTTGCAAAATGAATTTTTGAGTGGGGGCTCATTCGAGTGGGTGGGCTTATTTCAAGGTTTAGTATTTTCCCCAAAGGTCGACATAAAAACGACATTATTTTTTTAACAAATCTAACAAAGAACTAACAAATATCATAAATTTTTATCATCACAAAAGTCACTTTTTTGCTTTTTGGTCTCCAGTCAAAGGAAGTAATACTGTGTAGCTATTGCCCTGTGGGGGCTCTCTTGAATAGCTAAGCGCCCATGTGGGCGTATTCGAGGGGGGGGGTGTAATTTGCAAAAATGATTTTTAGGTGGGGGCTTATTCGGGGAGGGGAGCCTTATTCGAGTGTGGGGGCTTTTTCGAGGATTTACGGTACAGTTGCCACAAAGATGAATATGGGTATTAGCGCAGGCTTAACGTTTAGGGAGGGGTGGAAGGGGTGCTTAGTTCTATTTCTTACCAAATATTGTTACTTCATTCAGATAAAATTGGCTGAATGGGCCTTACAGTTGATAATTTTGCCTACGTGGAGGGGAGATGGGGCTACAGCCCCTATTTCTCTTACGCCTTTAAAGATGAATGCACTTTCGCTTTTTGAACTTAAACGTAGCTACGAATTACTAAAAGAATTGGCCAAAGCCAAATTCCGTTGAGTAATTCCGTCAGCCTAGCGGAAAAGGATGTTTATTTTTTGCATTTTTGTAAGTTTTTATTTGCTACCTAGCATCCAAAAGAAGTTTTAGGGCACTGAGAAGCTATGATAGTCGAAATAGCTCGCGAATCCCTTTACTCTGGGTGAAAGTTTGGTCATGCCAGGGACTAGAATCCGAGAACCTTATATCTGCAGTCAGCGACCCAAACCACTAAGCTATCCATGACATTTTTGTCGACTTTTTATCTGATAAAAAGTTTCTACACTTCTTCCTAATTGTTCGTTTCCAAAACCTTTGGAAGGAAATTTATTTGGAGCCTTGGGGGTAGGAGGGGAGGGGAGGGTATAGGGGACAAGAAAAGCAAATATCATGCTATTTTCAATTCAGTACTTGAAAAAACAAAACATAATGAGAATAATCTGCTCCCAGAATTGGCATTCGGCATACACAAAAGCAGGCTGGCGGGTTGAGCCAAATAATTTCATAGGTCATGAGGTTGTTTTCATTAGGAACAAAAAATATCAGCTTTATTTATATTAGTACCTAAAATTTTTCGAATTTTTCATTGAGGAATAAAGTTCTTAATTTTGTTTATTGATTTGAGTATGGTTTGAGTAACCCTTTTTTAAAACAAAATATTCTCCATTGTTCATCCTCTCCTCTCCCCTCTCCTTTTCAATGCATTGAGATTGAGACCGAGACTAAACTATAATTGCCGCACATTTGGCAAACGTTTACCGCTCGTTTCTTACAATTTTTCCCGCTTCCCCGAAAAACGGGGAGGAATCGTCATAAATCTTTGGAATCCAAGGTTTGAAGATGAAGCTCGTTAAGTAAGTATTTAACCATGTTGTTTTATTTTTTATTCATGACTCCATTTTTAAGCGAGTATTCAGTTTGCCGATTCTATCGCTTTTCCATTGTGAGGGCCTAATGCAGCCTGCAAACAAAGGCATTTCAGCATTTGAGCTGCAAGAAACAACGCTCATATACATGACTCAATTGAATTTATTATAGTTCTATTATGAAAGTTAGTTATATCACCAATCTAGTTTTTGGTACTGCAAAATTCAATGACGGCATAGCTTGAGATAAATATGTTGTTTCCTTTGTAAAATCTGAGTTGAAGTGCCACACATACTCTTCAACTCTTGTGAGCAAGTGCTGCAATTTCCCATTTACTTACCAGCAATTTGCCTAACCTAGTCATTTTACATGATATGAACTTAATACATATTTTAAAGTTGTATAGTCAATCTGGGCAAAAAATATGCAAGTGTCTCTGTGGGGGAAAAATTACGCACCACCTTTTCATCCACGCCCAATCACTTATAACCCTTTTGCTTGTGTTTCCCAGAGAGCCTAGAGAAGGCCTGTCAATATGACCTGCCTTTCCCTTCTGTAAGCATTCTTGAATAAAGGGGAATTTAATGTTTTCCTTGTAAATTGGCCCAAAATAATGTTTTGTCAGGAATCATCAACATTTTTTTTATTGTTGCATCAGTTAGTGTTCTCAATTGTTCTAAGGGATTAGCCTTTGAACCTTTGATAATTACATTTGCTTGCTATCTTTTGTTTTGTCTACATGGCATGCATATTTTTTGGACAAACCATTTTTGAGCACATGGGGAAAAATTATGCACTCCTGGTTTTGATTGATGTTGGTATTGGAGTCACAGAGGCACAAATTATCAAGAAATATTACATAAGCTCATATAAAAAGGAGTTTGTAATGTATTTTTGGCACTTAAAGGGGCAGTGTCATAAGGGACATCCCATGTGGCAACACGCCAGTTTGCGAAAGTTGTTTGGGTGAAACAACCTGCGTTCAATAGGAAAACCAGTATGGAATTAAACAGTTTTTTGTATCCGTGCTCATTGTGCAAACCTTTTGCATTTTTTGATGTTTTATGAAAGGAAACAAATAGTAAAAGCTCTTTCTTCAGTCTTGTCACCATATTTCTTTGGATAAAGGATGGCAATACAAAAAAACAAAGGTCACTTTTACGGCTAGGATACCGCAACTCGCAGGGGGCTGTTTATAGAAATTGGCCAAGATGACACCAAAAAACCTACCTTACCAATGAATATTATGAGTGAAAAACATTATTAATGTTTGCTGGACAAATTTTGAGTGATCATTTTGTTGTAGAATGTCTAATTCCATCTAAATTCACCTAGACAAACGGAAAATCTTCGCCATTATTGAATGAAGCTTCATTTCCCTAGCCTGGACCAAATTAACATAGATTTTTCGTTTTGATAGTTGGTTCATATGTTGAAATATAGCAATTGTCCATTCTATGCTCGGTAAATACGCTCAGAAAATACACTTTATCGAGCTAATCAATGCACCGGAGCATCATCAGCCATATATCCAAATGTGCAAGTCAGGCTAAAAACGCACAATGTCCCGTGTATTTGGTTTGTTTACAACACCATGACACAGCTCCTTTAAGTCATAGCCTCATTTTCATATGCTGAAGTTTTTAATAGCAGACATCCTCATGCTTTTTAACTTTAAAATCACTTAGAAGCTGTTCAAAACTATTGCTTAACATTATTGCATGGAAAATCAAGTATAGTCACGGCGGGTAATTCTTACGCACAGCAACATGTCGGGTTATTTTTACGCATGCCGTAAATTACGTAATGTGATTGTTTTTTTCTAAAAAAACTTTGTGTCCATGTAAGGTAGTCATTCCTCTTTCTGTTGACGTAAAACTTAGCAGTAGGTACGCGCGACAGCCTTTGTGAAAGCATTCGGCAGACATGAATCAGATTTTACCTAGGTACAAAGTTATCAACACTACCCATCAATTTTATTGCCCTGGCATCATGCGGACAATAACTAATCCTTTTAAGCATTCAAATGACTCTTTTGTGGATCACCTTTGACCTATTCAAGTACTGCTGAGAAATGCTTTTCTGTCTTTCGTTAAAGGATGTGCGTAAATATTAGCCGACGCCCATGAGGTAGGCGTTTAATTTTTACGCAGTGACTCAAGGGGAACAGGGTTTAAATAAACGATGCAATCTTTATTTCATTAATTTAGAGAAAGAGGAAAACTGAATTTTCGTTAACAAAATGTCTAAGGCTGCTAAAAAAAGTTCTAAAAATTGGTCGAGTAAGGATATTGACCAAGCTTTGGCTGAAATTCAAAGTGGACAATCGATTAGGAGCACTGCGTCAAAATATGGGATGTCTGAAGGAACACTTAGATATCGTTCTAAATTGTTAGAAAAGGGGGAAACTCTTCAAAAAAAAGGGCGTCCAACTGCTTTTGATGAAGAAACTGAAAGGAAGCTTGCATCTTGCATTGGGGTTATGTGCAAACTTGGTTTTAGCCCTACCGTTCAAGAGATTCTTCATCTTGTTTCTTGTTACTTGTCCGCTAACAGCTTATTGTTGTCCTCATTTAAAACTGGAAAACCTGGCAAGGATTGGTTTTACGCGTTTGCTAAGAGGAATAACCTGTCATTGAAGAAGGCCGCTTTAATCAGCTCTGCTAGAAAGTCAGCAACAGCAAACCCCTTCGTTGTTTACGATTTTTATGACCAGCTCGATGAAATTATAAAATCTAACAATTTAAACGAAGAACAAATCTGGAACTGTGATGAATCTGGCTTTCCGAGTGACCCAGGACACTGCAGAGTAGTCAGTGAAAAAGGAAAAGTTGCATATAAGGTTACTTGTGGAGCTGGGCGTGAAAACACAACTACGTTGGCTGTCTGCAATGCTGCGGGAAAATGCTTAGATCCTTTCGTTATCTTTACTGGTAAAAATCTGCAGTCAACATGGAGGGGAGAGAGGGCTTTACCTGGAACGTGGTATGGGGTATCTCAGAATGGCTGGATGACAACAGAACTGTTTGATGGATGGTTTAAACGCTTTACACAGGAGATTAAAACAAGACCTTTGCTGTTAATCTTTGATGGCCATCTGACCCATGTATCCATTTCTGTAATCGAAAAAGCCATTGAAGAAAATATTATTCTTGTCAAGCTACCCCCTCATGTAACTGATAAGTTACAGCCACTTGATGTTTCTTGCTTTGGGCCTTTGAAAAGACTTTGGGAGAAAACGCTCAACAGCTGGATTAATGATTATGGTCCCCGGGAGCCTATAAGAAAAGCCCAATTTGTTAATAAGTTGGGGGATATTTGGCATAAGGGTTTGTCCCCTGAAAATATTAGAGCTGGCTTTAGGGCTACAGGTGTTTACCCGGTTGACAGAAAGCAATTCCCGGTTGAGCGTTTTGACACTCGTCTTATTAAGCGTTACGATGCATGGGTACAAGCAGGTCGACCGAAAGAGCTTTTAAATGACCTTGCTACTGGGGTTCGTTCGCCCAAAAAGGCTAGCCCACAAAAAGGAAGATCTCCTTCCAAGCGACCCATGGGGCCACAAGCTACATCAACCCCTTCAAAAACGCCTGTTTCTAATGATGATTGTCCATGTGGTCTGGCACAAAAACTTGGTCCTTTTCCTTGTCCAGCCCCTCCTGGAAAAGTATGGGTCCCAATATGGCACCTACAAGATGAGCCGTCCCCGCAACAAAGCCAAAACCGGAGTTTTGAAGAACTTATTCTTGAAAAAATGAAAGGACCCATCGATCAGCCAAAAAAGAAGCGCCGCAAGATAGACTTGATGACAAAAGTTATCAGCGACGAGGATTACTTGAATGCAATTAAGGAGAAAGAAGAAAAGCAAGGCAGCGAAACAGTGAAAAGAAAGAGAGGGCGACCAAAAAAGCTGAAGGCTGACGACGATTCCTTCCAAATCCAAGAAGAGGTTCTTTCTGAGTCAGAAAAAGAGAGCAGTGATGATGATGTAAGCGAAGACGATCTTGCAACAAACCCTTCTTTCCCACCCACTACTCAGCGCCAAGCCACAATCTACCTAAAAGAATTCTGGCAGTCTCTGTGCCCCCCAGTGGAAGAAGTTGAAATTATTGGGAAATGGTATGCCGCGATTTTTTTAGGGAAAAAAAGTCAGCAAATCTACATTGGCAAAGTTACAAAGAGATTTTTGGCGGATGTGGATGGGCCAGCAACTGGCATCGAACTTGATTGTTTAAAGCCACATTTTGGCAGTGGGACGGTCTTGGAAGGAATTCCATCACATTTACCGAGGGATATAGACCTCTTCGATATTGAGAATGTTTTTGCCGGCCCCTTACTTGTAAAACCAGTAAAGGGAAACAAGTGGGAGGTCCCAGATTATGAAGATGTTAAGCGGGCGTTTGACATTATTTCAAAAATTGATCGCGAACACGAATATTCGTCAAACTTTTTTACGTTTTAAAAACAATAACAGCGAGACTATCTACATCGTTATGTCGATATTTAACCTTTAGTATTTTAAAAGCAACATCGTTTATATAAATTAATTTTTTTCCACTTCAATGTTTTATATCCATAAAAATGACACAATAAAACACGCTCGACCTCCATTTCCTGCAAGTAGCTTTATTTTGTTGTACTCAATGCTTGTGGTCAATTTTGAATTGCAGGCAACCACAATATTTGGTTGGTGTTTCCGGTTTTATTTAGAAATTGATGTGCGTAAAATATAACCGATGCCGCGTAAGAATTGTCGGAAAGGTCGGCTAATCTTTACGCAATTAAAATTAATTAAATAATTAGTAAGCAGTTTTGATTTTATCATCTATTGTTGTCTGCTAATTAAGTATTGGCTATAATTGCGCCAGGTATATTCAGGTCATCAAATTACTTTGTTTTTGTCCATAAATTCAAAGTTGATAAAAAATGCGTAAAATTTGCCCGCCATGACTATATTATATGAATGCTCTTTTAAGATTTCATTTTCATCATGTATTTAATTTTTATTTCGGTAATCCATGTATAATTTAGACAGGTCCTTTATTGATAACAGCACGTTGTTGCTGACCAAAGTTAACCTGTATAAATATGATATTATTATTATTATTATTATTAATCTAGGATTCATTCTTGTGTGTGTCTATTTTTTCCCCACCCATCCGCATTTTTTACCCCCATTTGGTGGGGGAAAAATTTTGCATTAATTTTCTTTAATTATAAGAAGGTTAATTGGATTAGCAAAATAACAAAGGTTTGGTTTAAAAGGTATTACCATTCAAGATAAATAAAAAAATATTGACAAGATATCTTTTGAACATTTTTCTGGAGCAAACTTGTGTAAAATGCATATTTTTCCCCAAACTGTATAATTATTTTGTTATGTTATTTTTACTGTTATTCTTAATGTGAAATTAACACCTGCTTAAACATTTTTGTATGTTTAAGTCCACTATACCAATGCTAATGTTTTTATGTTTTATTTTAGATTTCTTATGAAACTCAGTCATGAGACTGTGACAGTTGAACTGAAAAATGGAACAGTGGTTCATGGAACAATTACTGGTGGGATTTTGATATAATTGATCATTTGTGAATGTGTGATATGTAGACAGGCATATTGGGGTATTTTCCTGAAAAGTTTAGTCGTCTCATTTTAGAGATGGAATGTGAGTGTGAGCTCCATCTTGGTCTGCCCTGTCATCTTTTTCACTTGAACTTAAATTTCTCCGCTTACCTAATTTGAAATATAGCTGTTGATTGAGCTTTTAGTTTGCTCCTACTGATTCGAGCAGAAAAAAACTGAGTTTTCGCTCAAGCAATCATTAGCTTGTTTGTTATTTATGGACAACAGAGTGTGTGGAGCCCAAATGAGACAAAAATTGTTTAAACAGCAATGAATTGAAGCTTTTTATTCTATGCAACTAAAGGTATAAAACAGGAAACAGGGCTTCATCAAAGCAAAAGTATACAGACTAAAAATATACACATTTAAAAGAGGCGATAGTGGTGTCATCAGTGGAAGAAGTAAGGATGGCGAATGAGAGAGCTGTGGTGGTGGAATGAAAATGTAATGAGGATGAAGTACTGTAATATCAAATAATGATCATGTTACTGTAAGGTTAAAAGTCAGTGGTTCTGTTCATGCTGTTCAGTGTAAGAGTGTTTGCCAGGCCAGTGAGGTATTACTCTTTGGCTCATCGAACACTCTCTCGTTTGTCATTGAGTTGCAGTAATGGTGTTATAGTAAGGTCATTGATGGTATATTTTGGGCTGCAGAAGTGTTTTGCAACACCAAACTTGTCTACTTTTTTATTGATAATGTCTCGTTTGTGTTCCTTAAATCTGTCTTTCAGTTGTCTGCTTGTTTGTACGATGTATTGCCAGTTCTTGTGTCCATTAGTTCCCTGATTCTGCTAAAATATTTTCATTTTTGTCTGTGTTAAGCAGGCCTTGCTCTATGTTTAGGATAAATTTTGTCACCAGGACAAACAAAAAATCACTGTTTTAAATGTGCTCCTAAAAGAAACAGGTTGTATTGGTTTTTCAGTATGTTGTGGCTTTTTTCAATTTAGGTATAGATATGAGTATGAACACACATTTAAAAGCAGTGAAGATGACATTGAAAGGAAAGGATCCTGTGCAGCTGGAAACATTGAGTATTAGAGGAAACAATATTCGCTATTTCATTCTTCCTGAAAGTCTGCCATTGGATACACTGCTAGTAGAAGATCCAGCAAAGGAGAGAAGGCCTGGAAAGCCTGGAGGAAGTAAGAGTTGTTTTTAGAGCCCTAATATTTTATGTTGATCATGTTAAATATTGTTATGTAAGATAATAAATTAATGGCATTGAATCAAAATAAAAGGAGTAATGCTATGCTATTAGTGAGCTTGACACTGATCAACTTAAACTCACTTTGTACTGATTTACAAAACAGCTTCCATCAATACCAAGTAGGCAACAAGGGACCCAATATCACTTGAAAGTACAGCAATCAGGCCGAAAGCAAATGACCCCTGTAGAGAAGGCCTATTTACCATGACTCAATGCCTTTAACTAGCTTGTTGTTAAGGATCTTATTGGTACAGGAAGTCATAAATACAGCGCATAGTTGCTTTCTTTGGAAGGTATGTGACAACTGTTCACAAGCTGGACAAGAAAGCAATCTTCTTCAGTTAAAGTGATAGGCATCCCATATAACAGTTTTTTGTAGGCATAATTTCAAGAAATAAAGCAACAGATTTCAGCCTGGTTATTTGTGATAAGCATTAATGTCAAAAGTGTTTGAAGACAACAGTTTTATTTTCTTCAAGCCTGATGTACAAATTTGGCAGATGAATAATTTTAATCCTAAGTTGATTGATTTTTTTTTATAAACAGTGGCTGCATTTGGACAAAGTGGAGGAAGGGGACGAGGACGTGGCAGAGGGAGAGGCAGAGGGCGTGGAAGAGGACGAGGGGGCCCACCTAGAAGATAAAGGCTTAAACTGCCTAGCAGAGTTATTTCAAGGAACTTGTAATATCTTTGCAATACATGAAGGATCTTTGGATCATCTAAGCTGCTCTTGCATTTTAAGGACATTACATGATTGCAGATTAAATATTCTAGCTATATTGAAATTGTTATCTTTGTGAAACCACAACTATCCAATGCTCAAGATTAGGTAGCAATTTTATGAAATATATCTCCCTTTATTTGCAAGAGTCATCCCCTGCTGATTCATGTATTTTTCCAAACACAAGAGCAGCTTGTCAAAGGAAACATGTACTATAGAAAACTTTGGTTGTATGTAAAACAACTCTGTTATTATTTGTCATTATTTGCGTTTTTACTTCAAGTTGTTCTTTTGTGGTTTTCTGCAAAGTGGTCATCATGCTGGAAATGTGGTTCACAACTTACTGCAATAAAGGATAATCCACCTTAAAGCTGGGGATTACATAAATTGCTTGAGCAAATAAATTCCAAATGATATCTTGATGAGGTACAGGAATAAAATTGTAATTGCAAGGAGGCAAAAATTTGTAAGATAAAGTTTTAGATACATTGTCCCTAACCTTTATCATCCTTGAGGACTTCTGTGGATATTATTAGATTGATGTCCATGTTGATAATGAATAATTGATTAATCAGCAAATATAAAAAATATGCCAACTAAAAAGCACTTGCCACTAATCAATTAATCATTAAAGACAAAATAACATAGATTTGAGAATGATAAACAAAAAATTGATTTTGAACCTTTAAGTATTGTTTACTCAAATAAAAAGAGCAAAGTAGGACAAAATGAAAATATTTTTAAGTGGCTGCTTGAATGGTTACAAATAGGACCCACTGAATTCTACTCTCTTGTTTATATTGAAAAATTTGTCACTCAAAAAGTGTGCTTTCCAGTCAGTACGTATTTAAAAAGCAGTCCTTACTACTTGTGCTTTACTGGCACCAATTACTTGATTTCTCCATAATAAAAGGGCCATCTTCTTCATCTGAACAGTTACTTGTGCTATCTTCACCCACTTGCATAAAGTGGCCCCATTTTGATGCTGCCTTTTCAGTTTGTATACTATTGCAGTTTTCTTTGACAGTCTGAGGTAAATTTGTATTATTTTTCCTAGCTAGATTCTCTCCTTTGATTTTAATTTTTTGTTCTCCATGAATAATCAAATTTTCTTTCCAGCTATTTTTTGACTTTTGTAATTTTTGTTGATAGGAATATGGCTTTGATCCACTTCTCTTTGCCTTGTACTTCTTTCTCTGTATTTTCCTGCCTCCTTCAAACAATTTTCGATCAGTTGTGACAAGATTTAGACTTGTATCTACTTCTTCATCAGCCTCTGCATCTAGGTTGAAAAAAAACAGAGCTGAAAAGAAAGGAGTCAAGACTGGGTAAAATAAAGTAATATTTCATGATCAATCTCAAGGATTGACCAATTTTGCTCTTTTGGATTAAGGAGCACTAGAAAGCATGGATGCTTTTTTTTGGGAAGGAAGCAATAAACATAATCTTAGCAATTTTATATATAAGTAGGTTGTGGGTCTTTCTGTTAGACCAGCAAACATTGTGGTAAAGTTCTTTACATCAATGCTTGCTAATACACTGGATTATTTTGCAATTGCAATCATTACCACAAGATCACAACCTTAGCATTTCATAATCTGAGAAAAAGAACTTGTGCAACCTTTGCTTGTTTATTGAATGTCATAAATAACAGTTAAAACCCAGAAGATTTCCTTTTAAAGGGAAAAATATTGAAATTATTATTTTAATGCCACCATGCAAAAAGTATTATTTTCTGCACCTTCATTATACCAAATAAACACATACATGAGAGTTTAACACTAAATTCATCGCAAACGGTTTAATATAAACTTTGTTAGAACATTTTTAAGATGCTGCTCCTTATAAAGCTCATCTGTTTTGATCATCTTTGATATTTTTTGAAATCCTGATTATATTTTTATCTGTCCTGCCTGGGTTTATTGAATTGTATCCGTGCATGATTGTTCCCGTATGAATTGTAGGTTGTAATGTATGTAAAACAGACCTTGTTCTGTCTCATCAATGAAATTATTCCATCGGTTACCAATTTGTTCATCCTTCGTTGAATATTTATCATTTGCTATGGATTGAGCAACCTGAGATTCTTTGCCAGGCTTACTCTCATAAGAAGAAACTATGTTATTTTGACATTTCTCATAAGAATAAGCTATTTCACTCTCAGCGACAGCCAAACTCCTTTTTCCTCTTGCAGAGTTCAAATCTTGAACTCGCAGTCTGCATTCCTTTCCACTGCCTTTGAAGAACACTTGCTTAGTTGACTGCCTTGAGTGACAAACTTTACAGGTCCATTTATTGGTACTCTTTTTTACCTTAAAAACAGAAGAAATGAATATGCAGAAATATTATGCAATTAAAGGTACACTGTCACTATTCTTGTGGGTCTTTAGTAAGTTAAACTTTGATGTACAGCAAAATTGAGCATTTTCCTTTTTTCTCAGATCATTATAAAACAGGCTTATAGCCTTGAAAGCAGCTGTTTATGTCATTAATTAAGCAAAATAATGCCCAATTCTCTAGAATGTTACAATATTTACTTTATCATAATAATCCCTAAATAATAGTTCATATTATTAAGTTTTCTCTATTTCTAAACCTAAATACATTTTTGGGTCACTTGGAAGTATATAAAACATATTTATAAAATCATAAAACTGTGTATTTCTATTACAGAATGAATACTTCTAATTTACTAACTAGAAAATATAATTGCTTCAAATTTCTACTTATTTTTTGTCAATCTTGGGTGTGCAAGTGCTAGTAAGTCATACAGATTGATTTAAAAAACTTGGATCGATTTAATTTTTACCTGATCGACTTGGAATGTTTCACAAGAGAAGCACCTCAGTACATGAAACTCTTGAACCATGTCCTGAATCAAAAGTTTGAGCAAAGTTGTAGCGTAAAAAATCTACATTGGCTGTTCTTGAGCTGTTTGGCAGAAAATAAAACAGAACAAAGACAAAATTTTCTTCCACTAATTCTTTAAACTACCCTTTTGTAAAGAAGGTCTTGCAAAACGTCAAATTGGTAATTTTCACAGAAGATAAAAAATGATAAAAATTGACTACATACAGTAAAATCAGCAAAGCAAAATACTATTAACCTTAAAACCATCACAGAACCAAAATTTATTATCTAATATTTTCATAAGTGTATGTCTAAACATCCTATTTATTTACACATGCTCTCTACATATCCAATTCACTGTCCCCCTTCTATTAATTGTATGAGCATTTTTATGTTAGGCCCTCTGCAACAACTTTCGCAAATGCTCGGAAGCCATTAAAAATTTCGTAGGAAAATCACGATTCTGCTTCACGAACTAGTTAAGAAAAATATGACATTGTACGAAAATGTTATTGAATACAACGAACCTCAGGGGTAGCTTTTAGCTCTGGCGTTTTGATATGAAAATTTCTCAGTCGTGTTGCCGATGTCGAGATTTCCCGCCTTCGAGCTACAACAACCACTAAATAAAGATTTCCCTCCAAAACTCTTTTGTCATTTGCTCAGCCTCAATTTTTAAATTTTGTTTTTGGTTTTGAGCCTAAGATTTGTCTTAGATTACTTTTAAGCGACACAAGTTGTAACTGAGTCGCAAACTCCAAGGGCGGATACGTCTATTTCAATACATATAACGAGGAAATCTCATATTTTTACTTTTGAAAAACTGAAATATAAAACAAATATACAATTTTTGATGAAGCTTGAGCCTTGGATCATTCTTAAATTACTATTCAATATCAGCCAATTTGAGCCTTAATATTCTTATAGACTTTATTCTTATTAAAAAGTGTGTATAGGGCACAGTATAGAGTTAATGTGCTTGGAAGTTCGTGCCTTCGTTCCAGGGCCTGCGAAACGTATTTGAAAGTGGAGGGGTCAAAATATCAAAGTCTTGAAAGGGCTTAGGAAAGGCCGCTACCCTGGTTGGCAGCAAGACAAATTTTAGAATTATGGTGTCTTAGGGATGGCCAGAAACTGTTTCTAAAATGAATTTTGATTGAAGGTTTTGCGTAGTCGCGTCTATTGTGATGTTAACTTGAAATAAAAAAGTTTTGCAAAGTTTTAAAATTTATAGAATAGAATTTATAACTGCGTCGATATTTTCTTTTTCTTAGTAGGAATGGATTATCCAAACGATCAAACTTTGAAGTTTTCTTGATGATACTTTTTAAGAACAAATCTACCCATACTTTATTCCTCATATCCTCAAAAAAGTTCTTTCCAGCTGTTTCTTTTCCTTCAACAGCTAATTTCTTTCTTTTTGTAATGTTTCTGAGAAAGTTTAGGCAATGGAAAAAATGAAACTCCGTCAATTTATGCTGGCATCAAGTCATTTTGGACTAGGTTTCTCGATCTATTTGCTAAGCCAAGCTGTTACTCTTTGTAAAACTTAGACAATGACCGATTTCTTCGATCTAATTCCAATTTTCAATTTTATGTATTTCTTCTATGGTAAAGACATAGCAACCAAGGTAAAGCTAAGGACACATTTAAGAGAATACTAGGCAAAGTTACTTACATAATCATATACTACTATTATTTCCACTTTTGTTTGAAATGTTTCTCTAGCTCTGCAAAAAAGTAGGGGGGGCATGACTTTGCCGGCCCGGCGTTGTATTGGGGGTTTTCAGGGATTGAGGAACAACTTAATTTGAAGAAAACTTGTCACGGCCTTTAGCGGATTTGTGGAATCCTTAACCTGTTGTCTTCTAAAATGGATCTCGTCACTTGTTTGTTTTTCTGGTCAGCACCATCTAGCAATGATACAGAGACGCGGGATTTTAGCTATGAATAATAGGAACGGTGGATTCAGGGGCGTCGTGGCAATTGAATTTTAGAGGGGGCCAGAAAGAAAAATTTTCCGACAAAATTTCTTTGATTAATCTGAAATAGAAGCATTTCATGTAAGTGTCAAGAGAGGTGAGGCAGAAAAACTCATAACTTTTGCCTTAGCTGGGAAGAAATTAAAAATACACTTTTTATCTTGTCTCTGTTTCTTCATACTTACAGTGATTGCCCCTGACATCCGTAGATTAGGATAAGGGTAGAGTGAAGTTACTATCTGAGGCGGCACCATGGTTGCCGCCGAAGGGAAAAATTTTGTATTATCTAATGCTTCAAATTCGTCGGAAATCGCATTATTTGAAGCAAATATTAATGATAAAATCTGATTCTTAAATTGAATATCCAATGGGAGAAATCGATGGTTTTGATCAACTTCTACTTTTTCTTACCTTACGCAACATAATTGCATAAATTTTCAAATCTGGGACACAATTTTCAAAAATCTGGTGATAGAAATCAATTTTCAAAAATCAAAAATTCTTGTCCTCAAAAAGGGACAGAATTCCATTGCTGTCAGAAAAAGCGCAAATATTTTAATATAAAGCTCCAGTTGTCTCTGTCCTAAAAGATAAGAAAGCCAACGAGATGGACCTAGAGGCAATTTATAATTTAAGAAATTATTTCTTTTTTGCCCCAGAAAATTATTTCTTGACTTAGTTTTGAAAACACAGACCTTGCAACCCTAAAATAATGTGAAAAATCGAGAGTGATGCAAAGAATCGATGGCAAAAAATGTTAAACGTTTTAGTGGTAATGGCAAAGCTCCTCTTTGAGATGTAAAGGAAGTAAAGATGCTAAAGAAAAGGAACTTATGAAAGGTTTTCTTTCAATCTACTGTGAAAATGAAAGAATCTAAGAATCTGACTGTCAAAAAGTTAATATCTTTGAATTCTATAGGAATCTGCATCGTCAATTTGCAAAAAAACCTTTGCTACAACAGCTTTACTTTAACCCAAGAAACCCTACTGCAAGTTTTATAAAAACCTTTACTCCAAAATGATTTACGAATACAATGACGTCATGTAAAATATCTTTAAACTATCTTATTCCTCCAAAGCTATCTATTAAGGTCACCAAATGGCTGTACTTTCTATGATGTATGTCCTCTACTATTCACGTTGACAGAATTATAATAGAGAAAGTTACTTATCAAGTTACTTGTGGTAAGGAGTTCATTATTTGTAACGTTTGATTCTATATTCAAGATTTATCCTATTTTTATTTAAGATTTATGGTTGCGTCTACTAACGAGCCACACCCAAAAAGCATCTGTTTGGTAAAGTGGGCCTTTTGATGCTGTTAACTTTAATAATCATTCTTGTTCACCTTCCTTAGGCATCTTTGCTCTCTCTTGCTCATCTTTCATCGATACGTGCAACGCTCTAGATATCAGCGAGAATCATCTCCGTTACACGACTTCCAACCCATCCAGCATAAACGTCCATAGACAGTTTTCTTGTAAACCTAGGCTAGCAATTTGCAAATTACCTCTTGCAAAGAACCAAGGGGTACTTGTTACATTTTCAAGCAACTTGTGTAACAACTTCATCAATTGTGTTATTCTGATTCCCTATTGGTTAATTTTTCGACATGGTTGTCCGTACGACTTACTGTATCTTTTGCTGTAAAATAAAACATGAACAAACAAGTAGATGAAAAAAAAATCATCTACTTCGATTTTATATATTCTTATCAGCATTTTATTTTTCTAATTGTGTATGGTTTGTGTAGAGTTGACAATTAAAAGTCAACACTTATTATTAGGCATTACGTAAAATTCTCTTTAAACTTTTTAAACAAAATTTTTATACAAGATATACATTTGAATGCTACGCACATTGTTATTCATAGGTGTCAAAGTGATTACAAACTTAGACAGAGTTTTATTTTAAAGTGCAGTGATAACCAATTTGTGCAGTGATGAATCGTAATTGTGCAGTGAATAACTCAAATATTGTGCAGTGATAAAACTGAAATAAAGAGATTGGAAATGGTAAAAGTAAAATTGCAGCAACTTCTAGTAGACACATAAAGCTTATAAAAGAGCATTACAATATTACAAACGAGAGGATAACAGTAGCAATGATCTTAATCTAGGAAATCTCTTTGAAATTTGTTCATTATCTAAAAGCTAATGAGTTTTGTTCATAATCTAGTTAGTTTGATAGGTGTGGTCACGAAAATTTTCAAAAATTTTGAGCATGTGCAGTGATAAATATTCCTTACAATAAACCCTGAGCTTAGATGTAAGAACAATAAAAATCATAAATTAAACGTTGAAATGATTTTTTTATTCTTAAATGTCACAAAGCTCTAACAGATTTGCTCTTATTTTAGAAATTTATATCGATACCACTTTTTAGTCACTATCTGATGCTTCATTCTCTGAGGAATGCTGGCAATAAATAACTGCTTCAGAACTTTTGCAGTTCGAATAACTTCCTTTGAAAGCTGGTCTTAAAACATACTACTTCATGAAACTATCTGCTATAAGAACGACTTAAAGCTATTTCCTGAAAAAATAGCCACTGTATAAAGTAATTGTTCTATTCATTGTTGCTGCCAATCAACAAAGCAAGAGGCATCATATTTGTGCAACAGGCCTCTTAGATAATATTTGAGTTAATGCCACCATACTGATTAAGTGCTGCAACCATCAGCAGCATGGAATGCCAATAGCCCTTATGTCATGCATACAAATAAAGATATATTTGCTTCTCTTATGCATAGAAGGATCCATTTTAAGTGTGTCTTGAATCAGCTTGGCCAGTAGGATACTCACGTTGACATGATTTGCGATGAAAAGTTTGCAGTTTTTTACTATTGGCTAACTTTAAATCAACACTTAGTTTAATTAGATTGAAATGTGGGAACGTTTTTCGTAAGCCGTGTCCAATAAATGACAGCTGACCATCTCGATCACATTTGTGTTTGCATTTTTGAAGCACTTTATATCTGATAAATACTAGTAAGTTTTAGAAAGACGACACTTTCTTCTTGCAAAGGGACAGATAACTTTCAAGGTAAGCCAAACACATGATTCTAAGTAGCATATTGCTATCGTAGGAGGCCAATATGCTACTTGTTTCACTTTTTTGCTTATTTTATTATTTAAATTTTTGCCAAAATGCTATTTTTCGTCTTCTTGTTCCTTTTCTTACCAATTTTCCATAAACAGTGTATGTATCATCATTTGTTGTTCTGAAGTTACATATATCTGCGCGAAATTTGCAATTATTCATTCTGTCACGTATTTGTAACCTCGGCTATTCGGGCAACTTTCATTTCTATACCTTAAAAGATATACCTTCATTTATTTAAACCTTATTTACTCATGCCACATCACCGCTACGTTTAGAACTACGAAAGAGTGGAAGTACACTGCATTACAGGGTACAGTTATAATAAAATTCTGCATACAAAAAAACATATATTCTCATTTTCATCTTTAACCTTATTTCTTCGTTTTGGCGATAGTCTTCTCTTAAGGCCGGGTTACACGATCACTTTTTACCATCACTTTTTTCGATATTGGACCAACATGCTGAAAAGTGATCGTGTAACATACCAAAATTTTCCAATTTCGCTGCGGAATTTAATGCGCTTATCAGTTGTTAATCCTCTATCATTGGAAATTTTACTCTGAACGAAAGCAGAGTAAAATCGAGTTCATCACTTTTTTTCAAAGGCGCCGACAAATTCTTACGTCATATAATGTTTTGATGAGAAGGGAACGGCCTAGATATTCGAGAAAAAAAGAAAAAGACGTGAATTGTGCTCAGAAATATAATTATTAGCAGAAAACGAATATGAATAATGATTTGGAGTAAATCGAAGTGCAGCACGTTACAGAGAAATAAATGCAGTTTATTAAAATACACTCATTTTTATAAGAAACACTCCGGGAGATTTTCGCTGATTATTTTTATGGACCTGGACAAGTTCCATGGCAATGGAAATCTCATGACTCAACTGAACTGCTGTACATATATAAACTATTTGGATACTTTAATGATAAAATTTGATTTCTTCCCTAATAGGAACATTATTTTCCACGGCACTCAGTTTTTATAAAAACCGTTTATAACAAACCAGTACTCGAAAATGAGAAAAGGTTAAGAAACTCTAATACTCGAGCTAAAAACAACTTAAGAAACTGATTTAGATTGATAAAATGCAAAAATCAAGAATTTTCTAGATTTTCTATTGCTAATTTTGACAAAAACTTACTTATACACTACAAACTTACAAAAGAATAAAAATACACAGTGATCAGCAAACAAAATTTAAAGTATTGAGGCTCTTGTCTTGAGAATAAGATAGAAACATTCCCAAAACTCTTGAGTTCTGAAACTTTGTGAACCTTAAGAAACTCGCGTACTCAATGTCGAGGATGGTTTCTTATAAAAATGAGTGTATTTTAATAAACTGCATTTATTTCTCTGTAACGTGCTGCACTTCGATTTACTCCAAATCATTATTCATATTCGTTTTCTGCTAATAATTATGTTTCTGAGCACAATTCACGTCTTTTTCTTCTTTTCTCGAATATCTAGGCCGTTCCCTTCTCATCAAAACATTATATGACGTAAGAGTTTGTCGGCGCCTTTGAAAAAAAGTGATGAACTCGATTTTACTCTGCTTTCGTTCAGAGTAAAATTTCCAATGATAGAGGATTAACAACTGATAAGCGCATTAAATTCCGCAGCGAAATTGGAAAATTTTGGTATGTTACACGATCACTTTTCAGCATGTTGGTCCAATATCGAAAAAAGTGATGGTAAAAAGTGATCGTGTAACCCGGCCTTTAGAAACGTTAGAATTTTTAATCACACTAACTGAATGTGTTTTCAATTTGCATTCGGTAATTCCATTAAATTATCCAGAATGTGCCTCAAACAATCTTATATTTAGAGAAAAAGCCCTTTTAAAGCATTTATTCATATTCTTTGGTTATAGATGGCATCTTTTGGGTTGCTCGTGATGGCTCTTTCCTTAAGCCAGGTTTTTGCTGGGATGCCTGGCTTTCAGCAAGGTTCGTAAAAAAGTAAACAATATCTTTTGATGCCAGTTTTTCAGTATATGATTTATACCAGAGATATAAAACTCCTTTAGAACACTGGATTCATTATGATGTGTTGATTTGAACTTGATTCAAACAGGATTATTCGATTTGTAACGAGAAACTTGAGACAAGAAAAAACCAAGAACAAATTTCTGTTTTGATCCTGTCAATGCCCTATAGAAATAAGGTCTAATTTTCAATGCCAAGCCCCGCTTTTGAAACGATACCCTCGCTATCGCGCTTACCCATTGAGCGGTCCAGCGCAATAAACCCCTCTGCATCACCGTAACATATTTTGTGAATCACACCTATGTGTATCAGAATATACAGACATTGGCAGGCACCGCAGAGCGTTGAGAAAAGTGGGGGAGGGGTCTAAAGAATGTGAGGATCTAAAAAAGGTGGGGGTCTAAAAAAGTGGGGAGGGGGGCTAAAACCGAATAAGAAGAAACTTTACTGATAGTCTTTCTCTTAATATTGTGCATTTTTGGCAAAAAGTGCCCCCCTGCTCCGCGGTGCCAGATTGGTATGAAATGAACAGTTACAGTCAGCTCTGAACCGTCGTTGATTCATTTAGATCCACTGGCTAGTCCTCAGCAACCGGCTTCTTTGTTCGGGGATATGAAGTTAACAGCAAAACAGAAATTGGCCGTGAAACTGGGGCGAGATGTTGGATCAGGTGGCAGTACATTTGCAGGTAGCAACAAAGTGACTCTTCGATGGCCAAATGCTGTTGTCCCATACACCATCGACTGCAGTTTAGGTAAGTCTATTTAGATTTTTCTTGCAACAAGCAGCTTCATGGCTGATTTCAATGTAACTATAGTGGCTTTTCTTGTTGGACAACTATGCCGGTCACGTGCTTGCGTTTTTCTGATTGGCCTATTTCGTTCCACAACTGGGTAAATATTTTCCATCGTGTTCTTTCGGACCGTTATTCTGATGTTTTTTACTCTGAGGAGTGTCAGACGAAAATGCTCTTTGTATGTTGTGAAATGTTTGGTTATTTTCAGAGCAATTTTCAAATCCTGTACAGCCAAAAAATTGTTCATATTGTTGCTTTATGGAAAAAAGAGACATGTAACACGCACTATTTATGTATTTTTAGCTGACTTTTGTTAATTTGAAAACTATGATCTCTTAAAAGACATGCAATTTAGTTTTTTATTTGATAGCATTAACAGTCACCCCTACATCAAAAAGAAGTTATTTTTATCTTTACTCTCAATGTCCTACCTACATTTGCATTATGTTAATAAAATATAATGCTGACATTTGTTTATTCAGCTGGGTTTTCTACAGCTCGTGTTCCCTGAAATTTTCAGAAGACCCCTGGGCACCAGTGGCGTCACCACGGGGTGGACTGGGACGGACATTTCCACATCAGTTTTCCCAGAAGTCGATTTTCTAATTTTTCGAAACCCGTTGAAAAATCTTGGGGGTTGGGAGAGTTGGGCTGATCAGATTGATTTCAACATTCGCACTGGCAAAAAAGCCACCGCTACGAGAAATGCTGCTTGAGAAAGTTGCTTGTCCAAACATTTCAAAGTAGTTAAAAATACTAAAAAAGGACTTTCCAAGAGTCTGTAGGGCGTGACGGAGAAAATTTTCTTTTGTCCACCCAAGTTTCTTCGAGCTGGCGACGCCACTGCACACAGTGTTGAAATTATCTTGCTTTCGGCAAAATAAATCTTATGATGAGTACAATGCAACTATTTGGGTCCCATAATTTTATCATTACAAATGTGAAATTTTGAAATTTGAAATTTAAGGGAAGGCCTATATTTCTTATTAACGTAAAGTTTATCATTATAAAATCCCGCCAGTCTGTCTTTCTATATATATGTTTATTGTTAGAAGATCAAATGTTACTTTAGACGTGTGATAGGATTTTCTTGAAATTAGGCTCATTCCCGTCTTCAAATTTGCTTCTTCAAGACGGGAATGCAATTTTGATAGAGAAAACGTCACTTTTGTTGATTGCAATCTTTGTTTATTTTCTTAGCGCTTATACAATATGTTACTTTTTAATTCTTCTAGAGAACATGCCAACTGCATTGAAAGCCATCCGTCTTGCTATAAACCAATGGGAAAGCAAAACCTGCCTTAGATTTGTTCCAAGAACCAACGAGAACGATTACTTGGAATTTTTCAGGAACACTCAGTATGTATTACTGTTTTATTCCTTACTTTAGACCTCTCCGATGCAAAGAAAAGTTGCTGTATATAAAGGTTTCAGGGGATCGTCGCATTACCAGGCGACAGGAAATCGTGGCATTAAAGGGCTTCAGGGAATTGTGGCATTAAAAAGCTTTAGGGGATTGTGGCATTATAGGGCGACAGAAAATTGTGGCATTACAGGGCAATTCACAGTACTTGCAGTGATAAACACACTTAAATCCTTGGCCTTAGTTTTGAGATTTCGCATTCTCTCCCCTGTTTAATTTTAGTACCTCTGGTGCCAAAATATATACAGCTAAACATTAAATTTGGGGGGGGGGGGGATAGAGGTTGCATGGGCATATATGCAATTTACTACGGACATGTTATGGGGCTGTTTTCTGTCTCGACTAGTTTTGCGATAAAGTCAATCTTCATTTGAAAATTTTGATGTTCATTGCCTTTATTTTCTATAATTAAGATCTCAATATGCAAACATACAAATAGATCACAAATATTATTGCATGCATAGATATAAGTCTAGACATAAGCGTTGAATATCTTTTAACTTAGCCATCGACGTCATCAGGCAAAGCATTGGGTCTAAGGATTATCAAGCTAATAAGGATCTTTCTTTGAAAGCCCATCGTTAACTTTAAATTGCCTGTTCTAGTTGTTGGGGCCACGTTGGACGAATTGGAGGCAAATCCCAGATTTCAGTTGGAGATGGCTGTGACTACGAGCATGTTATGGTACACGAGATTGGTCATGCAGTTGGATTTTGGCACGAACAGAACCGAATGGACAGAGACAGCTACGTCCAAGTTCACTGGGAAAATATCGAGGACTGTAAGCTCAATAAATGAATATTTTTGCATTTGTTCCCGTTATTGCTAGCTTCCGAGGGTAGCTTTCGTTTCTTTGTAGGCCTGGGATGTTGTTGTGCATAGTTTGAAATATTGTGAATATCCCCTTTAAATGTTTAATTCAATTGATAGCTTTTTGGTTCCTTAGATTGTCATAAATGTTTTTATTAGAGGACCTCTTGAAAACAAGCTTCTGTTGAAGGGCAACCCTCATTAAAAGAATTAAATATGAGATGTATGAAAACATGACATTGAACATAAGTAGAGAAGTTATGCTTATCGAACATTACCCTAGACCTTCCCGTCGATTTGACCACACCTCATGATTCTTATTCTGTATCGCACTGTAGGTACGGACTGCCAATGGCGCAGAGCATGTCAAGAACTTTAACAACATGTAAAAATTATAACCTTTCTCCTTAACTGGGAAGAAGGGGAGCTGAGATACATGAATCAAAACATGAGTATAAACATATTCTGGGGTCCCGTTTGATTGGGGGCCTTTAGTTAACGAAGAAAGGTGCAGCGTGAAGCTTGGAATCATATAGAGCTGGCGATTTCTCTCACTCTAAACGAATGTTTCGTCATGTCAGTGACACGAACCACAGAGCCTTGAGACTATACGCCGCCACCATGACCAAAGGGCCACCTGCGGAAATATCTGGCGCATAAAACCCATTTTCAATGAGTTTATATTTGGTACTAAAATGTGATAGATAACTTTTTAATGTAAGTCAGATGACTTATATTATAAAGAATATACTACCAGTTTCTTCTGCAGCAAAATGGGAAAATTTGATCCTTAGTAAAGGGGTTAATAGTGAAAAACTGATTATAGAAGCTGGAATTTTGTGTTTGTGCTTTAGTTCTAAACGAAATCAAGCAGCGAGAATTTTTACATCGCAGGGGTCAAGAGCGCATTTGATAAAGTAAAAGACTCAGATGACTATGGTGTACCTTATGATTATGCTTCCATCATGCACTACCCATGGCACGCCTTTTCAAAGAACGGCAAGGACACCATGTCCCCCCTGAGGACAGTTACTAAGCAACCATACATTGAGCTCAGTGACGGTGATGCGAAACAGACGAATAGAATGTACCAATGCGGCAGTAAGTACGCCTATCTTATCAAGCAGATGTGTATAACTAGTAAATTATGCTAAGATATGCTGTGCATGAATTAAACCCGTGCCTAAAAGCACAGATATTAAGAGTGTTTAATCTTAAAATCAATCTTCTATTTGAATTTTTCCTTGTCCAGTCATTGTAGGGTTATAAAAAAATATCTAATTTTTTACGTTTGAATTTTTGATGAATTTGCAAAAACGTGTGATTCTGCAAAAAGTTTATAGCATATTGCTGGAAAATGATCAGTCAGTTATTTAGAAAGTTAAGAATGGGCATAAAATATTTCATAATCAAGAATTAAAATGTTGTTAAATGAAGATGAAATTGATCTTACGTTTGCTATGCTAATATATGATTGAGTCTGATTTTGTCCTTTACAGCTTACAAAACGAAAAGATCATTGGGAGGTATATGGTTTTGCATTTGTTTTCCTCTTTTAATTCTTCGCGAGATTCCTTATAGCTTTCTCTTTAAGGAATAGATACCAATCTTTAGTAATCTAGATTTCTTTCCACGGTCGAATTTCTTTATTTTTCGTTAATCTAGATGTGATGAAGAGTCTCGCTTGTAAGAATTAAGGCCAGTATCTAAGACTAGAAGCAGAAGCCATTTTCAACCCATGAATACAGCTATTTTGTGACAGAAAAGATGACGATGTAGAGTTACTTTGTATTCTAGAAGCAATGACTAACTGAATGGCTCGGTTATTACTTTAACGTATGCAGTTGAATTTTCGAAACCTGTATTATATAAATATACATGTCAATATGGAGCTCGGTTAATTTGTGTGCCATGCCTTTAGAGACAAAACATTTATTGGCATTTTGTACCAGGCAATACATATGTTGGCACTGTGTATGCAACATTTTGGCTTGGTGGAAAAAACAAATAAACAAGAGAAAGAATGCATTTTTTCAAACTTTCAGCAATACTAAATAAATTTGTTGATAAAAGTCTTGATTCAAGGTTAATTCTTTAAATCCTCCCCAAAGATTTCTTCTGCCAGTATTTTGTAGAAATTCAATTCTGGTAACGAAAGGCTGCAGTTTGTTCAAATTTTGATATAGCTTAAGAGTAATTATTTTCCTTATTGATTTGAATTCTATAATAACTTAGAAAACAATTGCTTACCTAATGTGACATTTGCTTCTCTTGATAAAAGCCTGCGTGGACAACGATAGCAGTGCCTCGTGCAAAGCTTGGGCTGACAACAACGGATGCCGAACCAGTTCTTATGTGCTCGAAAACTGTGCCAAGACCTGCGGATCACCACTTTGCGACAGTAATGGTAATGATCGATACTCTATCTACAACAATACGTTTTAAAAAAAAATACAAGAACTTTCCCGCGAATTCTACCCACGATAGAATACGCGGGAATTTTACACGAAAACGATTGACTTGTGGCTGAAAATGCAAACAATGATTTGAAAACGTAACGTTTACATGTTCGTCACAACGAAAAAGTGGATGCAAAATATTTTCGTTGACTAGTTGAATGGCGTGAATGGGATGGAAACATGACATTGTGAATACGTATTCGCGTAGACGTCATCTATCAGAAGTCTGAAACTATTTTGTCACGCTTTTCCATTGTTTGCTATGTGTATGATTTTACGCCTACTCGAAAAACTATTTGCTATTAAATTGTCATGTAGTTGAAGGTGGAAAGATGTTTGCCGTTTTCAAAGAAATTTTATAATTCTGCACTAGCAAACATTTTTTAGATGTCTTCTGGATGCTTTTTGTATAATTTTTTGATGAAGGATCTTTCAAAACTACGACACCGACTGGTCTTTGCGTTAATGATATTGGCTATATCGTCATTTTAAAGTTGAAATCCTTCCTACAGAATTGGAAAATCAATAGAACGCCGGTGCAGCATATTTTTGAAATTCAATGATTGTTTTTCTAGCAATGAAAGGTTTTTTAACATTCCATGAAGCAAGTATCATCTCAAATATTTTTTCTAGCCGCATGTGTTGACAAATCCACTCAATGCAAAGACTGGGCCGATTGGGGACATTGTGCACTGAACCCTACTGTCTTGTGGAGCTGCGTCAAGAGCTGCGTCCCGCGCTGTCAACGTGTGTATTAACTTTTATTCTACAAACTACCGTGTCTTCCTGAAACTTGGATATACTTGTTAAATAGAATAGGAAATGATTAAATGAGGAAATTGTTATTCTAATGCTTTCGTTAAGTTTTAAAGCCAATACTACACAAGTGGCTTTATATTGCATGGAATGCAGTGAACCTGTTTTTATAAAAACCAACCAATGATAGAAACCCAAAACTTTGTCCCAAATTTGTCCTAAATTGTTAATAAATTTGACTCGAATTTTGTTCCAATATTGTTCCTAATTTATTTCAAATTTTTTGCATTATTTAGTCTTGTATAACAACGTTTAGATAACTGTCATTTCCTATGCAATGGTTTGTTCCTCTTATCCCCACATGTGTCCACCAACTAAAGGTCATATTATACAATGCAATATGCTCGTAGACTTTTAAATTTGTCACAAAAAACCGGATACAGCACCATCTATTACCTCTAGATTTGTAATATGAGTTGAGTTTGTAGCATTTTTATGAATTGAACGGCCTAAAAACGGATAAAGCTTACGACGCGGAATTCGTTTTCTATTGTCAAGGACTTTTTATAACCCTAACGCAGTAATTTCTATGTGCATTCAGAATATCATTTTCTAAGATTTATGCAAAACAGACAAATCCTGCAGACTTGCAATTATATTTTTTTAAAAACCTAGTGATCCCTTATGCTTATTTATTTAGCGGTTGTTACCCCACCCCCTGTCACTCAAGCACCAAGCACAAACACACCAGTACCACCAGTTACAAATGCACCAAACACAGGACCACTACCAACATCCAAGACTGGAGGTGTCAAACTGGGCATTGGTATGTTTATATTTTTTGCAGACTCCCTCTCTGGGTTTCGTTGCTATGTAGATGACTCGGTCAAATGTTAGTTCAAGTAAATCTTAATTTCTGGGTCTGGCAACAGTCCATAAATTAGTTTCTATGCACATTTGAATTGGTTTGTCAAAATTTCATATATAGCCAGACGAAAAAAATAGGCAAGAATTGACATAAAAGCTTGACGATACTGACAAATATGCTAACAATTGGCCAGAAATGTTTGCATTCAGTGATGTTGAGGCAAATCCTTAGAGAAATTTTCTAAAAAGCTCGAGTTTCATGCATGTGACATTGCTTTACCCACAGATGAATAATAAAAAACTCGGTATTGGAAGCGGTTATTTGATCTGGTATATATTTCAGGTTTACTATGTCTCGACAAGCATCCCGATTGTCCAAAATGGGCCGGATGGGGAGAGTGTCAACGTAATCCTGGTTATATGTTAAAAAAATGTAAATTATCATGCAACCAAACAGACTGCGACAGAGGAATTCAAAAACCACCAGGTCAGTGTTTAAAATAATGCTTTCTATAAGGTGAGATCAGTTGTAGTATGAATATTAATTACTCCATTGTCACTCTAAGAATTAGATCAGATGATCCACTTGACACGGAGGAACACAGTTTTTCGGGCAGCTATCTAGCAACAGCCGTCCTCAGGCTCCATGCTCAAATCTAAAAGTGGAAGAGCTGAAAAGGGCCTGCCCAAAATGTTTTTATGCCACGCCCTCTTGTACGCAGAATACGCCCTTTTTAGAAAATACTGTCTTATTTCTACCGATTTTAATAAACATTTTGGTTCAGAGAAGATGTCAATAATATTAAAAATAGATAAAATTAGCTTGAGAATAATAAAACACCAAGCTAAAAAAGTTATGAAATAATCATACCATTAACCAAGATAAAACACCTAGAAAATGAATAAAAAGGTTCCCAGTCAAAAAAGAACTGCTACCAACTAGGATCCGTTAGATTAAACTACCCGAAGTTGCGTTAGGGTAAACTCTCAATAAAATTTTCTAATCTATTATTGCAAAAATGGCTGCGCGGAGCCTGGCCGTCTTTATCATAAAGCTCTTTCTAATTATTTGAGTGAGTAGCATGCAAATTTGCGAACAATACAAGGAGCCCTATACAGGGAGCTCTATCTAGCTAGTAATTGTTGAAAACGAGAAACAAGGCATTAGATTTAACTTTCCTTGATGTCTTGATTACTTTTGTGTGATGAACGTATCCTTTGGCTTACCCTGGGAATCAGATTTCAAGTACTAGACGCTCCTCTACTCCTCTGCTCCTCTGCTCCTCCGCTCCTCTGCTCCTCCGCTCCTCTGCTGCTCCACTCTGCCGCTCCTCCGTTCCTCCGCATCTCCGCTTCTTTGCTCCGGTATAATGTTGCTGTATATCATAACACACTTTTTGTTGTATATTAGGTAAATTAGGTATAGAGGTATATTACAAGCTGCCCGATTCTTGCCATTACAACGTCTAGATGTCTTTACCTACAATAGTACTATGTCTCTAATTAAACTCGACCATTCAAAGCATTGAAGAATTTAGATAAAGTTAGTTAGACCAAGGACCAAAACGCACAGAATACTGCCTATCTTCCAAAGTAAGCGATCCAAATATGCAGAAATAAACAATGCAAATAGCATAGAAAGTTTTAGAAGAAACTTTCGGCACATAGCAATAGGATTCTATCGTTCAAAGAATACAGAAAAGCCCACTAATGTATTTAACATCTATATTTACTACTAGGTACATGTAACGAGCCACTTGGCATGGCCTGGGATGGCAAAACATGGAAACTTCCCGATTCATCCATCACAGCAGCTTCTGTTCTTAGTCCAGGTTTGTGTATTTTGAACTTTTTACTTTCCTAGCCTAATCTCTTTACGAGACCATTGGCGTTCTTTAGCTTTTAACCAACCATTGGTATTTACACAATCTCCCTGATATTTAAGAGTTGACACCCGCAGTCTCAGACGATCATCAAACTCAAGAGAGAGACTGAATTTTGCTCGACATAGCGAATGGTCCAAATAGCGAAGGGCCTTTCTTATCTACGACTTTAATTAAACAACAAAGAAGGAAGGGACAATCGTTTGAGATGGCAAATAGTTAAGATAACGCCTTTTCGGGATAGCAAATGCACTTTTACTGTTTAGAAAGGTTATTCCATTCCAAAAGCCTATTTTTGTACAAAGTTTTAACATTTATACTTTGTCTCAAAATAGTTTCTGAAATTGTTTGAAATCGGGCGTAGTCAAAGTCAGTTGTAATGCAAGCCAATAAATTGTAGGGAGGGGGGGGGGGTCAAGACACAAACAAAGGTCATTCCATGACTTTATTTCAGATTTGCCTCTCGATATGATCGGGCGTTTACTGTAAGATCTAAATCTAACTTCTTTCTCTCGAATATAGTTGAATCCTTTCCCTTTTTTTAATTTCAGGAAGTGGTTGGTCAGCCGCTGGACCCAATGCAAGATTGTACTACCATGATGATCATGATAATAAGAGAATTGCAGCCTGGTGTGTGAAATCATGGGACGATTTCAGACAGAATCCATATATCCAAGTTGACCTTGGAACAACCAAAAACGTCCAATACATTGCAACACAAGGTAATGAAAAATTACTGAGCTACTTAAAGAAACAATCATTGCCTTGCATTAAAAATCAGACGATAGCAAAATTAATGTTACTTTTAAACAGAAGGAACCGTCTGATAATCATGCCTCTTTAGTGGTTTTAAGTATACCATAAACTCTCAGGGATGCCGTCCTAAATAGTGAGGAAGAGGGGGGGGGGAGCTGTGCTGTAGGCAACTTCTATCAACCACACCAAACCCTAAACCTATAATCATCTTATATAGTTCAATTTATGGTTAACATCATCTGTTATGTTATGAAATCTTTCAAACTATTCATCGAATCAAAAAGACTGGTAGGAAGTTGCTCATTCATGGAAAATCAGTAGCAAAATATAGTTATAATTCCCATTCAATTGGTTCCCACGGCCAAGAGATGAATTCGCCAAACAAAACATATACTGGCTTGTCTTTTTTGGGGGGGAAGGCTGAGCCCCTCCAAAATCTCTCTGAATTTTAACAAAGGGGGCTCCCCCAAAAGAGCAGCCCCCTGAGCCCCTCTCTACGACACCACTGAACTCTGCCTGATAAACTCTTCTTTATATCATATTTATCTTTTTCTTCACACAAATTTTAACCATTTCCACTTGCAAGATCTTGAGCTAGAACAGAAAGAAAGATTTTGTTGCAAAGCTTTAGGCTTATTTCCAGAGCGCTGTCTTTTCATTCTTCACATTAGTTCATTACTACTTTTATTTAATATGACCCTAGGACGAGACAAGTATTTTGAGCGTGTCAGCCAATATAAAATCTCGTACAGTAACGATGGCTCCACCTTCCAACCATACATGGAGAATGGACAAGAAAAAGTAAGATAAAAGTTTTTTAATTTGAATTGCTTGTCATAAACATTTTTCCTGTAAGCACTGAGCAACGAAATTTGAAAAGCGGAATCTCTAAGATGCTGTTATAGAAGCATCTCTCTAATTTAATATAAACACAAATCATTACATTATTGAAAATTTAAGATTTTGAACAGTTTTTGTCTACCATAATCATCTCATAAAGAATTTATAAATGTTTCTATCCTCTCATTTGCCTTGTCTTGTCATAAAACATCCTTTTTAGGCATAAAGCCAATTATTTTCTTACGTTCGTTCTAAAACTTGTCTTTTTGACTTGACTCTTATAGTACCTCAAAGAAATTTATTATGAATTTTTTAACTTTTTAAATATCTCTCTCTATTATAAGCTCTTTGATGGCAACTGCGATCATTTCACGCCCATATTGAACAAGTTTGAAAACAGAATCTCGGCAAGATATCTCAGATTGTACCCAACAAAAGCCAACTACCCATGTATCAGAATGGAGTTCTACGGATGCTGAGAACAACTGTAAAATAAAGAAATAATTCAAATGAATTATCAATGAGAAATATGATATATATGCGCCTTTTTTGTCGTTCCCTTCTTTTTCTATAAGAATTCGCTTTACCAAAGATACAAGAAGAATATATATTTAGTGCAAGAAACGAGGTCCCAAACAATGTGCAAACATGAAGACCTATACGTTTAGATGTTCTTGTACAAAAGTGAATTGAAAATCTCATTTTTTGAAGAATGAATCAAGCAATCAAAGGCCGCGGAGCGTATTACAGGCTGTGGGGGCTAAACATTTGGGGGGGGGGTAAACATGTTAAAAAGCAAGAGCAACTAAGGCAATTTTTGTATGGTTTTAAGTACAATTTGAAAATTATTGGAGAGGGGGCTAATGCTCCCAGCCCTCCCTGCTTCCACGCTCCCTACAAGCAATACAAAAGAATGCACCAGAAAAAGATATTTTAACGACACAGCAAAAGTGATGAAAGTTGTAGCAAACTACGGGGCCTAAAATTCCCCATATACCAACCAGACAGCCAGCCAATAAGATTCGTACCATTCAGCAAAATATTTACGATTTGCTGAATATATCGATTAACTATATTTTAACGAAGAAAATATATACTGATTTATGAATATAAGTTTGTCAAAAAGGATATAAACAAGCCGAAAGATTTTTATGCCCAGTGCCCTGAGAATCAAGTCCAGTGCTTTAAGAGGATATCAACGTACACGCATTTTTCTATAAGGAGGTAAATAACTAGATCTGGAATGGGATGGAAGCTATAAAGAGGTAAACAATATCTTCACAAAAACTGACTTGCTTTCTTGCACTTGATATTTCATTTTTAAAAGATGAAGTTTCGACAAGTTAATCCTTCACATGTGTAAACGGTGCAAACAATGTTTATCGTCGATTTTTATCGTCGTTTATCCTCGAAGTTTCGACAAGTTAATCCTTTACATGTGTAAACAGTGCAAACAATGTTTATCGTCGATTTTTGTCATTCTTTTAAACTATCATTTTTGCTTCTCTTCTGAAATCGCAACCACTCTAAATCTATTATAGCTGCTCCTAGTCTTATTGAAAAGAAATCCGAATAAAATGGCGCTTTCACTTTTTGTGCAATTTCCAGATTCCCAATGGAAAGATGATTTTAAAACACAACAATCTAAACATAAGTTAAACTTAAGTTAAAACGACGATTAATGAACCATAAAAGCAGAAAAATGTCTCTATAAAGCATTGGAATCTTCTAGAAGAAATAGTTTTGTCGTGAGAAGAATCGCTAAATTTCTGCAGTAAAAAGTTTGGCCTTGAAACGTGTTCTGCAAATTAACAGTGCCATTGATGGGCAACGTTTCATTAATATTTGAAAGTCAAAATTAAAATTCATAACCAATTTTTTCACAGTGAATTAATCGCTAATTAAAAACATTATATTTTAGTACTTTCTTTGTTCTTTTCATTTTGTAAACCGGCAGCCTATCGGTATATAAATAGCGCTGAAATTTAAAGTTTCCTTCTTTCATTTTTCATACATACCAAGTTGTAGATAGAAAAAAAATTTCACAGTGAAGCTTAGTGTGGTCAAATGTACCAAAAATACAGTATATTCTCCCGTCCATTAAAAAAAATTGCGTTCCTTATTATAAAAAATTAATAGTTTATGAATTTTTCATGCCGAGTTGAGGCTCAGTATGAAGGATGCATTAGCCAGCAATTAGTCAAGAGAAGAAAACAGCATATTCCCGCTAGCATCATGCAAAAAAAGGTTCTGAAATAGCCACGGCTTATCTGCAAAAATGCCCAAAAATTGCGATTCAACAATAGCTCAACATTTTCCCAAACGTATTCCTGAATTCAGGATGCGCCAATGCGCCCAGTGACGACATTTCCAAATCATCATGCAAGCAAGGTCGTAATTTCACTTTAGGAAGATTTTTTTGCATCATTTCTGTCATGCAAACATTTTCTATTGTCAGTTAGAAATTTCCTGCGCTATGTGTCTAAACTTCAATGACCAGATTACTATGTATTTCCTGAAAAGTTATTCAAGACCTCGGAGTAACCTATTTAGCGTATGGAAGGCAGGACAGGCCCCCTGTGGCCAATTGACGATGGGGGCACCAATTAATATAGAAGCTAAATTTATATTTTGCTTGTTTCAAGATGTTGAAAACAACCCTGCTCGTTAATTAACAAGATTGAAATCTGACCAACAATGCAATGCCTCGCCAAAGTATTTTTTTATAATTATCCTACAGTATTCATAATTGGTGGGGGTGGGGCTGGGAACAAAAAGAGTCTCCTCGGAACTATTGTTCTGAGCTTTTTGAGCGGTTCATAGATATATTAACCAAGGGACATAGGGGCCATGTGCCCAAATTTTCAGAAACAGTGACAAAGTACCTATTTGTAACTCTAGAATGTGCCTTTCTTGGCCACATTTGCCCCCCCCCCCCATTTTAAGAGATGCTTTCTATATCTGTACCCTAATTGTACGACTTTTTAAGAAAATTTTATGATACCAATGCTTCCACTGCAGGGTGTGGTGCAAGAACATGGTCAACTTTTAACTTTAAATTCCAGCATGGTATACACGTAAAAAATACAAATTCTTTATGGTATGCTCTCAAACTATTGATTAGTCTTAGAATTGGTAAACCGCAAATCTTCTAATGAGCGCCACATTGAATATTCGACTGCTTTAGGGGTTCACATTCAAAGTTCAAAGGGGATGCTCATTCGAAATGGGGCTTTTATTCAAAACTTTACTGTATCTGTATTGAAAAAATATGTTTTCTAATAATTCAATGTCACCAAAACTAAAGATAGTGCCCTTGCCCAGTGTCACCCACTTACCCTGCAACACAAACGCAGGCACTGCGGAACGTCGAGAAAAGTGGGGGGTCTAAAAAAGTTGGGGAGGGGGGGCTAAAACCGTATAGAAAGATACTTTAGTGGTATTTTATTACGTTATATCTGGCATTTTTGCCAAAAGTGGAGGGGGGGCTAAAGCCCCCAGCCCTCCCTGCTCCGCGGTGCCTGATACATGAGGTGAATCCATTTTACCTCGTGTTCTTTAATGATTTTGCCCTGTTGGATTTTTAAGATTCTTTAAATTTCCTAGATTGGCTTTATAGTTATGATTTTTGAAAGAAATAAAATCGTGACTGCGCTGAAAAAGATGTGAATAAGATGAACTCAAGCTTTTCTGGCTATGATTTTTGAGTTAATCTCGCTTGTTTGAAGATCTATTGAAGTTCTTTGCTAGAAATCTTTGTAAATGGCCTGGTCAAAGGCTCGTCACCCAAGTGTCAATGATTCATGAATGTGGTTTGTTGTCATTGGAAAAGAATTCTCGGTCTGTAAAATATACTTTAGAAGATTGCTGAACATGGAAAGCTACTGATCTGTACTGATCTGTTCTTTGATTAAGACGATATTCCAGTCTGCCGAATACGACACTGATCCCGTAAGCAAAAGCGTTGCGATTCCGGGTTTTATTCTAAACAAAAGAACCACGGAAGGTGATTTTGTCTCACACAAATCGAATGCTCAAAATGGCGTAGGAGTTTGTTTAGGAGCTGTGAATTGAGGGTTTGCTTTTCTTTTGAAGGTATAAGACTGGAAAAAGACGTTCAATGACAGTCAAGAACATGTCGAACAGAAAGAAAACATTTACACAATCGGATTTGTCGGTTATCGAAGTTAAATCTAAGGTATGTAGTCAGATATACACAGCGGCCTAAATATATTATTACTAAAGTGACATACCTCTCTTGAGTGTATTTCTAAGGGTTTAAAGTAATTGTCTAGGCCGTGCACAATATTAGTATGGTTGTAATATCTGACGCCTGCTTTGGCATTTTTAGTCATATTTCCACATAGAAAGAAGAAGATCACATATTCTTCGCACCCGCCTTGTTGAGTCCACCTTGTGGCACGACATTGCATAGATTTAATTGACTTTGAGGTTTTCCAGACTAGCTGCACTTTCTTGCATTCAATAGCAACCCAATCACACATGGGTAAATAATAAAAGTACTGCAATGAATGTGTTATTTGAATGTCATGTAAATCATTACATCCAACTGCTTATTTGCTTCAAAATTTGACAACATTGTAGCTGTTTTCAAAACACCCGGCACAGCAATCACTCACATCGCTTACGTCTTACTGTTTACAATCATAATTCGATTCTCTTTTTTCTTTTCACAGTTTGAGGCGGAATTCAGGCGGTTTGCAATTAAACGAGGGAAAATTTCAACATATGGAGATTTCTTTGACCTTGTCCAAACGGTCCATCGTTTGTATGAAGTACCGTTTACCATATGGTACAAGGAACCCCTTCATGGCGATGTTTTGCCGATAAATAATAATGAAAATTGCCTTCATGCTTTGAATACTGCCCAGCCAATGCTCCGATTATTTTTGCAAAGAGCAGGTACGTTTAGACATTCTTTTTTGATAATTGTGTTCTTTTTAAGAGACAATTCAAGCCCAGTGGAGAGGAAGTCATCGACTTAAGGACCTTCAAAGGATCTTAACTTCTACCTCTCTTTAATTTTCAAAAACGATTTGTTCGTTGTATTTATTTTTTCAAGTGTTTAATTACTAAAATCCACACTATTTTAAACTTTCTGTTTAATTTTTATTTGTTATTTTAACTGAACTAGGCAAAAGGAAAGTTACAGGAAATCTTCTATTTCCTTCAAGATAGTTAACTTCCTCACCACCATTGCAAGATTCAGTATTAAATCCCACAAGAATTTGGATAAGTGTAATGGGTATATTTTTTCATTATGATGGCCTCTACTTCAGAACTTGCCAAGTGATCCTATTGTTTTCAGACAATGTAGAGTATTCAATGCAGTACCTGAATAAACAACAGTTCATTCTTGTGGATCCTCTGAAGTGATTGTTCTTGTTTGGTTAAAGATAGGGAAATCAACTGACTTGTAAACAGGAAGCAGGGCATCATTTGATCAAGTTTTTGCAGATGAAAAAAAAATTATTATTTTTGATTGAGAAAGTTAATTTGCTTCAGTGTACAAATAAGGAAAGCTTTGTGAAAATGCAGTTTTTCTGCTGGGTGGAAAAATGGAACACAATTTAATTTTGCAAAATAATTTTAAAATTCCAGGCTTGATAAATATTTTGTGCCTATAACTGCAAAGATTTTAGATCTGTTGCTTGGCTTTTATTATTAAAGTGTGGATTATTGGAAAGATCAACAAGTATATATTTGTCCTCAGAATAAGGATCAGGTTTCACAAAGTAGGAATATCCTGATATTGTCTACATCACAATGTCTGCATTAGCTACGAGTCAAGAAACTTTTTTATTGTTTTCTTGATCCCTTTGAGACATCTTCACAATGGAGAGACCATTCACTTTTCATATCAGTTACTTAATGTTGCCTTCTTGAATTAGACAAAATCAAAAAAATCTGCTGTTGAATTATTACGGTGTTATTTTTCATTGAATATACTAGCTTGTGTGCAGTACAATATGATTGTATATAACTAAGAATCTATGTAAATTTGTACTAGGAATTAAGAAAAAGCCAATTTATGACATTTCCAGCACAGCCTGTTATCAAGAAAACCTGTGGTTTTGAGCGTAGCGGGCTTCTTGATAACGTCATTATTTATATTCCTAGTTATATTATTTTTCATGGTTTCTGATCAGCCTCAGGTTTCTGTATTTCCTTTATAATTTCAAACTGGTACTTATTTCTTTAGTCACTAAACACGTTTAATGTAGAAATCAAATTCCTAAAATGATATGCTCCAGGAATTGTAAGGTCATAGAACTTTTAAAATCTCCATAGATACAAGTGGAAAAATTCATAGTCTTTTATCACCAAAATTAATCACAGTTATGAAACTTTTGTGGTTTTGACTTTAGAAATATGCTCTAAACAATAAAATAAGTTTCTTTGCTGAAATTGTTTGTTAAAGTTTTTCATGAATTGAGCAGTATGGGTCTAGTATAGCGCTATATACACTAATCTTTTGAAAGAGCCAACTCTGGGTGATGTGAAATTGAAATTTTGCAGAAAGCTTGTTTAGTTTAGTTTAGTTTAGTTTAGTTTAGTTTAGTTTAGTTTAGTTTAGTTTAGTTTAGTTTAGTTTAGTTTAGTTTAGTTTAGTTTAGTTTAGTTTAGTTTAGTTTAGTTTAGTTTAGTTTAGTTTATATTTAGCATCAAAATGTAGATGTAAGTATATAAATAAGAAATGTATGCTTTAGCTAGCATCTTTGAAGTCCCATTTTCTTACCGGCATTTCTTTGCCTGTATTTTCAGAGTACTAGAACACACATGTAGTATTATAGATTAGTAAGAGTTGTAATATAATCTCCTTAAAAGTTTTGCTGTTTCCTCTGGTTTTATGTCTTGCCATTGAGTTATGTTGGTGTTTTTTGGCAAAAGTCAACAAGCATATTGTGTGTTGTTCTTGCTGCAAAACTTGTTATGGCATCAGTAAGAACCAAAGTGAAATTTTTAAAATGATAATCTTGAACATGCTTTGATAAATGACAGCTGGATATGATTTTTTGAACAGAACATAAGATTTATATATAGTCAGAAATTGATCTGAATAAGTAACATATTTCTTTACTTTTCATGGCCTACTTAAAATCCTACATGCAATTGTTTCTCAAGCTATAGTGAAACTTAAATCTTATAATCCCCTTTAATCCACGCTTTTATTGCTTTACCTCTTTGTTGTTGATTTTGAAAACATGTGCTGCTGCAATCAAAGACCCATTTTACTGCATGTAAACATAAGAATATAGTATTGAAAAGATTCTTCTAGAAATTTAACTTGCTTGGTGAGCATTTTCAATTAAGCTAAATGTTTTTTGAGTTGTGACATGAAATGCTCAAAAAGCTTTTATAAGGGACTTTTGTTGGTTTATTGATTCAATTGTATTTTACAAAATAATTCTTATATTTAACAAAAATTTAAAAATGAGAATTTGAAAAACGATTAATGTAGTTAGTCCTTTTCCGTTGTTATTTTTGAGTTGTGACATGAAAGTAAGTTATGCAACTAACATTCAAAGCTGATGAATAAATTTGTGCCAAGCAACTCTGATAAGAAAAGAAGCATCCATAAAATTCTTGACTTGAACTTGATCTTACAATATACCACCACTCTACTCTTTGTGGATTTTTATGTGTTGTGAAACCAAAACCCTCGTCGACCTACTTGTTAGGATTAAGTGAAATGCAGCCAGGCAAATTTTTTTTCTTGCTCATTCTTATTTCTAAGAAACGTTAGGCTCCGCATGTTTTTGCTCAGTGTATCTATTTCCAAGAACCTTGATCGTTTCTACGTTTTCTGTACTTAGTAGTAATTTGCTTGAGATTTTTGATGATGTGCTTTGGCCTTTAAGCTCGTTTATAATCGTCCTTTTTAAAGGTCTATCAAGTCCTTTAGGTCACGGAGTTCTATCTCTCGTGAAACGATTTATCACGATTTTCAATGTTTTTAACAAACTTTTAAACTTGAATACAGGTATTGTTAAGCTAACAATCACTAAAATCAGATTTTTATTTAGCCAACCAGATGGCACTCGAATTTTTTCTTCGCGTTTTCAAAGTCGGTTTTATGCAAGTATTTTCAATTAGAGGTGCCCTGTTCCTTTCGGTTAATTTCAAGCGTCCCATCGCCGTAATTAATCTTTATAGCATAAACGTGGATCGTTTCATATGATACAATGTTTTCCCTGTTGTAAACGCATTTTATAATTTAACAAATATTGATGTGATATTCTCTAAGCTACATCTTGTTTTATTTAGGCGACGCGGAAGGATTTATAAATGGCACGTTGCCACGGGAGTCCAAGCGAAAGAGTGTCTTCAGCACATTCGGAGTTGGGACCCTAACAAATGCTGTTGCGCCACCCGTTAACATGGCTAAGCTCGCTATTGGTGTCCCACAAGATTTTCGACGCGTTTCAGCAATTATCGATGTCGATATTCTACCCGAAACTGTCCGGCGTGTCCGACTATGCAAGCATAATTCGGATAAACCATTGGGGTTCTACATTCGTGATGGCACAAGCATACGGGTCACTTCAAGTGGCATCGAGAAGGTGCCAGGTATTTTCATATCTCGCCTTATCCCTGGAGGTTTAGCTGATAGTACCGGACTTCTGTCAGTGAACGACGAGGTTCTTGAGGTAAATGGTATCGAGGTCACAAATAAGAGCCTCGACCAGGTGACGGATATGATGGTTGCCAATAGTCACAATTTGATAATTACTGTCAAACCAGTGAACGAGATTCCAACGAAATCAAGCAGTTTGAAGTCACAGCCGAACAATGGTGTATCACGTCGTGTAACCACCACTAATTCTATGCCTCCTAACATGAAACCATCTTCTAACGGAAAGTATGCTCCTCCATCGAGGCAAAGTGGCTTCGTCGAGCATACTAGCGAACCATTACCAGATAGTGACGACGAAGAACACCCTGTAATTTCTGATGGTGTTGTTCACGTTTAGTTACAGCTCAACCTTTTTATGCGACTTTAGACTAGCCTGGGTTTATTTTGGTGCTATGCAAATATTTGGGCAACGCAGTAGCTCTACAGGACGTTCTGTATGAACTCTGCCTTTTCGTAGTGTAACGCACATATTTGCCGTCGTGAAAGTAGCTCCATGGCAACAGCAACATTCGGCTGCTAATTCAGTTGTTTCATGCTTCAATATATGTAAAAAAATTTTGTAGGTTTTGTAAAATATCGTGTGTTTTTAGGTTCTAGTTTTTCGGCATATAGGCAGCTAGATTTCGAGATCTGTTTTTACCTAAAGATGATATTAAAGTTCCTGTACGTTGTTAGAAATCAATATTTGAAAGGTATGTATACATTGAAACGTTCTCGTCATTCCTAACAAATTATTGCCTTTAGTTAATGGGTAAATGTTTTTTCAGGATGGTTTTCCCAATAACCTTACTTAGCCTGCCAAAGACCATCTCGGAGTTCGCGACGCCATGATGGAATTCTATTGTTCTATAGCTAGTTCCAATCCCTCAGTTAGGACAAACCAGCAAAAAATTCAAGATGGCTAGAGGCTGCTCTTCCAATTTTTAACAGAAAAATACTAAGAAATAAAATCTGAAAATCGTTAATTAACAATGGAACTTGGTTCAGATACATAGGAATTTACAAATCTTGATGATATAGGCCGCCATTATAGCTATTGCGGTTTTTCCCCACTTGTGTCATGGCGTCGCGAATTCCTAGATGGACTATTATCCACCTTGCACACTTTGCAATAAAAGTTGTCCAAACATTCAGAAGAGAATCCTCAGGGCCTATGCATATTGTTTGCACCGTGTAAGCGGCCCCAGTCTCTTTTTGAATATTTAGGGTCTCGTCCTGATTCTGAATGAGAACTTTTTATGTTGCTCTTTCGACTACAGCTCAGAATGACTCATTAGATTTTTTATAAACAGTATGCTACCCTTAACGATAAAATACTTTTATAGGCTTTTAAAAGAAATCGTTGACCGTTAACGATCAACATTCTTATTCTAAATGGCACCGAATTGGATAAAAGCATTAATATTTCTATTAATGTTTCATCTGTTATCCTAGGAAACCAACTATATTTGTAATTACCAACATCCCGGCGAAGGGCACTCACGAACTTCTCGTCATCTGCAATTTTCAATACTGTTTCTATATTCAATGCCGGCATTGTATTTGAGTAAATAAAAGAATATAAAGAGGAAACATTTTGTGATCAAAATTTTGTCTTACGTGGTAGTTAGTTAACATAGATAAATTAATGTTGCCCTTGTTACACCAGCCAGGCGAACGTGATCTCAAGAGCCTCTTTCCCATGGCAATTTTCGACCTTTCAGTTCCTTGCAATATCAGACGTTGCATTTCTTTCCAATGACGTCAGCTGCTCTTTACGTCACCACCCGCGTTGTTGATATGATCAAAATATATATTGAGTAAACGGAAACCGGTTGAAATTCAGTGTTGGATTCATCAAGTAGCACCATAAGACTGCCAGACGATCATTACACGTTTTTTTATAAGGAACCTACCTTAAGGCCTAGTTCCAAAATTTCCTTATTCGTAGACCTCAAATCGTCAAATTGTAGTACCAAAGTTCCTTAATTGTTCCTTAATTTGTTTTGACTAAAATAAGCCTTAGCGCGTAATAGAGAGAGGGGCGAGACAGCATATGATGAAACTACTCAATGAAGCACTTGACACACGAATAGCAAACAATCTATGCGAGTATTGGCTGCAAGTGAATGGAACCAGCTTTTTAGTTCTTGATGCTCGCAGTTATAAACATTTTTCAAATCGAAAAGTTCCTTAGGGATTTCGTTTTTAGTAGTACAAGTTCTTTTAATATTTTGGCCTTCTACATGTAGGTTCCTTATAAAATGGTTCCTTATAAAAAGAGCGTGTATTGGTATGAAATGAGGAATGATATTTAAAAACGATAAAAAGGGGCTGTAACACCCACAAACAGAATCGTGAAGGCGCCTTGGGGTATGACCTTTGACTGTATTGCCAACAAAACTGAACTGAATGAAATTAAAGCTAACCTCAAAAAAAGTTAATTGGTAAAACAGCCAGTGTCATAGATGGATCTCCATTTTAGATACGTCTATTCTTTATTTAGTTTCGCCCCCCCCCCCTTTACCCTCCGCTAGGCCTGTCTTTAAAGTTATTCCTAGTTTTGTTTGGATCTTAAGCCCTTCCCAACAAAAGCCACATTGCATTAAGAATGAGCAGTTTGTTTACATTTTTAATGATTCCAAAATCCAAGACTATTAGCATACTCGAACTGCAACAACGTTCCTTCCCCCTTGTTGAAAAGTGCATACGTGCAGTTGGAAACATGGAGTGGACTAGTATCTTTGTACTTTGAAGTCCTCTACAAGTATAGATTCTTATGAAAGTGAAAAAGGAAACAAATTCGTGCAATGTAATGTTACGTACGGTAAGGGTTTATGTTGGCAATTGCTCTTTTAAGAGCTTTCAATAGGTTGTATGCCTTAGTGAAACGTAATCTTAGGTTTTCAACTGCCGCCTGATATAGATAATTCTAAAGTTTTCGAGAGGTGGTTGCTTCACTATGTCTTTAGCCATTAAAGTCTAGTTACTCACAATACTGTTTAACGTTTTATAACCCTATCAGTTCAGTTAGAGATTATGAACATTAAGTCTGCCGATCTAAGGTAGCCCAATTTTATCTCAACAGCCAGCATGATTTATTTTTAATGTAATTGACATGGCTCAAGGTTTTTGTAATACTTAGGAGTTACGTTCAATGAATTTTATTCATAGTTTTATAATAATAGCCCGGATACGCTCATCTTGCTATCTTGCTGAATGGCAATTATTCATTGGCAATGTGGCAAGGCATGCTGGGATGCGATCGCACCTTAATCCATTCTTAATTAACGGCCACCTTTTATCATAATCTCCGCAGCAGTTTCTCTCTGGAAATTGTGCCCTTCCGTATCCCTTCTTTGAATATTTCACATCCCCCTAAATACAACGCTGGGTACCAATTACTTTCCATCTGACAAGTTTCAGGCTTTCAACTTCTCTCGGTACCCGCTAGTCACAAATTTTGTTCGAGAAAATGAAACAGGCTTCTCAAAAATTGAATTTTTAAGATAGACCCTGACTGTTTTGGGCACTTAGTCCTTCAAAAAACCCTCAAGGAGCATTCTTGCTTGGATAAACTAAAGGTTTTGAATCGATTGAGGATCAGGACAATTTCTACATATCTTCCCCACCCCATATTACACGTATGTAGCTTTGATAAATTCGATACACTTTTAAGAGCAAATACCTCGATACGATTGTTGAAACATTTTTGATCACATGTTAATGTAGTAATGTGATATCGCAAGTGGGATACTTTGACCCTAAGAAATTACTGTTGGCGTAAAAGATAATGAAATGTGTATGTAAAGCGTTTAAAAACCGATGTAAGTTATGTATTTTGGATAAGAAAATTTGGGATTTCATTTTGAAGTTTGCTTTTTTAATTTCAAGATTGTCTTCTGCCTATTTGTTTGAGGCAGCCTGCGTGCAGTCTCTACGGAGGAGAAAAATTTATTTGTAGGCGCAGTTTACCAGATACCTTATTTACTGTAATAATCCCGCTTCTGTGATACTCCCCTTTGTAGTATTCGCCCTTCACTTGTAATCCCGCACTATTTTTACCGACTGAAAATCAATCCCAGCTCTTCAATATCCCCTCATGGGCGATTACAAGGGGGTGCCCTTTTTGTCGGCCAAGGGTAAATGTTTTGAAAAATTACGAAAATCCAGAAATGCTAAAGTTTTTAAACTTCGTTTTCTACCTTACGCAGAAAGTCATAATGTATAAATTATCTATCTTTGCATATATTGTGGAAATAAAGAGGCTTTGTGGATATATTTTTATATTTTTCATGGTTAATTCTTTTAAGGAGGGCTGCCCTTCAACAAATTAATTTTCAAGGGGCCCTCCGATAAAAACATTACCTGCAGAAGATACGAAATAAAAGCTATTAATTAAATTAAGCTATAAAACCCTATTTACAATATTCGAAACTTATATACAATAATGTTAAAAATTTATAACAAAAACGAAAGAAAACAGTTTCTAAATAGTTTTCTTAAAACTACCGTAAATCCTCGAATTAGCCCCCTGGAGGCTTATTCCTTTTTTGATATTTTTGGATGAGGGCTTATTCGAGGGGGGGGGGGGGCTCCACAACACCTGTGTAAAGAGCTTGCAATGTTTCTTTCAGGAGAAAAGACTTGTCTCATAAAGCCAACTGCCCTCGAGACCTTGCTAGATAATGCCTTGGTTCGTTCTTTCCAATCCAAGGAGCAGTTAATTCGTACACCAAGGTATTTTGTCTTTTGACTGCTTCAAGCTCATTATCATGAATTTTCGGAACCAAGTCTTTATTTTCACTTTTGATAATGTTGTGTTTCTGCTTGGGAGAAATCAGCATAGAACGGGTTTTTGCATTATTCAGGGAAAGCTTGTTGCCTTGTAGCCAAGTTTCCAGTTTTCTAAGGCACTATTAATAGCCTCACTTGATAGATACCGGAGCCAAGTTCCAGGGGCAAGGACTTGACTATGCTACAAAGGGCGCGACAAATCTGAAATTCGGTGCAGGAATGTAGCTCAATATGCTGAATAAAATTCGAAACACGCCTGCTTGAAATCGATTCTTACTTTACTAATTAAGTATAATTAGGGTCTGATTTTTATTTTTTTTCCAGGTTAGAAAAGTTTCAAATTTTTATGGTAGTATCGCAATCTGCATGGTTGGGGCTATTTTGTGACATAAGGGCCTTTAAACCTTGTGTTTGAAAATGCTAGAATAATTGAAAACGTCGAAAACGCTTGCACCGCAGGATGTGGCCTGTTACAATCATTTCATATTTTTTACGAAGCGGACGTTTTGCTAGTGTTGCTATAAGGTTTGGCTATTTATAAATATCGTCACGTTGTGATGCCATTATAATCACACAAAATGCGATAATAGTTTAGGCAAGTCATTTTTGCAGCTTCATTGTCAATCATTGCTTTTGTAGAAATTCAACATCACGCAACGAGAAGAAATTGTCAAATGCGATCAAAATAAATCACTTAACCACGTGTCATTACTATCATCAAATGAACTAACAAACGAACAAACCGACAAGAAAATGACAAAGTTAAATTACGAAAATAAGGCTACCGTACAAAAAACAGCTTATAAAATTGACAGCACGGCAGACAATAGCAACTATTCATTGCTGTTGTACAATTCATTGCTGTTTTTCCAATTTTTTCGCTGTGCTACTTTCCACTTTGCCAAACCTGAATGAAGTATATCTGGAGCATAGGCTACCTTGCATTGGTTACTATACCCCCTGCCCCCCAAAATACTTGTTTTTAAAAGCCTTCCTCAAAATCATTGGATAGACTAAAGTATTTACAACGAGGTTTCTCGCCTAAGTATTACATTAAATAAAGTATAATGGGCTAGTTAAGCCTTATCATTCGCCTCCTTAAGTACCAGAAATAAGCCAGATTTATGGCTGTCGGGTGTTGGCGGGCCCTCATACAAAGGCGTAATAGTAACCCTTTCATAATCATCGCTATTGTTTTTATTGAGAATCACTTTGACAGGGCTCCCTTTTTTTCATAGCACTGCACATCTGAATGTAGGTTGCTGATGCAGGACTTCAAATAATGAAAAATGCTCCAATGAGATCGAAGGTGTGAGATGAATTGAGAAATTCAGTATGTTTATATGGCTTTGTAGGCCTTTTGGCATTCGTTTTCTTTCATAAAGCTATTTTTAATGTCTAAAATCCATTATCAAAAAAAAAACTTGTTTTAACCTTCTATTGATACAGAATCTATTTTATATGCAACATTTATTTCAAACCACTCCTCTTCATCAGAACCATCACGACTCCACGAATGTATGCCCCCCCCCCTGGGTCAATTTCCAGCATCTTTGTTCATCTTTACATGAAGTATATGCCTCTTACGGATGCAGAGGCATCGTAAAAACTCAAATGGAATTTGTGTTTTCAAAGATTTTGTGCTTACTGTGCATTGACTGCAATATGCTGATGGAATAAGGAACAAAAGGAGAGTTACTTTGAAAAACTGAAAATGTTCCTTGTCGAGGAAGTTCAGAAACTTGACAGGAGTGCAAGATGGAATTACACATTTCAGGTACGGGTTGAACCATTTTAAGCACCGTTTTTCCTATCGGCCTAGCATCTGCCTGCATCCCAATATTCTTTAGTAAAAAGTCGCGGTATGAATGAATCCTTGTTCTAATGCCTATGCAGAGCTGAAAAATTACACAATGCCTCCTAAGTTAGTGTCTATATTTAAAATCCTAAATCTTTAGGGTGTATTTGGCAGGTTAAAGTTCAGCGTCGCTCATATTGTACAATTTTTGGTTGCGGAAAAAGTATAAAGTCTCACACACAAACATAAATTTCTTATTTGCAAATAAGTTGCGTTCTGTGAAAGGTATTAATCGATTAAGGGAGTTGTGCCTTGCTCGCACTATTAATGTTTTTGTTATAACATTGATAATATGTTTACACTGTGTTTTGACGCGACTGTATAATTATGTCAATAAGGTCTCTCCGTTTTGTTTTTATTCTTCGAATTAATCAAATATTCCATACATCAATACCATACAAAGCAAGTGAGCATTACATTACATGTTGCCAAATGACATATTTGTTACCAATTTTGTGTTGAAAGTTCAATGTCAATGTATTTCATTTAGTGGTTACGAGCTTTAAAATCAATCCTTGCTGAACATTTACCGGTGACACAGGCAGTGTTGGGAATTCATGTTTTCTTTGGATTTTCGAGGTGCTTTGCTGTCAGCCTTACATAAAATTTCTTGCAACCTAAATATAGATACAAACAATGGAAGATGAGGGTAAGGAGGTATTAGACTTTGTCCTTCAATTGGATATGGAAGACCATTGAAAATGAAAGTAAAACTAAGATTTGCTTCAAAAATACCAAGTCATTGTTTTTTACAGTAGAATCTATCAGCATTTCACATCAGTCTAGTGCTTCCAAGAATAGAGGGACAATTGAAGAAATAGCAATAGAAACAAAAAAATAACTGACCTCTGCATTTGTAGCATAAACTTGAGTATGCTATGCAATCTTAAGTGTTTTTACAGAATATATTGTGTCCTATAACTCTAGAGTTGTCTAGATACTTGAGAATGAAAGATGACTTGAAGAATAACATCTGACTCATGTGTGAGATTAGCAATTGACTGATCTTAACACAAAAAACTATATGACTTAGACACATATGATTATGAGGTTAAACTATTATGATGAGGTTACATCAAGCCTACTACAGTGGAAGGGGAGGGAGATTCAATCTTAGAAACTTTTTCTTGATTTCAACCAATAAAACCCTTTCCCCAGAATTGACACTTACACATAAATCAACCTTGAACAGAAAAATCTTTTTTTTGTTTTAAAGTCAGCACAATCCCGTGTGAATTTAGGTTTTTTTATGGGGTTAGGGGCCTGGCTGTGACATTTTTGTCTGCTTCAGGAATATGAAAAGCCCACAGATATTGCATGTGGGCCTGGGACCTCTAACTACCCATATGTACAAAACGTTTAGAAACTGATTATAGCATAAGGGACAAGACTACGGCTTAATCCAAGACATTTTCGTTTAACTCCACTCAATGAACTAAGCGACTTACGAGTTATAATAAAGCCATTGCCAGAGGTTCTTGAAGCATTGTGAAACAGTTGAAGCAGGAACCCTATAATGATCACCTCCATTGTTGTTTTCCACAAAAATGTAGCACAAATATAGAGCTGGATGCTCAACAACTATTTTACTCAAAATGAGTGATTGACTTTTTTTAGGGCTTATAGAAATAGCCAATTACATTTTTAAGAACTGATGGTCTCTTGACAAAATACTCAAAGGAAAGGAAAAAACTCTTCTTAATCAATTTTTAAATCATTTTTTGGCATATCAGGTTGGCACAGATCATGAAAAATAATCAGGTTGGCACAGAAAAGCTGACCCTGAGTGTAACCAGGTCAGCTTTTAAATTGGCAGTGCCAAAACCAAATCTAGATTAAAAGAGTTGATAGTCAATATTGACATTGCTGCCAAGTGTTTTAAAGGAAGAATTGTATAAAATTTTGGCTGACCATTGGTGTCTCACAAGACTGCAAAATATTAGATAGAAAAGCACTGCCAACAGCTGTACCAATGTTGATGATTTTTCGTCCCAAAGAAGTCCTTCTTGCCAGTGCTTATAAGAAATCTCTCAGTCTAAATTTGTTCATCTTGAGAAGATGATGTTTTCTAGATCATGGGTTAGAAGCTCAGTAAGGCCCTGACTAACCTTTCCACATCCATCTTTAAGATGATATTATTTTTAGTTATGCTGATAGTTCTTAAAAGTTCTGCCATGTATTCAACAGCTTTTTTCTGTTAAACTACCTGCAAACCTTTGATTTACTTATTGATGTAGACTTTAATTCTATAGCATTACATAACAGTTAATTTTCATAATATTATATTAACTTATTATATACTTTGTCCAGTCAATAAAATACATGAATTTGAATAACACATGCCTATCCTTTTTCATTTAGTTTTAATCAAAGTAATTTTTCTATAGGAATATGTTGATTGACTCTTAGTCTCCAGCTAAATTTGATACAACGAACAAGATTTTTTGGCATTGATTTTATCTTTTTTTCTTGAAGGTATTGAATTTGGAGACCAGAAAAGTTGTAGAAAACTTCACCTTGAAAGCAGCTAGACAACCAGAGCATAGGAATTTGAACAGATACAGAGATGTCCTGCCATGTATGTTGTTTTTGCTTATAAGTCAGCATTCTTGCTTATAAGTCAGTCTGTCTACAAGCAATTACTTTATGTATGCTCTTAATTAAACACTTAGTCAAGTCACCCATTGCATTGACATTTTATGGTCTCTCATTTTTCAGATGACCACTCAAGGGTTGAGCTTGAAGCTGGAAATACAAACTACATAAATGGAAATCTTGTTGAGGTTTGTTGAAATTATGACTTTTGGAAACTAAATGTGCTAAAAACTAAAGAAACCATTGGTGTTGCTATTTTTTATCATTTTTCAAAGAAAATTATCTCTGATAAGACTTTTAATTGTGATGAAGTTTTTCTTGTGGAGATACCATTACTTGTCCAGATTCACCTTAAGGACAACTGTTTCTATTCCAAAGTTACAATAACATGCAAATTAATTTGTGGCTTTGAAAAAAGCAAACATTTTGAAACATGTTACTAAAGCTTTTTGTTTGACACTCTTCAGAGTATAAAATGTCAGAACATAGACTGAAAACTCTACGCTAGTAAGCATATACCCAGTTGTGGATCAAACTAGGCCATTCAGAAACAGGAGCACATGATTGTTGAGGTAGCCCAATTAGTGCTGCTTGCCTATTTAGGCAATCTCAACAAAGCTCTTTTTTCTATATTTGGCACATATCTCTCCTGCTGAATTGAACTCTTTTTTAGCTCTTTATTTGCCCAAGATTTATTAACCCTAAAGTATTTGAACTCTGAATAAACCCTTTGTTTTAGTCCCATCTCATCATTATAGAGTTTTCAACAAAGATTAATTGTTTTTTATACAACTTCATTTTTTCAGGTTGATGAAATTGGCAGAAAGTATATTTTGACACAGGTATTTTTTTCAATGTTTTGATTGACCTTAGAAAACTTGGCTATTTGATATCAACTTATCAACTGTCAGTGCACTATCTTTTGAACAGTGGCAAAATTGTGTGTGTCAGTCAAGTTCTTCAGCTAGATTTTGACACAACATTGCTAGCTGGTTCATCATCAAAGATTTTATTATCTTGTATCACAAACATTGGATCTAGAATATAACTTTCTATTTTAGCAGTGTCTCGGATTTATCTTTTTATATAAATCCACTTTTGGAAAAATATCTTGTAAACAATCTTTTGATTGTACATAACTTGAAAATGGCTTTGAGAAAAGTAAACATTTAAGTAAACTAAAGCTTTTTGTCTGACACTCTTCAGAGTTTAAAACGTCAGAACATAGGTCGAAACTCTATGCTAGGAAATATACCACGTTGTGGATCGAAATAGGCCAATCAGAAATGCAAACACATGACTGTCGAGGGCGCCCCATAAGTGCCACTTGCCTATGAAAATATTTTGTGTTCTGATCCATCAAAGTTGCAGCCAATTCTTTATTGGTTATTAGTCGATTGACAGATTTTGTGAACAAGTTGCTTTATGTTAGTTGATGCATATATGAATGAGATTGAAGAGTGAAATGAATCAAGTCTCAAAGGAATATTTATATATATACATATACTGTATAGATATATATAAATGTTCATATATTATATATATATATAGCAAGTAAATATAAATGTTATTTTATACTTAACCTTTTTACATAAGGGAAATAACCGCCTCATGAAACCAGATGCTACATTTTGAATTTGGAACATTAAGGTGCTCAATGCGTAATTAATCAAAATCGTTTTTTCCCTTTATTGTTTAAGTACAATGCTGTCATTGTTCATTTTACCTTCAGGGTCCCTTGCCTGATACCTGTGGGCACTTCTGGCAAATGGCATGGGAGCAGAATAGTGGAGCAGTTATCATGCTTAACAAGGTTATTGAAAAAAATGCTGTAAGTTTCTTGTTTGTTGTTTGAGCATTTTTCTTGAAGCCTTAAAATATTTCCGGTTGGTATTTAAGATTTTTTGTTTTGAAAATTGCGGATTCTTTGAGTCTCAACAAACTTTTCAAATATTTTTCAATTTCCACTATGGGTACTACCAGTTTCTAGTAGATATGAAGTTGTGACCAACAATCAAATGTTTCCCACATAGAGCCTTATAGTGCATAAAGTTCTTGTGAAACACTGAACAATACCATATATAAATCAATTGAGCGCTCATCTCGAATTAACAACCTTGTAAATGGTAAAAAATTTAATAAGACTCCCCTCCTGCGAATAAGTGCCTCGACTGAGTCTACACACAACTGTGAATTGGTTTTTATTGGAGGACCGTCATGACGGGACCAGGGACGCCAGAACGATCAAGGGGCAAAGGGAGCAGGCTTGCATAAAAGGGCATTTGACAAATAATTCCCAGCTACCGAAAATTCTTTTCTAACTCTCATTTTGATTCGATCTTCTGTAGATGTCTTAAAAATCGGCTTACTTTTTGCATAAGAAATTTCTTTACAAGTTTTGAAAAATGTCGTCACAAATAAGAGTCTTTTGATAATTACAAGTATTAAATGCGCTTCTATGAAAAGTGCACTTTGGCCCCTCTTGCCCCTCTTATCAAAAGGCAACAGGGGCGGTTGCAGGAGCCATTTTTTAACTTAGGAATAGTTTAACACCTTTATTTGCCAGTAGCTGTGAGCAAAAGAATTTGTAAAATCTTGGAAATTATATTCATGATTATAGATACCATCGGCTGCAGGGGGGTAGAAATGGCACTTATACCCTGGAACCTGTTGGTGAAATAAACACTCTCCCTCCTCATGCTGATAAAGAAACTTTTACACTTTATGCAACAATATAGACATTTGATCGTATTTAAATTGCCAGACTCTTTCTTTTTTGCAGGTAAAGTGTCATCCATATTGGCCCATGGGAGAGGATGAGGTTATTGAGTATGGTGATTACACAGTAAAAAATCTCTCTGAACGGTCAGAATCAGCTTATGTAGTCAGGGACTTACAGCTCGAACATACTCCGGTAATGATTACTTATTTGTTTCAAGGTACCTAGGCATCACTGGTCCCTTAACTGAGTATTTTCTATGTTATGAGGTTTAAACTAGTGTGCGTAAGTCTACCTACAGTGGAAACAGGCATCCAGCTACAGCACAAGAGTGATCTAATAGTCCTTACCTTCTGAACTTTGCATGAGACCTGATAAGTTAAGTCATAAAGATTAACTTTAAACTCTTTTTTGGCTTTGAAGAAAGCAAACATTTAGTAAACTAAAGCTTTTCGTCTGACACTCTTCAGGGTTTAAAATGTCAGAACAAAGACCGGAAACTCTACGCTAGGAAATATTTATACCCAGTTGTGGATCGGCACTGATTCGTCAACCTCAACAGTCGCGTGCTCGTGTTTTCTGATTGGCCTATTTCGATCCACAAATGGGTATATATATTTCCTAGCGTAGAGTTTTTGATCTATGTTCTGACGTTTTAAACTCTGAAGAGTGTCAGACGAAAAGCTTTAGCTTACTAAATGTTTGCTTTTTGCAAAGCCATTTTCAAGTTTTGTACCACAAAAAGATTGCTTGAACTATTTTTTCTAAAAATCAGTCAGTCTACATATTGATTTAAGAACCTGTTGAAGATATTTGAATTAGGCATCGCTTTTAAATAACAAGATTTTTTCAGAATTTTTTATTAGCTTTCAATGATTTCCACGCAAATAAGAAAGGAAATTACCTGGGAAATTTGGCTTAATTGCTTAAAAACATCTTTTCTTTAAAATCTGTTTATCTACTGTAATTTCATCTACGTTTTATCAATTAACAAATCGCCAAGAGGAAAATGCTTCTACGTGACTGAATTTTTTCCCTTTGTTCAACAATTTTTGTGTTTGATTTAGATCTTCAAATTGTTAGGCTCTTGAAAAAAGTTATATTTCAGTGAAATTTAGATTTTATTTGAAGTTTTTTTAAAGATGCAAGAATATCTACTTTTTACTTGATTTATGCCGTGGTTTTGTTTAATTCTCTTTCTTGTAAAATTCACAGCAAAATTAACATTTGTTTTCCAGAGTGGCAAGTCTCGAAGCATAAAGCAATTTCATTTTATGCTGTGGCCTGATTTTGGTGTCCCTTCAACTCCTGAAACGTTTTTAGAGTTTCTGTACGACATTCGAGATTCTGGTGTTTTTGACCCGGATGTGGGACCTCCTGTTATTCATTGCAGGTAGAAAGGAATCATCATTATTTTTTTTTTCTGATAAAGCTAGTAAAGAGTAGATCACTATTGTATATACATAAGGAAATTAAATATAATTTCGATGTCTCGAGTACAGCTCTTTATAAGTTAAGAATTGGAGGAGTAACGGTTAAAAAGAGAATCGAAGAGTATATTGGAAAGATTAACTACAGTTTATGTAACGCATCGATAATCAGTTGAATTGAGCGTGTTTTACTTCGAGTAATAAAGTAACGACTTTTTACAGGAATGAATGATAAGTACGAATTTAACTCTTCGCAATTCCTGATAAAGAGTTATTCTCGGAACGTCGTACTTATATTTCATTCTTGTACAATGTTGTTATTTTATTGTATTAGTGTATGAAACGCAGTAGGAATACGACCTAGAGCATAAGACGAGATGTAAGAATATATATTAGGGGGTAGTGAAAACATAGGTAAGATAAGATAAGATGTTAAGATAATAGTTGGGTTAGAAAAGATTGTACAAAGAGTGCAATAGGAAAGTGCTGATAATAACCTGGAAATATCAGGGCAGAAAACCGTTTGTCTTGAATACGTTGCATTGCGAATAGCACCCTGTTGCCCCATACCGAAGCGCCGAACCGTTTGCCATAGGCCTATCTTTTCTTGGAATTTCGCAAGACTTTTTCTCTCTTGAGATAGGGCTTTAGTGCGCGCAGTTGATAACTGTCCCTTATTTCTAATTTGATTATAAGCGTCCATCAAATAAATTTTGCTTTAGATTTGTTGTCGAATTGATGTTCTCTTTTGTTTAGCATAAACATAACAAAGCGCCAGGGGGGGGGGGGTCATTTTATGACGATGACTGATCGGCTTTGTTTGGGGATTATTTTGTACGCAAATTAACTGCTGCTTTACCACTAGATATATATATATGTTAGGTTTTGAGAATTTGTGTTTCAAAAGTGTTCTTGTCTTTTTCCAGTGCTGGTATTGGGCGATCTGGAACTTTTTGTTTAGTGGATACTGCGTTGTTAAAAGTATGTATAGAAACCTATATCTTTAATTTTGCCCTCTAACCCCATAATATACAGTACATCTTCAGAAATTTATGTAAACCTATTCCGTCCACCAGCCATTTTCTTCGACATGTATTGGCTGGAAGAAACACTGAAGCGCTTTTGATATTCATCTGGCAATTTGAAAACAGAATTTCGACAATTTCTTTTGAAAACTTGTTTTACATAGTATTATATAAGGTTATTATATATATTTATGATTTATATTTACATATATGAAGTCATGAAAAATATTCACCTCTCTGTCATGAAATGCTCGATTCCGTAAAGGTAGAGTTGCACATGCTTTTGGGGTATAGAAAGGAACGGACTCTACTTTAGGTTGCTACATGTTTTACGCTTAATGTGATCACCTGGCATTTGCCTATAGGTATGATAATATTTTGATTGTGATAATACAGTTGCATCTCGTTTATTCGGACCTTCAGAATGTCCGACCCACCCAGGGTACGACTTTTGACTTGAATAAAATAGGGGTATCCAATGGAAATTGAAAATAAGTCCGACTTAGTGAAAGTCCGACCCATCCAGGGTACGACTTTTGACTTGAATAAAATAGGGGTATCCAATGGAAATTGAAAATCAGTCCGACTTAGTGAAAGTCCGACCCATCCAGGGTACGACTTTTGACTTGAATAAAATAGGGGTATCCAATGGAAATTGAAAATAAGTCCGACTTAGTGAAAGTCCGACCCATCCAGGGTACGACTTTTGACTTGAATAAAATAGTGGTATCCAATGGAAATTGAAAATCAGTCCGACTTATTGAAAGTCCGAGCTATCCTGGGTACAACTTGGTAGAACTCATCTGTATAAAGTACATTGGACTATATTCATTTATTTCTTTTATAAACAGGCAGAGCAAGATGGTAAACCGGATTTGATTGACGTCAAGAATCTTCTCCTTCATTTACGACGATATAGAGTAGGCCTTGTGCAAACGCCCGAGCAGTTAAGATTTTCGTACCTGGCAATTATCCAGGGAATCGCCCGGATGTATCCGGAGGTTTTCAAATTTGAGGAGCAAGAAACTGGGGGTGAGTTCATTATAGCAGTGAGAATATATTGTTGATTATATAATATATTGTTTTAGGAATTTAACTGTTGTTATGATTTTAGTCATCTTCCACAAAGGTTCCTCTCGGTGAGCAGAATTTAATTTTATTTAACTTACTCAGTAAAACCAAATACCACCAGCGGATTAAAACCGTATCGCAATTTAGATTTTATTCTTGAAAAATTTACTTTGTTTTGATCATTTGAACTTCAAACGAAAGTTCGAGAGCCTCTTCTTAAGCGGCTTCGAAAGTGTGTTTTTTACAACCCTTCGCTATTATTTTTTCAGAAGTAAATCAATATTGTTACCTATTAGTTATTTTCGTGAGTGTGTAGATTTTATTCAAATTTAGTGGCTAAATTTTGTTACGTAACGGATGTGGAGGGAGTTACGAGTTATGTTATGTCCTGTTACAAGGGGGGGGGGAGGGGGGGTCAAAATTTTGCCTAAAAGGGGGGTTACGTAACAGTTGAATGATCCTAAAGAGAATTTTCAAGAAAAGGGACATTTTCTAAATTTTGCACGTAGCTCTGATTTTTCTTGTTTCCGACGTCCTTGATAACGTAAGTAATGTTTTGTTGATAAACTATCCTGTATTAACTGGTGTTTATTCATAAGTAGCATTGAAAATGCACAAAATGGTAAGATCTTTGTCTTTATTTGGTTGCCTTGAATCATTTGAGTAGGTTTCTGAAGCATCACGATGTAAGTATAGTATCTGTAATTTCCATAATAAAGCAATTTCCACGAGGAGAACTTTCACCACCAGTTCGCTGCGAAATTCTCCTCGTGAAAATCATCTCCTATTGGATGTTAAGCGACAAATCTGTTTAAATTTTTTTAGCTTCACATAAACGCAAGGTAGAGGATGATGAACCCCCGCCAATACCGCCCAGGAAACCGCCAAGACGGTTTGAAAATGTCCCAACGACGGCAGCAGAAGAGTCTGAGAAGCAACAGAAAATGGTAAAAAACCTGCAAGGTATGCTTACTAAAAATTGTTTTCCGACTCCTGCCATTTTTCGAGGGGGCTTTCAAGAGCATTATTTTGCTTGGATATGTGGTGCATTCTTGAAAGGTTATTTACCTACGAAATTTACAACAGTCAGAAAATAACTTGATTTTTTGGAAACAAAGCTTTGGTGCGCTTTTATCTGTTTTAGGTCCACCGCTAACTTTGATTTAAGGAGCCCGTTCATGGCTGGACTTTGAATTTTCTCCCTTAATGGTTCGAAAGAAGAAATTCTTATTTTCACGGCCTTGTGTACCAGCTTTTTGCATGTGTTTTCAATTGATTCTATCGAGTATTTTAAGTTCTTTTGACTTTAATTAGAAGTAACACGTACATGTACTCAAATAATATCGCTATTTTTGTCAAAGATGGCGTTGTAGACGAGTCTTCAGAAGAAGATGGCAGTGAGGAGGAAGTTCTAGATTTATCTGGGTCAGAAGAAGAAGAAAGCGGCGAGGAGGAAGTTGTAGAGCTTTACGAAACGGATGAAGAGGAAGATGAAATATCAAATGAACAAGTGTCAGGAAAAGAGGCGGGGGATGAAATTAAGGATAACACTTTAGAGACATATGGAACTGATGATGAAGAGACTGAAACTTTTGAGAGTAGCATTCCAGTGCCACCTGTTCCATTGAATAAACCGTTGCCGCCATTGCCGGATGAAGCTAAAGGCAGCTCATCAGATCACGAAACAGAACCAGAATCAAACGCCGGAGAAGGAACTAAAGCAACGGACAGTGGTTGTTCAAAAACGGAGAAACTTCTTCCTGTGTTCACTGAAGAAGATGAAGAGGACTCGATAAGCAAGTCGAAGAATACTACTGAAAAACAAACATTGACTTCTAGTGAACTTGAAATAAAACAGGGGTCTCATGCAAGACTTAATGAAGGACTTCACCATGGGTCGAAGGGTGGACCCAATGTAGGGGATCATAATGAGCCTGAAAGTAGGCCATTGCGAGAAGTGAGCGATTCTTCAAAAGAAACTTCTGAGGATACTTCTACAGTCAAAGAGATTCCTCAAGCAAGTGGCAGCAGAGAAGAGGAAGACAAGGCAAGGTAACACTTTGTTCCTTTCTCATTGAATTAGCAGTTCTTATTATCATCATTATTATTATTATTACTACCAATTTATTTACAGCAGGCTGCTAATAAAGGTAGGGCGTATTTACAGCTAATTTTTGCCTACTACAAAATTAAAGATGGAAATGAATATAAAAGGTAAAATTTACACATAAAATAGATCTAATAAATACTTAAGCGGCAATGATATATAAAATATTTTTAAGTTATTTACAGCTTTTTCTGATTTTTTTAAATCAACAAAACGAACCTTTGCCTATCCTAGTGCGAGGATGGCTCAGTTGTTAGAGGCGCTGACTACAGACCCAAGGGTCCGTGGTTCGAGTCCCTGGCATGACTAAACTTTCACCCAGAGTGAAGAGAGTCGCCAGCTCTCTCTAATTCCAGGCGTAGGAATCACGAGGTGTGGTCACATCGAGAGGAAGGACCAGGACACTGCTCGATGAACATAGCTTCTCAGTGTCCTAAAAACTACTTTCGGATGCTAGGTAGAAACAAATACAAATACAAAAATACAAATACTGTCTCACCTGCAATGTCAATAGGTTCCAATCTGCCTTCTTTTGTCACGGTTTTTACAATGCCTTTTAACCGTGTGGACAGCTGTTTTCAGTGCAACAAAGTTTCTTCATTGTGTATATCTTGACTGAACATCTTTAGATGTGACAGGACCCAATCTATAGTTGTTAGAAATCGCAGCAACGAAGAAGCTATGGTTTACCTTACAGTGCACTCTCAAATCTACTCTCCCCTACGAACATGACAAGCTTTCTCCTTCTTTCCCCTAAAAATAACGTAATTTCCCTTACAATATCCACATTTCCCCTTACGAAATCCAATTTTTATCCTACATGATGTTTTGTTAACTAGCTATAAATACAGCTTTGTTGTTTGTTTTCGTTTTACTCTCGCAACAATACTGATAAAGTTATAACGATCCACTACGTATCGAGACTATTCTCCGAATGACAATTTTGGTCCAGCTTCTCATAAAATCTTAACATGTAAATCCATTGCCTTATGCTAATGCATTGCACCAAGATACAATAAGGAACTAAGATAGTGTAACTAAAACCCTCGATTTACCTCCCTTTCCGCATCCCAATTTTCGGTGGAACGAGCTCTGTTGTCCGACCGAAACCACCTTTGACAAGAGCAAGCCTTGCCGAGGCGAATGAGCCGTTGCTCTTGCATTTCCATCATGTTTTAGTACGGTTTCCAGCCACACTTCCTTCGCCTGTTTTGTACGTTTTTGTATGCCAACGCCATCTATGTAGTTTTACAGCCCATGAAACATTAGCGGTACTGCAAGGCCCCTGCAGAGGGCTTACTTACTTTCTCACGTTCTAGTTAAATTTGCTAGAAAGAGAAGGCTTTTGTAATAGTTCAAGGGTTCAAGATATATATTATGAACATTTTTTGCGTTAAAGCTGCTTCACATCTATGAAAGATAGCAGTAATTGTTTTAAATCATGTTTTAATGAAGAATTAATATATGATACGGTCTTTGTCCTCATCAGCATCATCAAGGTTGGATCTAAATCAAGGGTTGAGTTATTTCAAATTTATGACGTAAAAGGAGGGGTTTGTAGAATGAGGGCTTTGTTGAGAGGGGGCTTTGTAGATAGGGAACTTTGTAGAGAAGGGCCATAATAGAGTTTTTACAGTATTTGCGTATGTCAACAGACATGAAATTTTTGAGAATCTGTTAATTCTGTAGTTTCGTATTTTTTGGACATCTAGTATATAGACCGTGAATCTGGCAGATATCTGAAAGATGACTGCTGTCGGGGATTATAAGATGCCTGCAACCATGTTCCTGGTAGCCATTTTGAAATTCTGTTCCTTATCCATTCCTTTCAATCAGTCTGTTGTTTGTTTGCAGAATGTATTTGGTTTAAAAATGAAAATCGACACGAATTGCTTCTTCTGGCCATATTTCAAAGTTATAAGGAGATTGTCTTCAGCTGTTACCCTATCAGAAGTTATTTTTCTTGTTAAGTATATGTATGATGGTTCTGATCTATGTTGTAGGTCGTAGTTTTTAATTTGAATGAGTCATTTGCTATCTGATTGTGTAGTAGATATAGCTATGTGAAGAACTATTTTAAAAGACTGAGATAGAGTCTTAAGTATTTAGGGTTGAAAGAACGATAATAAGAAAAAAGTAGGAACAAAGTGAAGAAAAATTAATCTCTAGCATTTAATGTAAAAGGAGCTCTCAGAAAGAGTCCAGAAAGGTCCTTGACCACGCTCCGGTCAAAATTTTTCCCCCAAAAACCTTCCTCCAATTTTTAAGGCAATCACCGCGGATCGGGTGTGGCTAGGTGTGGCTAGGGCGTGGCAAGAGCATAAGGGGTGACAGACGCAATAAATCGAAACAAAATTATGTGTTTGGGTCGATGATAATTATCACATACGATAAAACTTTGCTACAATAACATTCAAATCATTACAGCTCAAGAATAATATTTCGTTTTAAATGTCGAATAATAAAATCGATATGAACATGCTATGATAAAAATTTAAAATTTAAAACAATTTAAAACCGATGTATTTAATGGCTGTAAAAGGGCGTTGCCTAAAAACTATTATTTTGTTCCGAAGAACAACGCAGAAACAAATGCATACTAAGTTATCTCGATTGTTTTTTAAAATTACTGTTTACTAAAATCTTTCCCCAAATTTCTATTGTTTCTCAAACCTTTCTCCGGTTAATGACCGTGGGACCGTAATGTTTTCTGGACTCTGCTCTGATTATGAAAATTGCGATAGTATTTCCTGTTTTGTTAAACGGCTTTATGGTCGCCAGCCCACCGATTGCAACTTAGCAATTTATCACGTATTAAACTTAACTTCTTAAAGTATGTTATTGTTATATTTTGTGGTTGGATATTAACTCAACATAAATAATATTTTGTCTGGTTTTTAAGTATACAATTTATTGTACTACCGGGCGAGAATCAACTTTATGATTTATCATTTTTTGTTTTTAAGCAAAATCACCGGTTAGGTTTCAAGCTACAATCAATGACAAAATTATTAGGAACACCCAACACTTTGCGCTTTGCTTTTCTATTTTCTCATTTATTTTCCCAAATACTTCTTCCAACCCCTCTTTCTCCCCAAAACCACGTTGACAGTTTAGAAAAATATCACACAAGCCACAAGAAAAATCAAACACCGTAACATCTTCTCTTCTTCTATCGTAAATCAAAATTGTTGCTATTGGGAGAGGGGGGTGTCTGAATTTTCCTTTGAGAACTGACGCTAGTGTTCCAAGACTTTTGACAGTAACTGTATGCATTTCATAAGGCGATCAACATCCCCATCATTTTTTAGTTTCAAACAAACCTTTATAGATACATAATTCTTGACAGATGTGTATGATCTGTTTCAGAGAGGAAAGAGAACTACGTCAGAGGAAAAGACGTGACGAACGGAACCAGCAGACTACTGAAACAATAGAAAGAATCAAGCGAAAGATGCAAGAGCAGAAAATTGCTGCTGCCAGAAATGTGCTGTTCAAGAAAAGCCTAATTGCATTAGCGATCACTGCAGGTCTGCTTGCTGGCTACTATTGGCTCTTTGGGTAGCAAGTTCATATACGAAGAGGGTGATGGTCAATCGGATTATTCTAGGGGTCAACAAGTTTGTATTTTGATAATAAAAGGGTGATAGTTGGTATTAGACCCATCCTTATACTCTTTTGCCATTGATTAATAAATATGATTCCTTTTACACGTTCTTCGAAGATGGGTTTACTAGGGATAACAGATTTTCTTCTGTAAAAGTCTTAGTCAGTACAAGGTATCAGCAAATTCGTCAACCTGAAGGTATTGTCTTCATCGTCCATCTGCGAAATCAGTCCTTGCTTCAGAGGATAGAGTTCAGTTTTTTGTAATGTTACACAGATGTTTTTTTTAAATTCCTTTATTCGTCGTATCTTCGCAAGTTACTCTTACACAAATATCTGGCATGTGTATTAGGAGCCCAAACTGAAAGATGCAAACATTGATGGGCCTAAAAGACATCAGAATCTGTTCACGTTTTGCCTAGATGGCACCCTTATCGCCGAAAAAAAAAAATTATTTGCCATCTGAGACGTATTTTGAAAGTCGAATACTTTTTCTTTGGAAAAAGTTGCTGAAGTCAGAACTTTTGTTATGGCTAGGAAGATATTTGTATCTAAGAGAGTAACTGCGTGCAAGTAATTTCAAACATGCCATTGCAACTCCCTAGCAATTTTCTCTGCAAATTGCACCTTAGAATATTTGGACCTTTTCTAATGCTTAAAAACGTTTTTTTAAATTAGGTATTTTGTTTTTATTTAGCTATGTTTATAGCTATTTAAGGAAAAGTTGTTTAAAAACGATTATGTATGTGAGATTTGCCAGGATTTTCAATTTTTTGTTACTGCTGTTTGTTTACTGCGATTCACTAAAGGAATAGTAGAAAGCCTTCTTTACAACCGCCCCCCCCCCCGTAGTAACGACCCCACTGAACCGCTTCCTTGCGAACTAAAAAGATGAGCCACTAAAACGACAAGTTTCCTCGTCAAGGTTGACTTACAAAATGAGATATTGCCAACTCCATAAAGGTTAAAAATTTGTACTTTTGAGAACCCCGTCAAAAATTCATAATTTGGGATTTTTCCACTTCACTATTTCAAATGCCTAGCAGATTCATCAGTGGAGGATGTTTCAATTTGCTTTTCTGTTATGGATGCTATCGCTATTGTAGAGAAGAATCTTTTCCACGACGAAATTGAATTCTGCTGCCTCAAGTGATAAGCGTTGTAAAGTTTCAGTTATTAGAGCTTCTGAAGGGGTCGTTGGAATGGTCCTTTTAAAATGTCTATTTTGGGAAGTGGAAGTAGGCCTAAACAAAGTTGTAGCAGAGAAGACAGGGCTTAAATGAGTTTCGTCATCCCAGGAAGAAAATAGCAGGCTTTAGTTTTTCCTTGTCTGACGAAACTAAATGATTAGAAGGGGGTGGCATTCGTATTACGTTTGTTTCATGGTTAATTATCTTGTCGGGATAAATCTTTTGACCATGCATGTGGATGGTTTTAATAGATTCCAGCCAGAAATACCGTTTTATGTTTTTCTGACGAACTTTTTTGGACTTTTTACTTTCCTTGAAAACGTTTTAGATTAAAGCTGATTGCAGCCAAGCATTCTTAAGCTCTGTAATAGATTACCTCGGGAGGATGCAAAATTAAATATTCTCTTTAAACTTTCGACTCAACTGTAAAAGAACACATCAACAACTAACTTATAATTCAATTCAATCCAAAACTAAGTAAACGGTTACATGCGCGTATACCAGTCCATTATAATAAGGAACATATCAGTACCGTAAATAAGTACATTATAAGAAGCTCCTGCGCATCCTTTCCTGGTACATTTTCTTTAGGAAACGTTTATCCATGCTTTCACTCCTTCTTCAGATCCTTCTTTTATAATTTAACGACGCTCATAGAGATCGTTTAGGCCTTTATCACACCCTTTTGCCATTCTACCAATTTTTCTGCTCATCTCTTCGCCTAATCTCAACACAACTAGAATATCAGCAAAAAACTTAAATGGTAGTTTCTCTTTGTCAATCATCTCAAGAGCTATCACAAATAAGAATGGACTTGAAACCGATCCTTGCTGTAACCCCTAGCCTGTGCTCCAGTCCAATGCCAAAGCTTTCAACTCTTCAAATGCGATTTCTCATAGGATCAATTATGGAAAGTAAGTATTTCTGTTACCGAAGGGAAAACTGTATTAACAGATACAATAAAAAAACGAGCCTGGAAAGCCTGCTGTGCGTCTGAAGATTAATCCCCAGTTTATGTCTGCATAGAAGTTATGTTTGGCAAGTCTCAGTAGAAACTGTTTTTGTATGCCTACAAGCAGTATAGTTTTTGACTCATGTTGCTTGATGATCATGTTAAGTGCGAAACTTTGAAATTTCATTTAAAACCATTCTGTAGTAAACACTAGGGCGAGTACAGCTCTGCCTAGAAGGTATCTAGTATTTTAAATCGGTGTAAAGTAATTTCCATTAGTTTTTAGCCCATGCCTTAATCCCCTTGTATTTGAAGCTAGGTGAGTGGTTTGTGACTTGCACTACAAGACGAAATCTTTGCACCCCAAATTTTGTCCTTGCCAAGGTTTTATGCTCACTGTTAAAGAAAAACATGAAGCTGTCCGCATATTTTCATGCCTCGTTCCCGATTGAAAAATATATCGCAATTTGTAAATTTTCTTGGGAAAAACTCTTTTGTTTAGTTACAGATTACAGTCTTTTATCTAGCTACTTGAATACTATTTCTTTCAAGAACATCATCGATAGCTGAGATCCGATCTTAAAACTTCGGGATCAAATCTCCAGCAGGATCTGTTGTCAGGTCAAAACAATCTCAATATCTGACTTCATTTGTCTTTACCCATTTAATTGTTTCCTCATTCGTGAATAAGGTATGATGTTCACAAGTGGATGACAATCTTATTTCGGAGACTCATTTCTGCCTGCTATGCTTTTTGTAATACGATAGCTTTTGAAGCCCATAAAAACAGGGCTATACTTTTTTGAATGGCGCTATCTTCCCATCTTGGTTTGGACGCCCTTTTTCCATCCTGGCCTCAATTATTTCAGAATCTTCACCTGGGCCTAAATTACATTTGATAATAAAGAAAGCAATTCGTTTCAGGTGTTACATATGAAATTATTTGACTATAATAAAATGAGAACAATGGCGTTTGTTTTGCAAAAGAGAACCTTGAGCATCGACTAACAATGGATATGAATTATAGATAAGAAGCAGGTATATTCCTCGCGCTGTGCATAAGAAGCAGGGAACGTTCACCTGTATGAAAGTACATAGCATATTTTGAGCAATGGGAATATACAAACAAAGACCCAATCATTGAACACTCTCCTATTGGACAGTTCACTTAACTAGTTCTTTTTTCAAAGTGTCTTACAAGGCGGTGCCTCGACAAATTTCAGATCAGTCTGCTAGCACCAACGTGTACTAGACTGGTATAAATTCCTGTTCGCCGTTCAAGATTTCAAATACCACAAGATATGTCCAGCGAAGAAAACAAGCCGTTTGTGCAGTCATTTTTGGGAAAGAAAAAAATAACATCCAGCGAATTTATTGCAATTTTCCAGAGATACGACCAAGATGGTACCTGTTTTATATTTTTTCTTCTTGATTATTTATTTTCAGCAATGTCGCAGTTAATGATTTTTGCTGTTTTTGCACATGATTTGGCCTTTGAATTACTGATCGTTGCATTTGACTTCTCAATAAATGTATCAACTATATTTTTCAATGCAACTTGTGCTACATTGAATGATAACTCGAACAAATTTCTACATCGGTAATTCTTTAACATCGGAAATTCTTTAACAACAAGATTCTTTGAGATTCTATCTTGCATTTGGGGCTTATAATAAATAGTCCGGCAGTGGATTCATCTATGCTTGGACAAGGTTCAGGTTTTGCTACTTTTCATTCCCCGACATTACCTACGGTATAAGTTCTTTCCAATCGGATAAAAATCAAGGTCTCTAATTGATCGATGATAAACACTGACTTTTTCATTGCTTGTCAAAAGTCTTACTTGTTCTCGAAGCATGCGTAATCTTTAACAATCGTCCCTAAACAAAAAATTATTGAAAACAATCAGACAAAATAGCATTGAAAACATATTCTAGTTGTAAAGTTCCTACAATCGCAGAAATATTATCTTGATTAAGCTTGAACATGATAAATTGAATCTCAAACAAATTGCATTCATTAAAAAACCAACAAAGTACTCATGAATATGATTTTCATGCCCCGTTGCATGCTCAATGTTACAAATAATATTGAGATCAATTTTTACTTATAAAAAACTACAAATGTAAATAAGTTATAAAGGTATGGACATGAAATCAGTCTTAATCAGTAAAAGGTTCCTTTCCACACAGAATTGATTTTATTTTTATAATGACGTAATAAAATGATAGAAATTCAATGTTTCTTCGTTTCCAAAAATCAAATAGTTTGTATTTACAGTTTATTCAAAGAAGCAATTATTTCTTTAATACTATTGGCAAATTGTATGACCTAATGCTTTATGGATCAATTCTGACACGTAGCTATTAACAGATTTGTGTTATATGAATTTCCTTTGGTTGCACAAATCGCCGGATCTAGTGAGTCAGTGATCTATCCAAATCACAACGAATCGAATCATCATCATATCGAATCGAACAATCATAGAGAAAAAGATATAGCTAAAAGTCTAGAGCTACTCGATTGTGTGATCTTTGATTCCTTCTTCGAAAAGATTGTAGAAGTCTTATAATCCTAATAATATGTACCCTTGAAGCAAGACAGGTCAAGGAGTTATCTCTGAATATTTTGATCCTGATGTAATGTACCTGACATCAAATAGCCCCCAAGCAAGCGAAAAAAGGGAGAACCGAACAGTTCCTGAAAAATTGGGTAATATTGAGGCTACCCATTTGTCCCCTTTCTCCAAAATTAAAGCTACATTTTTAGCCCGATTCTACTTCCCGGCCCTCAATTCCCGAATTCAAGTGTTTTTGATTCCCGAATCCCTCTCACAAAAAATTGCCGTTCCAGAACCCTGACTCAAAAAGAGACGATTCCCGCTTTCCGAAAATCATATTGCGTATCCCCTATACACCTTCAAAGTAGGGAATCTTAAGGTTAACTTTATGTTTGAGCATTACCGAAGTTAAAGGAAACTTTTGCATTAGTTCGTCAATTACAGCAAGTATTCAAGCCGTTATGACATCACTAAACGTGCAAACAAAACAAGCACCCAAAACCTTCTAACAAAACACCCAGCTGTGATGAGACACGAACTAACAGCAGCTGCTCTTCAGATATATTGTTTTAACGTTAACTGTTGAGCGACGATTGGCCTCCTGTTCTAATTTGCAACTTTTGACAGCGCTATTCTTTGATACCAATCGATATTTTTAGATTTTCAACCAATTACCTGTGAAAAATCAATTCTATTCGAAAGACAAACAAAATATTTCGTGATCACGTTTTTTATTGCAGACTTGATTTAATTACACTCTCACTTTGTTATAACGAAAGATTCGTTCAAAGTAAACAGAAACACAGCGTCTGTTTTTCGTTTATTTTTTTATTTCATCAATTCGTGTTTTGTACATGCATGACCTATCACAATTTGTTAAATCAAAGCCATTGTAAACGAGCCAACGAAATAAATTTCCCTTAAAATAAAAACTGAATCTGTTTTATGATTACATTTATGATAAATGCCAACTTTTAATTGACACGTAAACATGAAGATGGAACCTTCTTCGGGAATCGTCCCGACGAACGTCAGAATACGCAAAAACAAATCTCAATCATTTGTCATATGCATAATTCCATACATCCATTCAGCACATTCCGCGATAGATTGAAAATGGAGCCTTTGCTTGTCAAAGTACAAAACGTAAATATCTTGAATATTTTCTTCAACATAGGCGTATCCTAAAGCTTTTGCTCCGTTAACTTGCCCAAAACCAAGACCAGTGTTGTCCTACCAACATTAGATTCTGTTAAGTCAAAAATGGTAACTTTTACATCAATTGCTCCTCAAGGCTCTTATCCAAGTATATTGCTGTCTATTTGTGTAGCATTAATGTGTCTAAAATGCGGCCTATGAAACCCTGTCTCTCCATCATAATCGCTGCATATTTTCTAACAGTGGAAAATTTCGAATAAAATGTCGAATAAAATTTTAATTTCTTGAGAAGCTATTGAAGGGTTCTATTTATCTACAAGGTGCTGGGTTTTGCGTAATTTCTCATCCTAGAGCCATGTTTTTTTGAAAGAAGCAAAACGATCTTTGTGGGTTTGTGTAGTGCAGGCTGAATTCAAATGAAAGCGTTAATGATCTCATTAATCAAATAGAAGCTCTGTTAATCGTGCTGCAAATTAACATAAGGTATTTTTAATATGGTTTCTAAAAGACTTTCAAAAGCAATTTTCCAGCTCTTCATTTGAAATTGAAAGCTTTCAAATCCATCTAATATGATCTCTTCAAACACTATTTTTCATAAAGAAGACCTTGATCTCATGTCAGCTTGTGAATTATTAATTAAAGACATATAGAACAAACGACTCACTTTAAATTTCCTTCGTCTTTTTGGCAATTAACTGCTAAATGAAAACTGCAGTTCTAATACAATCTGTCATTTTTAAAAGCATCTGGATTGATCACAATTATATGGAAAATTCTAAATGAAAAGTACGAGTAAAACACAAATCTCGTATTTGCATACCAAATCACAATTTTTATAGGCGTGTTAAACAAGTATTATATCATCCTTTACAAGCATGACACCTAAAACCGCTACGGATCTACTCCAGTCCACTTCTAGTCTGATCGTCGAAATAGTATCCACTGTCAAGAAACTGCATATACCCCCAGACTTTGTGTTGATTATGTACATACCCCCCGATATTGTTTTTTAAGTTAAGAATTGAGTTGCAAGCCTAAGCGCCTGAACTTAGTTTGGACCTATAAATCACGTTTCGAGTTATTCTTTAGTACTTGGTGTGGGGCCTACCCACATAGCTTTCCCCAAGAAGTTATCTTGCTAAAATATGCAACATCTACTGCGTTTTTAAAATACTATGACATGGCTGCAACAAAGATAAGAAAGCAAGTACAAAGGAATCATTCGCAATTTGAAAGGTAGAGCATTTAAAAGGCACTGTGACAGTATCTTTTCCTTCTGACTAGTAATCTGAAGACAGATACTCCCTCCATTATTTGTGGCTTTGATAAATAACAGTTGCCTATAGTATGCAACGGAACAACCACTGAGAGGGAGCTTTGCACATAAAAAACATTTGGTCAATAAAAATATTCATAGTTTGCCATAAGGGACACTTGAAGAGACCAGCGTGGAAACAGCATGCCAAATAAACACGATAATCCCGACCCCAAGCAATTAAATACATCCACCTGGACAGAGGACCCACACTTTCATGCAGAAATTCCTTCTTCTCTATTACACTTGTTTTTTTATAAGAAACTGGCTATAAGAAACGAGTACTGGACAGTCAGAAAAAATTAAGAAACTTCAGTACTCGAGCAAAAAAATTAAAAAACTATTAAATCGTGATAAAACTGAGAACAACGAAATTTTGTAAAATCCAAGAACAAGATTGCTCTGATGTCCTAGAACTTAAGACACAAGAAAAAGAATATACTTTTCGCATCTTAATACACAATCAAAACGGAAGCGAATCTCTTGACGTGTTAGAAAAGGTCACGAACATTTCATAACATCATTCATGACATCATAATTTAGAAACTCTTAAGAAACAATGAGTATTGAAATTCTAGAACATTAAGAAACTGGAGTACTCAACATCGACCTTCATTTCTTATAAAAAAATAAGTGTATTCCTAACAGCATCGAAAGAGTATATAAAGATTTAATTACCAAACTGAAGCATGAAAACTGACACCCAAATGAGAATAATACAAATAAGCTAAAATATGAACCCCTAGCAAAATCAAATTTAACAACATCGCTCGTGAAATTAATTCGGATATAATTTCATTTGATCAGCATAAAAAATTGTAAGATTCATGAACATGTTGCCCCCTCCCCCTTGTTCCCATTTGCCAGTTGCTTGCATTAAAATGCAATCGTAATATTTGGTTGCATGACTTTAATAAACATGAACACAATATTTAGTTGTTTTTAAAATTGTGAGAAAAGAAAGGAACCCGATATTTCCGTCTATAATATGGCAGTGATACAATTTGATTGGTCGTTTATTGTTCGATGGATTTGTTTTGACCAATCAGGTTCTCAGCTGCTAGAATCAAACGTTCAGGGGGGAGGGGGGACTGGTCTTTCATTTAAAAGTAGATAGCATCTAGCAAGGTAGAAAAGTATAAAAAAATTTGAGAAATGGCATCAAAAGCTATGAGGAATTATAATTTAGTAAACAGAACATTAAATCGTGCCGGGATTGTTGTTGGCTGCATTTCACTAAATTCAAAGCTTACATGGATGATTAGGTAGCATCTGCTAGAAAAAAAAGCTTTACATCAAAATCATTTAACAATTGTATCTCAAAGTTTGACAGTATTATTGAAAATATTGCAATCTAAAGCTGGAGTTGGAGCTTTTAGCAATCATTCTAGAAAAAGTATGCCGAAGTTTCTGAAAACGGGTCACCATGTTTGGTTTAGGAAGTAACATAGGGGTAAAATCATGTTTTTTTAGCAAAGGGTGGAAAAATGTCACATTTATGGCCTTGGAATAAGTCTGTTTACACTTTCCATCGCTGTGATTGACTCGGCGTTGAGAGTGGCCATGTGATTTAGCCCTCAGCAAGTAAAGTTTTGAGCTCTGTGATTAAATGATATATCGTCTTGTATACAAAATAGTCTTAAAGGGTCTAAATTGAATATCTTGCTTGAATTTTGCGTGTAAATGGAAGCACTGCTTGGATTTTGCGCTTAGATTAAAAGCATTGATGAATTTCATGCTTTTGATGTTCAGAAAGTTCTATGTTAAAGGAAAAATTTGTTGTATAAAGGACGGCATGTTTTGTTCATCAATTTTGGTATGGTAAGACTTTTAGTCATCCTTTTGATTTAAAAATGTTGATTTCTCGACTCCATTAGATCTCATCCAGCTTTCGCTGCAATTGTAGTGGTCACCGCAAAGATCTTTTGCCTTTTAACCTAGGCCGTTTTATCAAGCGATTGCTGAATGTACAGTCATGATTGCGATCTTTATTGATAAGAGGCTAAGCCACGAGGAAACTTTTTTAAATCAAAGCAAGCGATTCAATATCATTTTTCAAAGAAGGAGATAAAAGGTTTCGTTAATAGATTTAAAACACTCAGCTTTTCGTCTAGCATGAACAAAATGTTATGAAAATAGTAACAGAATCTCTTGATCGTGAAATGCCGCTTAGACACCTTTTTGAAGAAAACATTATTAAAATTTACATTGTAAGTAAAGAGAGGAGGCGTTTTCCAAGCTATCATTTCCTTCCTCATATGTCCCTGAAATATCGTCTTGTAAAATTTTCCTCAAACATGCCTCAGTTCTTAATATCTCTTTTTTGTGCCAACTTTTTTTTCATGAAGTTTTGAATATTTGATATTTATCATATTTCAATTATTTTTATACTGTGATGAAAATTTAAGGCACCTCTCTTCTATCTCACTATGGGGAAATGCTTATTTTTCAATAAAAAAAGTCAAGTTTACAGATTAGCAACGTCTTACTCTAAGTATCAGAAACACAGGGTAGCAACGCCCATGACTATTTTTTGGTGACATAAAGGCAGTTTGAAAATAATAGAAAAATAGAAGCAAACGATAAAAAATGCTTTGCTCGAACATTTTTCCTCCTTAAACATTTAGACGAACTAAAAAGTGATCCCGCCAAGAACTAGGGGAAATGTCCCCCTTATCCCCTTGTAGCGCAACCAAGTCTCTAGTGATTACACCATTCTTTTTTATCCTTGGTCTGCCTGCTCATTGAATTCTTGCAATAATCTTCATCTTCGTCGTTGGAGAGAGATCTTTCTCTGCTTTTTCCAAGTTTTAATGCTTTAATCTTGATCTTCTTCAAGTAAACTTTTGCTTTATTCATCTGTGCAACCAAAACCAACAGAGGCAAAACTACATTTTCTATTACTTTTGAACATAGTGTTATGCTATGCTATCAATTTGATATCCAAAGCAATCTTTTCTACAGGAAACGGAAGCATTGACTGTGCAGAAGTGGATCATTTTCTGAAAGATCTTGCAAAGGAAAGTGGGAATGAGGTAGGCTTTTTCTTTCGAACTTCATGTAAACACAACATTCATTTGTAGGTAAAATAACTTGGCTCAGAGAAATAAATGGGCAAAGTCATATTCGATTGTTATAAACAAATCAAGCATCAGAACGTGAGGAATTTAGCAAAGTTTAATTGAAGAAAATTGTTAAGGCTATGCCTCTTTGCCCGAGCATAGATGTTGATCACATTGGAAGCAAATGAAGGCAGCAGGAAAATATTCTTGGGGGGGGGGGGGGTCAGCTGGTTTATCACCCCTTTTATATAGAAACTTGCACCCAAAACTGAAATCATGTCTGTAACGTAATTGTGGGTGTCATTGTCTCATGTACAAGTCTTTCTGAGAGTTGAATGAAGTCAACGGGAGAGATAGCCTCTTTTCCCTTCCCTCTCGCAATTCATCCCCATGTTCTTATTCCGTTTGCCTCTGGTGCCCAGGGCCTTTCTCTATCCGCTCTTTGATTTTGATTGGGACGATTATCAAAGAAAACGAATCAATCAACTTCTCATGAAAAACAGTTTGTAGTAGATATTGCTCAATCCAATTTTTCTTGTTTCCAATTTATATTGCTAAATACTTCCTAGTTCAAAGATGATGCAGAGTTCCGAGAATTCAAGGCCAAGATTATCGGAATGTACGATGTTGATTCAGACGGGAAGATAAGCATGTCTGAGGTGAGTGTCGGCGTCCGGGATTCTCAATAGAAATGGAATGGATGACAGTTTTACTAGCAGTGCTGTTTCTTCTTCTAATACAGCTACCAAACTTAAACCCATGGTTACTAAAGTCGGTACAACATGCTCAAAAGCTTTAACCTCGCATGCACCTGCAACGCCAAAGCTATCTTACCGACTAGACTACATTCTTTTTCATAAGAATAAAAGTTCAGGATCATTCAAATTTTACGAATATTGTAAGAATGTTGCTCTGATTCGGCTCGCATATTTGTGTCTCATTTTCCAGCAGTTGCCTGTTTTGGAATAATCAAACAGGGAATCGCAGAACTGAAAAAACTTGCTTTTTAAAAGCCTGGCTTTTATTCAAGAGCAAGCGATGTTCCCCTAAAACTAAATCAGTTTTGATGGAAATAAGAATTCTTTAAGAATACATCCAGGTTCAAAACGAAATTTCCTTAAGAATATTGAGGCTGGAAAACAATAAGAGTAGCATTGTTTTTGTTAAAAGTGTAACCTCTAGTATTAGGTTTAATTTTTAGTGAAATTTCGTACAAAGTACAGAATGTATACAAACATATCTTACAAAGTTTAAGATTCAGTTTAAGATTTAAGATTATTTTGATGATAAAAAACAAGTTTATTTTTCATTTCGTCCACTTGCAACAAGTATCACCTTTTTTGACAGATTTATAGTTAATATCAATCATTTTCTGTCTTAGCTTTCCAAAATACTGCCTGCTGAAGACAATTTCTTAGTTCGGTTTAGGGAAGAAGTCAAGTTGTCCAGTGTGGATTTTATCAAGGTAATTTGAAATAAAACAGAAAGAAAGTTAGTCGGTTTTTATGAAGCCAGGCAGATAGCAAGTCATTTTCTTTTCAATATCATGTTTGCAATTTTAGAAAGTTTTGCACAGTAATCATAAGTTGTCATTAAGATTCTACAACTTTGTGTTCAAGTTTTAAAATATGCCCTTTGTTACACAAACGTATAATAAAACTAATTGTTCGTTGGCAAATAATACCTATTGTTACATTACTTTATATTTTAAGAATTTGGAGAAATTCATAGATCATTGATAGAAATTCTTTTGCAATTAAAATACGCGTATGGTAATGAAATTATTGAAATATATTGTCTTAAAATTTATCGCCAAAGAAATAAGGAAATAAAAACTAATTATTTGTAGATCACGAATCGTTTCAAACATTATACTCTAATTAAATCCAGTTTCAAAGACATTAAATTTTTGATTCAAACTTCTTCCAGTATTTATCAATCAAATCTTTGGTAGATGACCAATCTTTTTTCGTTTTAAATATTATTTAGTTAGTCTACAAAGAGCATTTCCTACCGTTTTGCCCAATTTCTGATCAATATTTTCATATAAAGAAATTTGCTTATATTGGATTAATGAATTTTTTGTGAATGTTTAGTAAGTTTTTCAGCTGTTCTTTATTGATTCAAGTAATAATTGATGACTTCGTGTAAACAATGGGCTTTCGTTTTGCAGATCTGGTATCACTATGACACAGACAGAAACGGCTTTCTTGATACTGCAGAATTAGACGTATGTCTTGCGTTTGTGTATCAGCTCTTTTTAAATTCATTTGCCTATGCTAAAACTTTACTACTTCATCGTGAAAAATCTGCACCTTGACAGGTCATGAACGGTTCTCATATCTTACCGAGGCATAACCACCAAGGGCCATCAAGTAATTTTGGCAATCAAGTAATTTGGTGAATTTCACAGATGTAATCTCCCTTAGACTTACTCACGAGCCTCTGTTCCACTACTGCCTCACATTATGGACGTTTCAACAGATAGCAACGTCCGTTGGTCCATTGTCTGTTCTAGCGTCGGAAGAGTGAGATAGTAGCAAAACAGAGGCTCGTAAATCGAAACAGAAGCTCGAAACAGAGGGTGTAAATCTAAAGAGACCTATCTTTAAATGAAAATTAAGTGCCTAAGGGGAAAAGCCTTGAAGTATTCAAAGAGAATATTGCTTTAAAAAGTGTAAGGGGGCAAAAATGACTTAGTCCCCAAGCAGAGCTTACTTAATAGCTTTTGCAGAGCCTGAGCCACAGACCCTGAAATGAAGGGGCCAGCAATGTAAAGAAACTTTTTCTCCTACACCCTCTAGCCTTAATTGTGGCAAACCATCTGCTTGTGTACTTTAGCTCAATGTATTTGTTGTAATCTGAAGGTTCACCTATATAGGTATTAAAGCTGATTTTGTTCTTTTATTAAGCGAAAAAGTTGGGATAAACATTGCTCATTGCCCTTGTGGGGAAAATGTTGCGCAGGCCTTGTTTTGCGTATTTCAAATGACAAAATCTTACCTATATTTATAAATTTAAGCATGTTTCAAATAAAACGAAATCAAAATATTGTCAAAATCTGAGTTGAAAAATTTTTCACTTTCAGATTTCATTTCAGTTATTTTTTAAAAGAAAATAATTACTCTATGGTTGTGAATAAACGGTAGGATTGAACTAAACGGGGAAATGTCCAAATTCATAAAATGTTAAACGAGAAAGGGAAGGGGAGCTTTATAAAGACCTTAAAAGGTGGCTACCTACAAAATTAAAGTTAGGAAAATAAAGGAAAGTTGGCATTCATTCTCAACCACAGATTTGATGACGTGTCCTTTAGTTTGCGAAAATAAATTTGCGATGCATTATTTTTTCAGGGTTTTCTCAGAGATTTGTTCAGTGCTTGCGATAAAAAAAAAGCTGTTACTCCGCAGAGGATATTTGATTACCGGACGACAATCGTGAGTTTTTATTCCTTGAACTGAAAATTGAAATAACGATATAAAAATCCACAAAGAGCAACGAAATCAGCAGGAAACTGCGTAACTTGAAAGAACGCACCATAGACCCTGAATAGGTTGAAAAAGGGAAAATCTGAGCAGACATTAAGCAGATTTTAAGTGTTGAAAAAAAATCCATGTCTATTGACAATGTATAAGGATTCTGGTCAACATCAACGTTTATTTTATTGGTTTCATGCAAACAAGCAACTAAACACATTTGAAGAAACATATTGGCAAAAGAGTAATCTGTTAACCCAATATGCAGAAACCTTGGTAAAGTCTACCCGCTAATCCCGGGTATACAATAATAAAGGCCAGAGGGATGGGTTAGTTTATTTTATTTGCTCCCGTACATTTGAAAATTGATCTACCGAATCGAATTATTTTGTCAATGGAAAATGAAGTCAATAACTTCATTGCACCGTTTGCGGAAAGTTTTTCAATAAAAGTAATTGACTTTAATAAAGACCTTTAGTGTGTTTAGTGTGTATTCTACGTGGTATATTGAGTTTATTTTTAGTTTTATTACTGATTCAAGATGAGTCTGAAATGTTTCTCTACCTGGAGAACCAAGTCATTATTTTTTGTTTAACATTTGTGTGTCGATAAAACTAGATTGCTTCATGGAGGTTAGGGCTGGTCTAATCAAATCAAAATGCAAGAAGCTTTGTCTAAGCCAATCAAATCACAGAACAGCTGAATTAGAGTCAGCATTTCCTCAGCAGTTTTACCAGTTAATGCAACTTCAGTCTATATGAACTTTATTTTAGCAGTAATTTTAAGCACTTTGAATAAGCACTTTGAATATCTTGGCAAAACATAATGTCTTTGTGGGAAAGTTAAAAGAAACTTGGCGAGTTTGGAGCAGATCAAGGACGTCATTGGATAGAGTAGGACATTTCGTAGAAGTTGAAAAAGTCTTTCAGAAAGTTGTGACAGGGTTGGCATGAACGGCATAGTGTATGAGCGATGTTAATATATGAATCGACAAGGCATATTTTAATTGGAATAGTTACAAGACGAAGAATGTTATAATTCGTGTTCTGTAACATTTAAGATTAAATTAAAAAAGGAGAACAAACAATTTTTTCTAAAGAAGATGAGGAATGCTAGGGAGAGGCTCAAATCCTTCCCTTAGTTGTTGTCCCCCTTAAAAAACCTGCGTAAGCTGATTGTAGATTAATTAATCTTTATGAATTTTTCTATTTAGTGAAAGTTGCTTCCTTTCACCAAACAGTGACAAGTAGATAGGTTTGGCAGGAATTTCTCATTTTCTCCTTACAAAATACGGAAACAAAAATATGGATATCAAAGAAGCAAAAAAGAGCGTTTTCATCCATTCGGAAACTTTGTCAGAATTTTCTCGTCAATGTGAACAATATGGCTTCGTCAACTCACTTCAATTTTGTTTCCTAAACAACCAAGGCTACGTGCATTTTTCAATATGGCGTCACAAATAGCCACAACCTGCTATATGAATAACGCAGTCTATTTGTACGCCAAGAATACGTAATTTCTGATTTGCTGCATTTTGCTAAAATTTAATTGGTTTCGAGCCTTTCTGCATGTTAAGTTCAGGTACCCGTAATTATAAGTTGACGTACACAAATGTGATAACACGATTAGATGCAAATGCCTATCTCTAGTTGTTGATGTAATGCATCGGAGGGGAAAGAAAAAACATTTCACGAAAGCTTAATCTTTTGTAGATGGAGCTGTTTGACTCCAATAAAGACGGGAAGATCGAACTCAACGAAATGTCAAAGTAAATATTTGGATATTTTCCTGTTCGTTAGAATTTTTTAGCATAATTTATAACGTGATTGGAATTGATACGTGTTGCAAAAGAACTTGCCCTACTGCTAATCTGATACAAGTCTGGATTTATAAACTACTACTCTAGCTATCAGACAAATCCAATTGTCGAATTTCAAATTTTGATCATGTTAAAGCTATGATGTAATAGATCTTGGAAATTATTGCACAACAACAGAGGAAAGGCAAACCTTTTGAAGCCACAATGCTTCATTTGTTGGTCAGTTGTACAGTCCACTGTACCTGATCATCTCCACAAATCAAGCGAAAAATTTAAAATTGAATCTTAAGAAATTTGTCATTTAGGTATCGGTACCGTTAAAATCCATTTTGCTATTTACTTCTGTTGAAGGATTTTTCCTAACAAAATTATTACTTTCTTCGTAGAATTCTTCCTGTTGAAGAGAACTTTTTCAGTCAATTCGAGGTAGAAGATCATGTTTTGTTTAAATAGTTATAAGAGAATCAGAATTATCCAAATTATCCACAGTAGAATTTGAACGTCTATCAAGTTCATTTTTAGACATTTTTATGAATTATTAATTTTCTTCGCTGACTGAGAAAAAAGAAACTTGCAACTATCTCATATCCATTATTTTTAGGCAGGATCTGTCAAACAATAATTTACAACTAGCTTATAATTCCAGTTGCTCCAAAAAGACCTTTTGCAACTGATTGGAGTCAATGAAAGGTTTTACGTATCCGCGGCTGTTTTAATATTCATATATTTTGTCTCTTCTAATCTCAGGGTAAACGAGATTTATCTAAAGAAGATTTTGATGCAATTTTCCAACATTATGACAAGGTATCTGTTGTTATTTTTTGAGACTTTTTTATGACCCGCTATGCACCCACCCAAAGACATACGGAGAATATGACGCCATATGCATCTTTCTTGCCATAGGCTATAGGCTATAAAATATGACGCCATAGGCTAAATGTCTCTAGTTTTATGTTTGACAACAAACCAGGCAGGCAGACAGAACTTATTGTCAGTCTGACTTAGAAGTACAAACGCAGTTTGTGGCCATCTATCTCATTGAGGAAAAAGAGTATGGGTACAAAAACAATCGGATAAAATTGCCATTTGCAAATAAGCAGCTACTTTCTGTCGATTTAAATTCAATTTTGCAAAGAAATTCAAGCTCAGCTTAACTGGTTTGAATAACCAGATATCAATTTTCAAATTTAATTTCGAACTTGAGAAAACTTGCAAAGTTATGATAGCTTCATGTAAAAATGGCACCTAATTTCGACTGAGTCGTTGCTGTAGGGTCTGAAAATTGAGATCGTTTCATTCAATAAATTGCAACCACCCAAAGCAGTTGATCGCTGGTGTACCGTCTTGTAATAATCGTCATGAAATCGCAATAATTAGTTAAGAAAAATATAACAAGTAGCGGTTAAATTAGGCACCTGTAAACAACTTTCCTTGTAACTGCTTTTAAATGATATTTAAGAGACATGAAACAATTGTTCAGCTTTCGTCAACATCATATCAAATTGCATTTTTAACAATTAATTGATATTTTTGTAGGCAATTGTAAAGCCTTAAAAAATATTTAATTGGGTTCAATTCCACGGTTGATAATCAAATTCATGTGTAATCTCGTTTGGATGCAAGAGCTTCAAGTTGACAGAAAGAACAACAAGTACAAGTACAAACGTCTGAACTTACATTTGTTCGGAATCGAACATGATAAAAATTTTTGATCAGTGATGTTTTGGTATCAAAGAGCATGCATAATAAAGATTTAATTCCACGCGCATGCTCTTTGATTCCAAAGCAGAGGGTCGCCTCACTCACTTAAACAACGTACTCTTGTTTTTCTCTCCAGCCAACATTGACTTGACTTTTAATTCCCCACAAACATCTAAAAAATATGGATGAAAACAACGATTGTTTATTTTAGGACAAAAATGGTTTAATCGAAGACAGCGAGCTGATTGCCTTTCTTAGAGATGTGCTGCAACGTGATGGTGGGGTATGTTGGTCATATCGTATTATGTCATAAAAATAGAGTATTATGTTGGTCATATCGTATTTTTTTCATTGCCAAAAGCGTTATTTGTATTTTCAAGAGGTTCGTTTTTTTGGAAAATTGTAGAAGCTCAATACAGCAATTTTCTGCTACTTGAGAAATTAATTCATAAAAGATTAAATGACTAAGCATGCATTGCAGCAATATTCTTAAACAAGAGTACCCTGGGTACCAGACTTGATATTAAGTGAGTCTGGTACCCAGGGTTAGACAAGAGCAGCAAAGTGATGAAAATATCAAAACATTCAGAACTTTTTAATTTTGCACATATGAAGTGAAAGGGCAATAAAGCATACCTGTAACTAAGCGAAATCATGTAGATCTGCTACAGTATGCGTTCCTCATCAAAACATTATAAATTGACCCTTGGTTCAAATACTTCTAAGACCAAAGCTAAAACACTAATTTTTTATTAAAAAAATTTGTCTTTTACAAACCAACTCTGAACCAGTTCTCAAAAATTTTAAAAATGTGCAAGAATTTTAAAGTGCTCTGTCAGTATATTTCCAAATTCTGAAAAAGCGACGTGTACGACGTCATAAATTTAAATTCAAATTCACATTTTCCTTCAAATCATGGTCTTCAGTTAATAGAGCTTTCGAGTTTATTACCAAATGGTTCTTACGCGGATTTTTTAACATCATTATACACTGAATTGGAAATAATTGGTAGAATTGTAAAGGCCTTGGCCGTTTTTTCAAGAAACATGACAGACATTGTAAAGAAAGACATTTTTTCAGCCAGTTACATTTTTTCTTAAATCTGTATAAATACGTTTTGAGTCACCCCCTTCTCTCTGAACCTTCTCATTTTGCTATGTTTTTCTTAAGACTCCGACGACAACTGAGCTGGAAAACTACAGAACAACAATATTGAAAGTTTGTGACAAAAACAAGGATGGAAAATTGAATGCAGACGAGTTAAGGTTTCTTCTTGCTTCCAAATAAGACTCCATGGCACAAAGAGAAGATTTGAACAGGAAGCGGCCTTTCCAGTCATGTATTGCACTGATTCGGTATGATGGAATGAGAGAAGAATTTGTTGGTGTCTTTAATGTGTTTATTGTTGGTGACATTTCAAAATACGTAAGAATAATCAAACACGTGCTGTTGGCACTTGTAACAAAAACATTGCAACATTTAATTTCTTGCAATTGTAAGTTTTGCAAAATATCGCACACAGTAATTTGTATCTATTCATGCTTTGTTGTTTAGTTATTTATTGAATAAAAAGCATCAGATTTTGGAATCTTCATGCTTTCGTTACCTAGAAAAATGAAACATTGCCTTAAAATTATTCTTACCGCTTCAATTTTACTTTGACCAAAAATGAAGCGAAATCAAATCCATATTTTGAAAGGAACAAAAATGTTTATTAAAACTGCAGCTTTGTGACGGCTAGCAAGTAGACACTAGAAGTTTTGAGGATTAACTATGTTTTACTAAAACTCTATTGTCTCAATTCCTAGCAAAATAATGGCTTATTGTGTCCGTCATCTTTACAATACACTTTTAGTACATTTATTTACTTGCACAATAAAAGCTCTTGGACAACCGGAATGATTTTCGATACCTGGTGCAGTAAGATATTAAACCGGTTTTGGAAATGCAGTCGCAACGCATATCAGCGAGAGCCTCTTAATCGTCCAAATTTGTTTCACGATTTTCGCAAAAGAAATGCCACCAGCCTACACTCCTACCTCACATGCATAATATAGCAGAAGTTCTGGAAGAAGATTATATTTTTGATGGTGCTTTTTTGAAAAATCACAAGGACTTGATAGAGAATATAGAAGTGAAACAGAGGACGGTTTTTCATCGAGTTATGATAAGAGATAAATCTAAACATATTGTCTGATGATCGCACTCAGAAAAGCAGCTTAGAACCGTCCTGTTCTACACACCAAATAGCGTAAAACTAGATATATAGTAGCTAAATAAGAACATACAATTTTTGGAATAACTTACACTTTGGCCAGCATGTCATGTTTTTTGAAGTAGATAAAACCAAAGAATTCATAAAAAACATGCGCAAAGGTATCACGGATAGGGTACCCTGTAATGAGTGACAGGGAAATTCTACCAAACAGCGCTGATCAGAAATTTGACTCCCGTCTTTTAGAGGTGTCAGTTTAAGATTTTATAAAATCTGCCATCAGACTGCATTGAAAAACGTCTTAACTATAACAGAATCGTGTATCTTTGTTGTAAAGTAAGGAAAGATACAGTAAAAGCTGCAGTTCACATGATTCAAAATTGACCGTAACCCCCGGTTGGGGAAAATGCCCATATTTGGTAAACGCAGCAGGCATTCGCCGTTTACAAAAAATTTTCTCATTACCAGAGGGTAAGGTTAGCTAAATGTTATCCTTGCCAGAGAGATCTTATCCTTGCCGTAATATAAGCCTGGTCTATAGAACTTAAAGGCATCGAGTCATGGTAAAAAGGCCTTCTATATAGGGGGTCATTTGGTTTCGGCGTGATCGCTGCTGTTTCATGTGATACTTGCATCCGTTGTTGACAACTTGCTATTGATGAAAATTGCTTTGTCAATCAGTACGAGGTGAGTTCATGTGACCAGTTCCAGGTCAACCAATAGCATCCCAGTCATGAAAATCATGACTCAGCGGATTTTGGCACTTAGGGTATATCCAATGCATTTTACCATGACTCAATGCCTTTAAGCTTTTAAGAACAACAAACTCTGGGTAGTTGCACCTCTGACTGCTACTTTTGAGTGTTGAAGCATGTCATTTCAATTTTAATCGAAGAAATGTTGCTCTTCAGTTCAAATGTTCATTTTCATGGGGCCCTCTTGACAATGTAACAATTAGATATCTATTAAGTTCGATATAAGGAGGCTAAGATATGAACATGCTATGATATGAAAGGGAAACATGAAATGCAAAGCACTAATTAAAAAATGTATCCTTTGTATATATGCAGTTCAAATTCAATGAACTCACAAAAATATATTCCTAGAATTAAAATGCACGAGCAAATAACTTAAAAGAGAATCGTGAAATACGTCTAAATATGGAACAGGCTATCACCCCATCAAACCTTTGTAAATTGGTCTCTGTCCATAACTTTATGAACCAAACTCATATAAATGTAGTTCCTTAGCAAACTTTGAATCTTTCTCTGGCCACATCGCACCATAGGGTTTTAAAATACAATCAGAAAAAATATGAGAAAAAAACCAATTATATTTATAGTCTTCTTGTTTTTTTAATAAAAATGTTATGAAAAGACAGGTTTGCCAGGAGAGGGGATTCTGACTAGTTTAATACTGCTAATTCCTGACCACGATTATTTTAAACCCATTAGGTTTTAGTGAGAAAGGTTTTATAGTAAGATTTTTTGGCCAAAAGAAACTAACTCTCTGGACTTTGCCTAAGATTTAAAAAAAACCTAAGAACAATCAGCCTGAAATTAAATTTGCTGTTTCTAATAAAACAAGAGTGTAGTCGATATTGGTTTTCACTATGAATGGACAGATGCACAAACTTTGTTGAGGCCGACTCTTTTCGACAGTGATGTAGGAACATGTCGTTTTCTAGGTTTTGAGACAAAAACATTTTTTTATCCTAAAATTTTTGGACGGGCACAGATGGGCAAAAAAAATCTAGTCGCGCGGGCAATGCCCCCGTGCCCGCCATTGGCTTCGTGCCTGCACAAGAATCCGTTGAACACAGCAAATTGGTTCCAATTTATGCGTTTAAGGAAAAACATAATCAAACATGTAACTCATTCGAAAATAGATTTGAAAAAAGCAAATATTTTATAACATATTGGCTAAAAGCTTTTACTCATTCGGTTCTAAAATGTACCTTGATAAGCTCTACAATAATAACTGTTTCTTTTATAAAATTGATATACTTTCTGGCCTTTATCTTCCAGACGAGAGGACACACGCTCTTTGACTCAGAAATATAAATATCTAGCCATTCGCTGAGATACAGGGTCTTCTATGCAAAAAACAATCAATTTCTTTGTATTGTATTGTACAATAAAACACTGATCCCAATTCAAGGTTTTTCACTGTGCATAAATTAAATTTCAAATTAAATAATTACCAACAATCAACCAGTCAATTAATCAGTCAACCAATCAACCAATCAAAAACGTTATATTGTGTCAAAAATATTTAGCTTAGCTTACAAGATAATTGGAGAGACAACGGAAAAAATATATAAAGTTTTATTTAAAGGACAAGTGACACGCTTTTGGCGCCAATTTTTTTTTAATTTCAACTTATAGTAAAATGCTGTATGAGAGTGTTGTTTAAATATTTTTCCTTTCTGATTTCATTTTCCTACTTAAGGTTACGGTAAACGTTTGCTGGATGAAAACATCATTTTTTCGATTTTTTCACATTCAAGTAGCCGAACTTTCAAGGCATACAATGACACCAAATTTGAAACAAACAGAAATTTTGAAGGTGGAAAAATCCCATGTAAACGAAGGTTTCCATAATTTCTTTATCAAAACTTTTAGTTGAGGCCTGAAAATCTCTTGACCTTTTAAGCCGATTATCGTTGATTGCGGTTGTAGTCGCATGTCTCATTTACAATATCGCATGGCACATCCATATACCCAATGTACGGCCGTGTTTATTTAAACAGGCTTATTGATCTTAAATCTTCAAGTGACTTGACCCGTATTACACTGTGGTTTACGAGTGTATCTTGCAAGTGCGATCAGTAAAATCCCGTTTTCTCCGGACTCGAAATTCCTCTACATGCAGGTACGAAAAAGCTATTATGTACCCAAGGAACCAATCGAATGGCTCGAAAATTTGCACACGGCCAGGGCAGACGTTGGGCAAACAAACAGTGTCTCAAAATTTTTTTATTTTCTCTGGTCCGTCTTTTATACCCAAATACACCTGCGGGAGGGTGGAACAATTTTTTGCCAATTTTTGACAGGGTATAGTTTCAAGAAGAGGAGGAATTTAGAAAATCTGAGACACACTTTGGTAGCTTAGGACCTGCACTTCCTGCTGGTCTAAGTCAGATTTTGTTACCTCAAACGCAAGGGTACATAATAGCTTTTGAAGGTGGTACACTTTTTGACCAGTAAATTCGCATGGAAAATAACATTTAACATTATTTGCCAATACTTTTTATCTGGCTAGATACGCCATAATCTTGTGCATCGAATGATATATAGTTTATCCAGATTCCTTGAGCCGTTTGGCCTTTAAGAAGAAAAAACCAATTTTCGTGTTCAAAACGTTTACCGTAACCTTAAAAACCCTTTTCAAATTATGGCGGGAAATGAATCACGTGACACCGTGACGTAGATTGTGATAATTTGTTATTGCTGCTACTGGTATACAGTGCAATATTAACGTTTACAACACGCTTCTAAACGAATTCAGTTCGTCTGGACCTGTCGCGTCGTGTTTCGTAAACTCTCTATCAATGACAGGAAAATTCCGAGTTATCACAATGTACGTCATAGGGTCACGTGATAAAAAACAAAATCGCGCCCCCTGCGCCCCATGATTAGAATCTTTTGTTCTAAACCAGGAAAAACTTACTTCTAAATGATGATCTATAAGTTAATGAAAAGAAAAGATAGGGTGAAAAGTGTGTCACTTGTCCTTTAAGTATAAAATATAAGATTACAGTCTTATTATTAAAACAAAAATCCTATGTACAACTAAACTACAGTCTACTTTATTCATCTTTCTACATCCATTCTTCTTTTACTTCTTTTGAACTGGTTAATTATTGATATCTCTTTAATTTGCTTGATGGCTCTGGTTAACTTTTTCCACAGATATGGGCCAAAGTAAAGCAATTTAGTGCGTAAAATTTCGGAAAAACTTAGTTGTTATTTTTTAATTTATAAGGAGTTTCTTTTATTGCAAACATTTCCTCTATATAGTGGGAAACAAACAGTTTTTAACTTTGTACATTAGTATGGCCTGAAGTCGTCAGTACTGGAGGGATGGCAGGTTTGCTCCAGCCCTGCCACTTTTTCGCAAATAAGTGTATTTAAGCAGATAAAAAGAGCAGAGAAAAATAAAAGAATAGAATAATGCGGCAAATCCTCTAGTTGCTTAATTTCTAAGAAATACGCCGAAGTCTAAGGGGCCTCATAAAGTTATAAATTCCATTTTAAGACTGGAATTAAGACTGGAATTAATCAAACGTAAAGAAAAAACACAATAACAATGCCTTAAAATGCCTTAAAAATAACAAAATGTTTTAAACGATTGCAAAAAAATGACAGCAAGAAATATTCGGAAATGTGTTTAATACTAATCTAAAAAGCGTGGTCTTAAAAATTGTAGTGCGTTTTCCAAAAAATGATTTTTTTGTCTAATTATGCTATAAACTCTAGCCCCCCCCCCAATTTGAATTTCTTGGCGCCGCCCCAGCTACAATATACTCAAGCCACTAAATGAATTGCGCCAAGAAGGGCCGTGGATGAATTGCGCCAAGCAGGGCTGTGGATGAATTGCACCAAGCAGTGCCATGGATATATTGTGCCAAGCAGGGCCGTGGATGAATTGCTCGAAGCAGGGCTGTGGATAGTGCTGGCTGAGTTTCTGCCAATATCGAATTGAAAAGGCAAAATGAAGAAAATCAAGAAGAAGAAAATCAAAATTTGCATCTTTTAAATTTAAACTTTGACTTTCTTTCCACGTAGCAGAAATTTTGAGCCTAACCTCACCTGATTTTTATCTACGATTGGAGATATAGGGCCTGTTTATATGGAAAGGGGCTAGCTCTCCTCTGGCCTTCTTTGCCGAGATCTCACCTCTTGGTATAATCCTTTATGAAAATCGTTTTGGTTTATATGTGTTGAGTACCCGAGATCTTGGCTAGAAGGGCTAGAAATTTCCCATATAAATACAATCAGGGTCGATAAGGGTCATAAAAATGGCTATCGTTTAAGATAACGTCAACAGAAAACGTTTTCGGTCAGTCATGTTGATGAAAGACCAACAAAAAGGCGCGAAATTGCAACTCTTTGAGAAACGCTACGCAGGAGCTTAATTTCAGCCTTTCTTGGAGGGGTGGCAGCCCTGATAAATCAATATACCAATAGCCATATTTTACAAAATAACAGTATTTTACTTTAGCAATTAGATTTTTGGGGCCCCCCTGGTATCTCGGTCCTTGAATTTGCCCACACTTTATCACAATGTCACAAATGTCGATAAATACCGTTCAGCATTGCCTTTGATCCTCTTCTTGCAACTTCTTATTTTCAGCCGTATTTCATTTTCAAGCTCACAACAGTAGACCAGGCGGAGAATAGGGGAATGGTCGCTCGTGGGCGAAATTTATGAGACCAAGTGTTTTGGCTGATTCGAGGGTGCTGATTTCGAAAATCGATGTAATACGGGGATTTTTAGGGGGCCATCGGCTTCTTTTTCATTTCTCAAGTCTCGTTTTATGTATATGAAAGAAATCAATGCAAAAAAAAATTAAATGAAAATAAGTTCAAGGCTTAAAGATAATTAAGCAGATTTCTTGCGCAAAAATGCTCAAAATTAAATTATGGTCTGTAAAGGAGGGCCAAAAGCCTCGTTTTCACGAGAAATTTTCGCAATCTTAAAATTTTTATCCTTAAATATGCATCTAAAAAGCTTACTACATCTTTTGTTGAGACTTATTTTTTGAATTGTCGTCCAAAGGAACTATGCAGTGCTATTAATTACTAACTGATAAATGACATTATGAAAAAACCGGATCATCTTAACGTAGTTTAATCGTTTCAAAGTTCCTCAAGATCGTCTTCTGAGTCACTGCATACACGACACTTTAAGCGTAAAGCTCTTTTCCATTCTGACAATAAAGTCCTCATTCACCCCAACCATGATCTATCTACTGCCCAAGCCCAAACCCAACTGAAGCATCAAACTACCTTGAAAATCAAAGAAATTTAAGTTTGTATGCAGAATATAAAGCTTTGTGTTTTCTTAACATGGCAGCAGAAGACTGAGATTTATGAACTCTTAATGTCTTTCGAACTTCTGCACAAACAATATGTGTCGGAGATGATGTACTCAAGATGTACTTTTCATTTAATTGTAAATGCACAAAATGAAATTCTTTCATTTAAAACCCTTGTTTGCTAGATTTAATAAGGACAATCCAATCATGGTGATTTTTACCTCAAGTATGAAGAAACATCAATGTTATTGTTTTGCAAGGAATTTTATAGTCTAACTTTGAAGTTTAACTTTGATTAAGACATTTTGCAACAAGGCCTATCCATTAATTTAATTTCCTAAATTTCATATCAAAATTGACATTGCATAGTCATTTGCCAATTTGTTTTATTCATCTGTTATTTCTATTGGGTTTGTTAGTTTATCATGATGTTAGAATACCTTCAATAAATTGTTGACAAGACCATTCGTGAAAAGATGACCAAAAAGCTCTCCATTCAGTTTTAATGTGATTTACTGTTTCATTGACAAATTTGAGTCTATCTTTAGACTTAACAAATGAATCTAGGCCACCAAATCAAAATAAATTAGAATAACAACAACTTTTGATCTAAACTTAAATGTGTTCCCCAACAAACCGAAACAGTGTCACAGTTATAAGATACAAAGGTCATTTCAGGGTGTAACAAGATATTTGCTCATTCCAAAGGCTCATCAGAATTTTTTCGCTAGTTACAACAAGCCATTTGATTACAACAAAACTTTTTTTCCAAAAGGAACTTATCAACTCAAAAAGTTGGCGTGGCAGAATTTGGCCACACACACATTGATCAAAATTTAAGGGGGGGGCATAACCGCTGCTATTTGGCTGGCAGATTGAAAGTCACAGGATTACACTATAAAGTACATGGCCAGAATATTACTCCTCCCCGACATTTTCTCGCCGAGCTTAGACCAGATACAAAATTGATCCTGCCGAGAACTGGGGGCGTGCCCCAATCAGTCCCCTCGCCCCCCCATGGCGCAGCTACTTGATTGCTCTATAGCCAGTTCTCGATCAATTTTTTCAGCATGTTATGCAAGAGCAACATTCTTTTCTAGGAAAAGTATACTTATAGAAATCCTCATTTTAGGAGGCTTACATTTTTCATGGAAATCGTGGATTTCTTTCTTTTACTGCCGAATACAAAATTACTTGATCATAAAGTATCTCCGATTACGTTAGGCAGGAAAAGCAAAACTATTAACAAAGGATTAAGATACCCCCAAAAAACGTAAAAAAACACGGATTGAGGAGGGACGGATTTAGCCGGGGGGCTGTAGGCGGAGCGACACCCCCAATAATTCTTCTTCCTTCGGAAAATTTTGTTTCATTCGGTAATAATCATCTGTTGGTAGTCAGTAGTAACAAAGTAACGCCAAGAATCTACTTCATTTATTTTCTTGTCAGTATTTATCTTCTTAAAAGTAGCGTAGCGAGGGGGGTAGGAGAATTCTGAAATGTATCTGAGACCCCGTTTACACTGTCCCGTGCAAGTTTGGAACCGTGACAAAACTGTCGCGGTTCGCCCTTCCGTTTACACTAGCACTGTGGAACCGTGACGATTTTGCTCTGCTATCCGGAACAGTTTGGACCCTGCTTTGAAAGCGAACGAATTTTGTACCGTCACGGTTCCGTTTTTGAACGGGACAGTGTAAACACCTATCCGAGACGATTTTGTCACGGATTCATAAAGAGGTCTTTTGTATGGCTGTTTCAGGTAATCGAGGCTTTGATTGTGGCGTAACTACGTTGTCAAATTCTGAAAAAAAAGGAAATTCTGAAGAAAAGACAACCACAGAAAAGGCTTGTATTGTTTCCCAGTCCAAGCCTTGATTGGACTTTGCAGTTTTGTAGTCTAAAATAACACTGAAAATTAAAGCCACCTTGTCGTTCGTCCAAGTAAAGTTTTTATCGGCCTTCCACTGCATTTTAACTTCAATAAAAATTCGATTGTTGACTTCGGCGGCAAAATAAAAGCCTTGGTTGACTAAATACAGCTTCTTCTAAACAATATTCTGCCATTAAATTCTGAAGCCATTACACTGTACCGGTACAGTGTAAACGGAACGGCTAAACGAAACAATTTGGAACCGCGACAGTGTAAACACTTGCGAACCGTAACGGTACAAAATTGTCCCGGGACAGTGTAAACGGGGTCTGAAGCTAATCTCAAGGGCGTCGTTCTTGAGACATTCCCGATCAAATAGAAACTAAAATGCTAAAATAGTCCATTCCTAAAAAACTGGATTCTGAAATGCTTGTCGTGGATTTTGCTCCAAGGAGAACGGACTTGGTTTAAAACTTTTGAATACTGTTTATGATTTTTAGATATTTCGTTACCACGTTGAAAAATCAATTTTTACAAGTAGTGCTATTTCGCCTTGCACCATTTAGGATATAAACGTTAGTGGAATCGTGAAGACAGTCGATAATATGGTCAGCCACAAAACGCTACATATGACGCTGTATAAAGGGAAATTGCCACGTGAAAATGCCACAAAAGGGGTGTTTTTCAAAAATCATAGGGATCTGGTCACCAAAAACTATTCTCTTTGTCCTACCAATCTTCTAACCCTGGCTACGCCACTGCTTCTTAAAAAGCAAACCTTAAAAATTGGCGATTCCATCATTTAGCAGTGACCTGAAGGGTGTGCACCAAATTAAGTGTCTAACACCCCCCAATCATTGTTGCCTAAATCCGCCCCTGATTTTAAGGCAGTAGTGAAGGAAACATGCTTTTCTTTACAAACTTGTTACATTTCTCCGTGTAAGGCAGGTTTCAGCACGTGACTTAGTCCCAGGTGCAAGGAAAACATGGAAGTAAAACGGACAAAACATGTCTTCAGTTCCTATTTTCGCAGATTATTGAATTGTTTTGTCGCTGAATTGCAAAAATTATTCAACGGAACTACTCTTTGATGGATCAAATCTTCCTAACGCATCTTGGACTTTCTGATCGATTTCTTTGCAGGTATTAGGAACGTCAATAAGGAAACAAGAGGAACATCTAACCACTCAACAGTTTATCAACCAATAGCAAAAAATGTAGAAAAAATTTAGTAAGTAGAAAACAACGTCCAACCGTATAAGAAAAAATTTAACAAAATGTTTAATGATCTTAGATCAAAGAATATGTTGATTATTAGAAAAATAAACCAAACCTGTTGGAAAAAGTAACAATTTGTAAATCAATGATTGCCTTTTGATAATAGTCGCCTTTTAGACAGCTGGTAAGTCTGTAAAACCATTAAACGTCTTTCTCGTCTACTTTCAGGGCATCGGCATGTTCACTGTCAACGGCTACCTTGTTGGAGAGCACTCGCACAGAAGATTGAGTGCTTTTGTTTGAATAAGGCACCTCATCATAAGCATTCAGATTCGTAAATGTCTTCAAAGGATAGTCAGATGATTTTTTCGCACTTGCTGTGTCATCAAGCTGGATCCCTGTACTGAGATGGTACTTCCGATGATTTTTCTTCCACACGAGAATTCCAATAATGATAATTAAAAGCAAGCCTGCCACTGATAAGCCTACAATCATACCCATGTTGTTGCCTTCTTTTTCACATCTGTTGCCTGAGTAGCCACTGGTACACCTACAAACCCTGTAGTTTGGTCCACGCTCACATTTGCCACCGTTTAAGCAGAATGAGGGACTGCAGTCGACCTCGCAGGTTGATGATGCAGACGGCTTGTAGTAGCCTTGAATACAGGCACAGTATCCGTGGGTGGCATCGCTTTCACACTCCTGCTTTGCGCCACAATTTTCAACCAGTCTACAGTGGTCTGTTGTGGCAAATTGAGACAAAAAATTAACGTGCAAAAGAGATATACTGTCCTTCCTTGCTAATGTATCCGGGACCCCAGAAGGAACCGGTACACATTCCTTCGGATCATAGAGAGTCGAAAGCTTTACATTATCTACAGGTATAGCTAAAAGCTTGACGCAAATTAAAGGGAAGGGAGATACAAAGACTGGCTAGCAAATCAGGCTTAATTCTTAAATTGAAATAAAACTTGATATTGAAGGTTAAGGGAAAGGACCTTACCAACAATTTTGTATGAAGAATCAACTGACAGGGATCCAACAGAACCGGATGCGATGGCATTTCTGAGCTTGCTCAGAGGGTCGGACACTGATGTAGAGAAGACCAAATCGGCAAAGGCTATGACACTTCCATTTCTGTTGGCGACAAGGGACATTAAAAAACGCTGTTTCTTATAAGAGGCAGGCATTTTAAACGCAGCCATTTTTACATTATACTTGAAGCGACATTTTACCAACCCTTATATATTTAAGGTATTCAGGTGATACATCAACGATGCAAATTGAAACATTCAGTATCTATTGATTAAGTAAACTTTGATACTTATGAACAAAATTGCTTTCCACATCCTTATTCTAAATGACACAAACGTTTTGTATAAATCAGCAGTTAATGGGAAATTAACAACCCTACCATTTCATCAATTTTCAGCTGTAGTTTAACGCAATACGTAAGAAGCTTCAAGTTCCTTTAAAGTAAAAGGCTAGCAGTCTTGCCTATCACGTTGCTGCTTGACACAACAACGAAGGTAAAGAAACGCTTTATAACAATTCAGACAATAGATAATACTGATAATTCATTAGAATCTTGAAATTTACGAAGCAATATAGAAGTCGTATTGTGGTCGTATCGTAGTCGTGTTGTATTCGTATTGTAGCCGCACTGTGGTCGTATGGTGGTTAGATTATGGTCGCATGGTGGTTAAATTGCGAAAAAAGAATGAACAGCAGAAAAACATACCTGAACTGATTGATTTTTACAGACAAAAAGCCAACCTCAGCAGCATAAATTTTCTCTAACTAGAATTAAGATATCATAGGCTTATGAAGTATAAATTTTCTCTACCTAGAATTAAGATATCATTATATGGTGTCAGGCATGAAATTCGATGATACAGTCCGAATGGTATCGCTGGCTGAATACAATTCACAGGGCTTGATCATCAGGGAGACAAATACTTGAGCATCATCAGATCTTTTCAGTTGTGATACATTGGTCATCGCACATTATGACCGCATTTAAGTTCAAAGTTTATGATGCATTTTCGTTTAATTTTGCATTTTTTGGAAAGATTCCTCTGCTTTTAGAAGGGTTTCACAGGTTTAGTCAGATAGAAGAGATCAGTTGCTTCGTGTGTAATTACAGCCATTGGATTAAACCAGCAGGACTCAGGTTTTAAAATGATATGCCAAGCTCTGTAAGGTTAAAGCAATTAATTTGTATACTCACTTCTTTGGAAACTTTTGATGCCAAAATTCTGAATTCTGAACTGTTGACATCCGACAGCTTGGAATTCCAAACTTCTACTGTGAACCGGATTCCTACGCTTTCCTTCTTTGTGTTTTGCAGAGCTGTACCAATTTAAATCAAACTAGTAACTATCATTCTTATTATTATAATTATTATAATTAATCACATTAAGATAAATTTTGACTTGGCCAAAAACGTCTAGTTGTATCGTATCGTTGCTATCACTTTGTTCTTGTAGCAAACTTTGAAGACGAGAATCAATTCAGTTGAATATAAATTCAATTCAATTAAGAATAACGGTATAGCAGCTTAATGTTGTATGCAGTGTCTTTTATGAAATGTGAGTGTAACTTTTGAGTGGAATATATATGTAGAAAAGTAGATGAAACATTTACTGAAACTATTTGTTTCATAATATACTTACAGATGCAGTTGCTTGATGAAACACTTCCTGGCATTTTAGTTGTTCTTCCACTTGTACAGGCAATACAATGTGGCAAAAGCAAATCCTCCCTAAAAAAGCCAGTTTGGCAAGCCATACATTTCATTCCATCTTTCGATACTTCTTTTCCACGTGGACAAACAGCTACAACGTATAAACAGAAAAGATTTATGATAACTTCCTTAAGGCTTGCTAAGATAGCAGAAATAAAAAATTCATGAAATGCATTAAATCTCATAATGATTATGATGAAGAAATTATACAACGTCAATACCTTTGCAAGATGAAGAACTTTTAGCTCCTAGAATGTATGTTGTTGTTGTAACTCCTCCTGTCACCGGGCAAGAAACACAGCTTGTTTGATTCGCAGCGTCCCTGTAGCTTCCACGAGGACACAACTGGCATGCATCACCAGTTATCAACTCAGAGCCTAGGCCACATTTCACTGTACGATAAGATGCACTGATTAGCTAATTATAATTAATAGCCTAACCTGAACAAATAGGAATAGACCATCTCGGAGTTCGCGACGCCATGATTGAAGTTTCAATACCTCAGATAGGCCAAACAGCGAAAAATGCATAGTAGATAGAGGCCGCTTTTTGGCTGTGCAACTTCTTAAGAATAAAGAAAAATACTTTTAGAATACAAGTCTGAATTTCGCCGATTAACAATGAGCTACAGAAGAGTTTACAAATCTCGATGATATAGGCCGCCGTTGATTTTACTGCAATTTTTGCCCCACTTGTGTTATGGCATCACTCCGAGATGGCCTATAGACTTTCGGTTTCTATGCATTCTGATCTAGATGGTACATGATTCGATTCCCTTACATAAGCAAACTCGATGGGGTGAATCACTTCTTAAAATCTCATACACTTTTCACAAATTACCAAGGAAAATCTCTAAAATCTCTTACAAAAATTTTGCAAAATCCTGGCACATTTGAAGCTTATTTGAAACGAATCCTTGACAAAAATATTTGCAGTTTTATATCTCTTATTATGAAAAAAGTGTTCACATCAAGCACCTTTGCCTCTGCTCATGTGCCCAAAAATAGCTAGCCTCGTTTTGACTCCGAAACCTTATTTGACGTCACAATGATGACGCCACAAAATCTATTTTTAGAGTTTTTTAGTTTGACTATAACTCCCAACAGAGCATTTTGAAATACCTCTTAACGTGCAAAATCATACAAACTAAGTTATCATTTGTTTGATTTAAACACAAAAAACCTACACATTCAGAAACATATTGATTTATACTTGCCTACACATTCAGAAACATTTTTGGCTCCAAGACTAGAAGACCTTCCACTAGGGCAATAATCACATTGCATTTTGCCAGTATTTTCCTGGTAGAATCCCTTAGGACAAAGCTGGCACCTCTCTGCAGTCATGTTAAAGAAACTTCCAGCGGTACAGATTTCTACAGATAAGAACAAACGATAAGAACAATTGAAAAATAACTGGTTTCAAGATAGGACCATGAATGTAGGAAGAGTAGCAGCGCAGTGTCAAGAGTTATAAGAAGTCTCAATGATTGTAAGTGCGTAAGTATACAACTTTAGAGTGTATACTCTACATATAGCACTATGTCGAATTAAAGTGCCACCAGTAGGAAAGTATGGAAAAAAGGAAACATTGGAACAAAGTTGAACACCTGTCAGAAAATTTTACTTTAAAATTCAATTATTCGCGATATAAATGGGACACAAACCTTTACAGGCAGAGCTGTTATTGGAAGCAACATTGAATGTTGTAGTTCCAGAAGGACACGCTGTGCAGTTGGTCAAACCATCCATCTGTTGATATGAGCCAAGAGGACAATCGACACATTCAATGCCTGAAACATTGTGGTATGTTCCAGCTGGGCAAACAACTAACAAAAACGAGAAATTAGTTAAAATGGTACAAATGACATGCCTAGGCTTCATATTCGTCATGCAAACTACATCGTTATGTTTTTAAGACAAGCTGGCGGTTTGATGCTTCAGTTGGGCATCCTAGTAGATAGATTTGGATGAATGAGGATTCTATCGTCAGGGTTTAAAACAGCGTAGAGTGTCGTGTGTAGTGACTCAGAGGACGATCTTGAGAAACTTTGAAAATATTAAGCTATGTTTAGATGATCCGGTTGTTTTTTTCGTTAGTGTTATTTATCGGATAATAATTGATAACGCTGCGTAATTACTTCGGACGACAATTCAAAAATTAGTCCCAGCAGTTGATTACGCAATTTTCTCGTGAAAACAAGTCTTTTGGCTCCGTAACAGAGCATAATACAATTTTAAGCATTTATGCACAAAAAATATGCTTAATTAACGTTAATACTCACTCAATTCCATTTGAACTGTTTTTTAATTGATTACTTTCATATACGCAAAAACAAAACACGAAAATGAAGCTGATGGCATCCAAAAATTTGCGTATTTTCAAAATCAGCACCCTTGAATTGACTAAAAGCAGTTGGTTTCATAGATTTTGCTCCCGGGCGACCATTTCCCTATTTTCCGCCTGGTCCATTAATCCGACAATCTGGTTTCGCAGGCCTAGTTTCCAATTTGTTAAATCGACTAAAGTTCTTTCAAATAAGTTCACCGGAACGAGGTCCCGGCGCACTGAACCAGACTCTCTTGTTTATATGAAGTGAGTCTGGTACCCAGTGTAGTTAAAGGTGTGCAGACAGGTGGGTCAATAATCAAATAAAACTAAATTCACGTATAGCAGAGAATTCATAAACGTCGGTATAAATTTAAGTGAGGAGTTAAAAAAGTTTTTTGGAAGAAGATTCTCGGTGAGTTAGCGAAAGAAACACTTTTTGTAATTTGTTTCTATCTTCAAAATGAAACGATCTGGAACACAATAGAAATAGTATCAGGAACGCAATAATCTAATCTGAAGTCTAGTGTGAAGGACGGCTCTGTTGCGAAAACGATATCCAAAAAAGTTTTACTTCCTAGCCAAAATTCGCTATGTCCGTATCAAAGTCAATAATGGAATACTCACTGCATTTTTTATTCTGAGATTGGAGGATGCTTCCCTGGGGACACTTTATAGATACAGTTGTTTTGAGGCCGTTGTTTGTGGAATTGATCGTGACGTCATTGACCGATATCGTCATGTTAAACTGCCCGTTTTTAAAACCACTCTGAACTTGCTGTGTGTAGTTCTCTCCACTGGTGGTGTTCACCGGGACGTCTACTGTAATTGTTGCCGCCGAACCACCCGTGCTTCTTCGTCGTCTCGATACAGCGTCACATTTTATGCTTATTTGGCTGAAGTCGCAACTAGATCCACAAATAGGGAAATATTCCTGAATCGTTTGGATTTTGGCTTCGAGTTTTCTTCGGAATTGTGCCATGAATTGTGCATTACATGAGCTGGCTGAATAGGTTACTCGGTTTGACGTTGTTGTTGTTGCAGATGCAGTTGCTGTTTAAGAAGGACAATTCAAATAATATCAACGAGTAAGCAAAATTTTCTAAAAAGTCATAAAGCAGATCAAAGATCAGAAGGCACATTAGTGTTGTAATTCACCTATTTTCCAGGGATATCAACTACGGTCTTTTCAATATTAAGTGTAAGCTTTAGCTACGGACTTCAGCAATAAAGGTAGCGAGATATATCCATATATTCATTGTCCTTCCCAGATAGTTGGAAAATAGCCCGCGTGACCCTTGTTTTCAAAGGAGGCAAGCCCGATGACCGATCTAATTACAGTCCTATTTCTGTTCTACCGGTCGCGTCAAGGCTCTTGGAAAACTTATATAAGATCAGTTATTCCAGTTTTTAAATAAGCACAAGTATCTAGTTTCTCACAAATCAGGATTTCGTTCTCTGCATTCGGTTGTAACATGTCTGCTAAAAAGAACCAGTGATTGGTACATCGACAAAGACAACGGGAGGTTTACTGCGATGATCTTCATAGATCTCAAGCATGCATTTGACACGGTTAATCATCTAATACTCTTAGATAATTGTAATTTTATGAGATTACTGGACAAGCACACAAACGGTTCAGTTCGTATCTTGATAATCGGAAGCAGTACTGTAGAGTCAATTGCTCAACTTCCAGCATCGAAAATATTGGTATCGGAGTGCCACAGAGATCGTGCCTAGAACCTCATCTTTCTCTTCTATACATAAATGACTTGCCGTTTGCTCTTAAAAAGGCTAAGGCAACAATGTATGCCGACGAGACAGCAATCTCGTTTTCTTCTGATACAAGTGATAAACTGGATCTAGAAGTCAGCGAGGAGCTTTCACACATTTAAAATAGCTACAGGGCAATAAGCTTACCCTTAATGGTGTCAAAACCCAAGCTTTGATAATTGGCTCTAAGCCAAAAATTAAAAAGCTAAAGAATAACCTTAGCACACTTCCTTCTTTTAGGGTAGGGGGCGATGTAATCGACCTATTAAACGAAACAAAATATCTCGGAGTCGTGATTGATAATTGCCTTACTTGGGAAAGTTACATTAGAAGAAGATCTCTAGAGCAATTGTTCTATTGAAGTATGCGCGAAATTTTGTTCAAACTGGCACTTTGATAAGTTTATACAGAAGCATCATAGAGCCAAATTTCAGCTACTGTTGCTCCGTCTGGGGCTCTTGTGGTGTTTCAAAGCTAGAGATGCTTCAAAAAATTACAGAATGAAGCCGCCAGAATATTAAAAATAGCCCTTTTGATGCATCTGCAGCTCCTTTGCCCCAGAGACTTGGTTGGCCATCCGCACAAAAGCTGATAAATAAAGAAACAGGTTCTATGGTTTACAAATCTATGAACTCTCTTGCACCTATATATCTCAGTGACCTAGTCGTGAGATTTTCTGGGGTACATCCAAAAAGCTCTAAAATAGACCATGCAATACCCGTGTTGAAAACTGGGAATGGCCAGAAATCCTTTGCGTATCGTTGGGTCACTCACTCTCGATTTGGACACAAAAATGCCTCCCTCGATCAATGCCTTCAGGTCCAAACTCAAGGAAAAATAATCCTTTTTATATATTGAGGTGTATTAATGAAAATTTATACATCTTTGATTTAGCCATATTCCGCTCTTGTAAATTCATTGTAAATTTTATAGCATATAACTTTTTAATTTTGTAAGTAGTTTTTGCAGGGCCAATTGTAAAACAGTATTTAGACTGATTTGTACTCAATGAAATGAAAAAAAGGATTACAGTGGAATTTCTGCGCAAGGACGAGCGGGATTTCTAGTGAATTTGAGTTTGCCCGCACCCTTATATTAGTTGTTTAACGACAGGATTCCTGAAAGAAATTGAAGATACTCACCTGCGCAGGCAGGTAGTAAATTCTGAGGGTTATCTGGGTATGACGGTGGGCCATGACTCCATGTTCCACTTTGCCCACAAGTATAGTATGGCGGGTAACGCACTGCAAATGCGTGGCTCGGATGACATTTTGCATCACAAAATTTTCCATAATCCCAGCTTCCACAAAATGCAACTCCGTTAAGCGGGGGATTTAAGAGTGGACAGTTGAAACCTGAAAGATAATTAAAATGAATTTTCAACTTATAGGGGCGTCGAAGGCACCCTAGCCAAATAGATAACAGGAAAGGACAATTTACATAAAAAACCCTACAATATTAAAGGCGGACATTGTATAAAAATCCACGATTAGTCAGTTCGAAGAGAAAAAGAATCTTTCAACATACCGCTTTTTTTCTTACTAACATTGATGCGCTTAACAACGATCGTCAAATACCATCCCAAGATACCACACTAAATCTAAATGATTTTTGTACATATCGTATATCAGGGGCGTACCGAGGTAGGGGGCGGAGTGCCTTTTTTAATCGACACAATGTATTTTGGAGGATGGTGTAAGCAGCTAAAGAATTTCAGGTAATTTTTTTCTGCAAGACAATTTCGTAGTAAACCCAAACAAGGCCTGCCTTGCAACGGCCTTTGGCCATCTTTTGTAAAAAGCTTATGGGTATTTTCCAGGATGCAATTTTTGGATGCATTTTCTGACCATCCCTAGAACGGCCTTCGCTGAACTCCTGCACGATCTTACCGCCCCCTCCCTACCCCAAACCTTCCTCAGTAGTGACGTTCCTGGCTATTATTGCTGTACAGTATGGTGATACAGCCGCTACAGCAATACTACAAAATACTGTTAGATTTTACAAAAATTAGCATTCTCTATTTGAAGTACTGGTAGATACTCTACAGCGTCTTGTTAGTAATTGACTACGCCTCTCCTCTCATTCGGAGGTCTTTCGGTACGCCACAGATTCGAAGATTAGAGTCCTAGGTATAGATCAGCGTGCTTTCGAACTCTTTTACTTTTCGGCATATTTCCGAAATTTTGATGTAAAATTTGAAGATGGCTAAATGAGGGGCACCATGATGACTCTTTGCCCGCAACGCCCACCCCCTCCCTGCGATCTCATCCCCAGCACGCCACTGACCAACATTATCATATAAAACAGCAACAAAACAACAGCAGCGACTATAACAACAACAACAACAGCACAACAAAGCAGCCAAGCAGTCAGACTTCTAAAATGAAGACGTCATAACATCTATTATAACAATTTTTGAATTTAAATCCCAGAATGATGGAATACTTTTTTTGGAATTTTAACCAGATAACATAAAAAAATTACCATGAAATACTTCAAATGGTGCAAAATCAGTCAAATGATTTATGAATTGGCTGAGATATGGCCAAATTTATACTGGCTCTTTCCCAACTTTAAAAACCGAGCCCAGATATGAGTGGTTCTTGATTCTTTAGCAGAGTGGTTCTTTAGCAAACTTCAAATTCTTGATTAGCAATATCTCAACCAATTTTAGACAAATTTGACTGATTTTGCATATTTGGAAGTACTTGGTGGGGATTTTTATGTTACATAGTTAAAATTCCAATATTCTAGAAATAGGATTTTGGTGACATCACGTTTTAAAACTCTATAAAAATAAAAGAAACAAAACGGCCTCCGAACAGTAAAATGTGTAATTGTCAACTGTGTAAACTTACGCATGACGTGAAGCTCAAACGTGCAGGATGCAGAGTTGCCAGAAGCATCGCTTGCAACGTAAGTAACAATGTAATCTCCCCAAGCCATGAAAGATCCGGAACGGTGAGAAGCTCTGATGGTAGCAACCACTTTATTGTCACTGAAAATAGGCTCTGTCCATGTGACAACGGATACTCTGTTTGGTGTTACCACTTGGGTTACATTTGGGCACCTGGAGATCTTTGGTGGCTCCTTGTCTAAAAAGACAAATTAAAATGTTTATCTAGGGAATAAGAAGTTAAGCCTATTTTCATCTTTGCACCCGAGAAGACTAGACAGCATGATAGAAGCATGAGACCGTGATTTTCTAACTATCAATGAAATTCTAAACAAAGATTTTAAAACAGAACCCAAATGAGTTATAATTCAGCATAATTTCAACTATCGTCATCAAACGGCTTAAAATTTGTGTCGAAGCAAATCAAATTACTTGATTTTTCAACTTTAGTCAGGAATGTAGAGTCGGAAAATGAGCTCACGTTCAACTTTTTGGTAAAGTTTGCATGCTTAGTACTTTCTTATGTAAAATTTTGCGAGGATTCCGAAAATCAATATTGTAATTTCAAAAAATGTCATTTTGATGTTTTTCAAAATGAATGAAAATTGATGAAAATGTCAAAAAAATAATGTCATTTTGTACATTTACTGGTTTTTGGCAAAGTGTATAGAATATTTAGGCAATTCTTATGAATTTAGGCCGAAATAGGCTGAATTACACAAAGAATTATTTGATAATCAATGTTGGAACTTCAAAAAATGTCATCTCCGTGCCATTATGATGTCATAATGATGTCATTTTGCACATTTTCTGGATTTTGGAAAATTGTTTGTTCAAGAAGGTTAAAGGGTGGCGTAAGCATTTGGGTATCAATGAAAAAGCTAAATTTACACCTAGCATGCAATGTAAACAAGAAGAAGTTAGAGAAAGTAGAGCATACCGCGATTGACTTAAAAAGCCCAAGAGAGTTTTTCAGCAGGTAAATGATAGTTAATAAAAAATTGAAAATTGCAAATGATATAATTTTGTCGCTATGTTTAAAGATATGATAGCTAAGCTAATATTTCTGTTTTCGGTCTTTCATGTGCAATCATGGCAAGTTCAAGCAGGAATGTCGACATGAAGACTATAATAGGAGTTTTCGAGCTAGATGTTGTCCCGCGTAGCTTGATGAACTCTGGAGGAATCCTACATCCAGGTCATGGGGGAAAGTCTAAACTTGTTGAACTGCTAACATATAACTACTCATAAGAATATCTTGTCTCGCAACAAAGCAATAGCGGCAAGAAGATAGCAATAATTGACGCAATGGTTTTAGTTCAAAAGGTTGTCACCACCAGTCGAACATGCAAATCATTGAAGATAAGCACGTGCCAGGGATTCTCGGAGGCCTTCATTCACCGTTTAATGCAACTTGCGTACAATCGCATGAAGAAAGAGTTGTTTTCGATTTCTACGACGAACGGTCATTGAAAAATGCCACAACAGCCAGGCGAGGGAAGATGGAAAGCAATCTACGTTTCATTGTAAAAGATAAAACACCTATAAAAATGTCATTAGATCGCTTTGTCAATGATGTGAAAGTGAAACAGGATTTGTCAATATACCTAGCAGGTAATGTGCCTCTAAGTGAGTTCAACCAGTTCTATTTACTATTTTCAAGCGATTTTATGTTCAATGCAATGATAACAATCCAATTTTTGTTTGCAGGAAAATGCTGGGAGTATTCAAAGGCATCCAACATAAGATATCTTATGTATGCAAATCATGTTACAGAAGGAAACATAAGCTGTGAACCCATCAACAACCATGAAGAGGCACCCTGATGGTTTGGCATAGCATCTACGCCAGCCTAGATGAAAATGAAAATGACACCATGATGTTACCTTTCAAACCAAGTATGATAAAGCACGTTTACATGGATTGATCATCACTTCATAAAAAAGAGTCGATGTACAACAACCTTGGCTCATTGAAATCAGAGGCACTTCTGTCACTGCATGCACTATCAGGCTGTGATACTATAGGAAGGTCCTTTGGTAAAGGTAAGCTACAGTGGTAGAATTGCTTTCGAGAAGTTAATGATGATATCGTAAAAACAATAGAAAGCATTCAAAGAGCCAGCCCCTTGCAAAAAATTGACATCCTTCAGATCTTTATCTGCAAGCTTTTTTGCCCTAAAGCTCTGCAGATAAAGACTGTCTGAACCCAAGGTGGTATCTATTCACATGGTCATCGGCACAGGCCGAGAAGCTATGTCCAACAATCGGTGCATTCAAGCAAGCAGTTCTTCGTGCACACTGTCAAGCACGAGCATGGCTTATGAGTGACCGAAGTGTCGGTGACTTGCCAGATCCACTTGTCAATGGCTGGGAGCTAGCTGAAGGAAGCTATGTTGCATACACAACTAAAGAAACAATAGCACCACAGGCTATACTTAGTCTAGTCAAATGTGGCTGCAGCAAATCTCATTGTCAAAACAATTCATGCAAATGCTTTAAAGCAAATCTTGTGTGCACAGAACTCTGCAAATGTGCAGATGCTTGCGAGAACATGGACTGCCAAAGGAACAAGGACAAGAAACACGAGGAAGAGAATGAAGAATTTTTGAAGACTTTATTTTGTAAACATCGTAACGTCATAACTTCCGCTAGTTGACATTTGTAATTGTAGTTGGAATTATATTCGTTGCAAAATTGTTCACAAGAAAACGTCAGCTTTGCAAAAGGATTCCAGGTTCCTCATTTTAGCTCGCATAATATGCAGAATAACGTCATTATGACGTCAAAATGAGAATGAGATGAAATTTTTGAAGTTGCGACATTGATTATCAAATTCTCTGTGCAATTTTGCCTATTTTGGCCTAAATTCACAAGAATTGCCAAGACATTCTAGACACTTTACCAAAAAAGCAGTAAATATGCAAAATGACATCATTATGATGTCATAATGACACGAAAATGACATTTTTCGAAATTACAACACTGATTTTCAAAATCCTCGTAAAATTTTACATTAGACAATACTAATTAGGCAAAAGTTACCAAAAAGTTGAACGGGATGACAATACAATCCTGACTTCTTTGGAAATTGGTGCATTCTCGGCCATGTGTGAAGAGATTACCCAAGTTTCGTTATCGTTTCGTTATTGTAGGTAGGTTACCCCCCCCCCTCCCCGTCTATTAAAGTAGCACGTGTAATTAGGTCAGTGAAATTATGGAGAAAGAGACATTTTAGAAAGAGATTTTATATATTCGTTTTAAGATAAATTTGAATATGAATTGGTTGGATTTATTGGTTAAAGATATTCGTTATTTGTTGTGATTATTTGTCAACTTCACCACATATTTTTGGCGGCCCTACCAGGACAGGACACGACAAGAAGACGGGAGGAATTGGATAGGCCTGTAAGATGTGCACATGATACTGTAATTCCTTTAGAGCTGCGTAATCTTGAAAATGCACATGTAAGGAAAGTCTCTCTACCTGAGGACAAAACTGTACCACCCCATCATGAGTTATTAATACATGGAGTGATTCAAACCCTGTTTCCTACTGAAGCAGTTTTGGAACCAGCCCAAAATATGATGGAAAAAGGTGTTTTGATTGCTAGAGTAATCGTTTCTCCAGTTATTAGCCAAATACCTGTGCAAATAATGAACCCTGGATTTAGCCCCAGTTAAACTGTACAATGGGACAAACTTCGGTACATTAATGAAATCGAGCCTGAGTATATCGATTGTCCAGTAGAAACAATAAAGGTTGATAGCGGTAGTTCAACCACGCCCACAAACATTGGAGAACTTTCGCCAGAGCAACGTAACAAAATTGACAAACTTTTGCAACAGTACAAAGACATTTTCTCTAAAAGCGTACTTGATCTTGGTCAGACAAATGTAGTTGAACACAAAATCGAAACAGGTAATGCGCTACCAATTAAACAATCACCTAGAAGACTACCTGTTTCATTACGACCTGTTGTTGACAAACAAAATAATGACATGCTTTCTGCTGGTGTTATAACAGAAAGTGATTCTCCCTGGTCAAGTCCTATTGTACTTGTAAAGAAAAAGTCTGGAGACTGGCGGTTCTGTGTTGACTTTCGCCGTCTTAACGATACAACGACAAAAGACGCTTACCATCTACCACGAGTGGAAGACAAGATAGATGACCTTGCAGGACACCAATACTTTAGCACATTAGATTTACCTAGTGGGTATTTGCAAGTTAAGGTTGAGCAACACAGTAAGCCTAAAACTGATTTTCTGTAGCGTCAGGCGGACATTACCAGATTGAAAACATGCTATTTGCCCTGTCTAATGTGGTTGCAACATTTCAGTGACATATGTCACAGTTGTTTAGAGAAGCCATTGGTAAACGTGCTAGGGCATACATTGACGATATTCTGATATATGGGAAGGATTCGAGGAGCATTTACAGGAGTTGGAAGAAGTTTTCCAAATAATGCGTAAAGCCGGATTAAAACTAAAGGGTGAAACGTTTTATAGCTGCTCACTCAGTCAAGTATCTCGGTTTTGTCATCTCAAATAAAGGAATTGAAGTGGACCCAAAGAAGAATCAGACTAATAGCGCCCTGCCACCACCTACAAATATTCATGAGCTACGTCGTTTTATTGGCATGATAGGATACTACCGAAACACATTCCAAACGCTAGTGCGCTGCTCCACTCGTTGAATAAACTGTTGCAGAAAGATGTAAAAATGGCAATGGACACCCGAATGCCAAGATTCCTTCGATCTCCTGAAGAAATCGCTTACTTCGCCACTTGTTCTATGCTACCCTGAAATTAACCGTGATTTTATTGTTTATTGCGATGCAAGTGACAATGGTACTGGTGCTACCCTGTAACAAGATAAGGACGATGGCACAGAATGTATAATTGCTTACGCATCAAAATGCTTTAAGGAAATTTAATGCAGCATGTGAATACATTGAACTTTACGATGAACTCTTCTGTAGAGAATGGATTGATGATAATTAGCTGTTTATTAGCTATCATTTTGTAAACCAACATTAAATAAAGTGAAAAAAGTTAGGGGTCTTGATAAATATCAAATTGTTGCTCTAGTTAGCTTACGATTAGAAATTATGTCACACAATGACGTAGGCCACCTCGGTATAAAGAAAACGTTTGCTCGCGTCCAGGAAGAAATTTATTGGCAACGCTTCTATCAACATGTTTAAATATTCTGTAAAAACTGTATTACTTGTCAGAAGAATAAAGTCATTCCTAACTCTCAATGGGCTATGAAACCAATCGAAGTAGTACCAATTTCATTTAATATGGTTGCCAAGGACATAATAGGTCCACTGAAAATTACTGCTAAAGGTAATCGATACATTCTCAACATTGTTGACTACTTTACGAAAATGTTAAGGCCTTTGCTATTCTTGATAAGAAAACTAAGACAGTCAGCGCTTGTTTCGAAGATTTATGCTCGCGACATGGTTCTCCATCAATTGTGCTCACTGATCAGGGCGCTAATTTTACTCCGCATCTATTTAACGGCGTCTGCAATCACTTCGGACATCGCAAAACTACAGCGTATCAACCTAAGTGTGATGGATTAACAGAACGTTCCAACGCAACACTTAAGTTTCTTCTTCGTAACTTGTCTCAACTGGCGTCTTGCCATTTCAACTTCTGTATGGGAGACCTCCCAGACTGCTTTCTTCGGTTGAGAAACAGGCCAACTTTCAAGACTGGACTTATGATGATAGTGCGTTATATTTATATCGACAGAAACTGATTCTAAGATAACCGCTGCTAAAAATGATAAATGGCCAAAAGGTATTTTCTTATTGCGGTCCAAAACTGTGGAACAGTCTAGAAAGAGCTACTAAATTGGCCCCCTCCCTGAAAACCTTCAAAGAACAGCTATAATCGGGGACAACTTTTATTTCATCTTTACGTTCTCTTTTTATAGCCTTAGTTTTGTATAATATTGTAAATTAGGTTATGTTAGTAAATTTCTTTTGTTATTAGTATTAGTGCTTTTTTAGTCTTTTAAACAGGTCAGGTTGAAAAAAAAGATATGTATGAACCTTTAACCTGTATAAAAATTATAAAATGAAAACATATTACAAATGACTTAGAGATCGTTTAGCAACACTTAAAAACGTAGCCTTGCCAAATATTGAAGAGAGCCAACAGAAACAGAAGAAAGAATATGACTTGAGAAACCGATAGCAGTGACGATTTGAGTAAGGAGACTTTGTATTAGTTCGCAATAATAGAGCACGTGGATTCGACTCTAAACTTACTGGTCCTTATCAAGTCATAAAACGTTTTGACTCCGATTATTGCTTAAGAAACCAATATACAGGCAAAGAAACTGTCGTTCATTTCAACCGTTTAGAATCGTGTGACTTGCCTGGACCGACTCGCTTATGAGATTTTCAAATGACGACTCCGATGATGATGACTTTATTACATTACAAACTCGAATTGATCCGAACATTCAGCCAGTAAATTATGATCGCCGACTTAACAGAGAGGAAGCTGAACAGTCTGCTGTTCAACATCGCCGCAGTCAATGAAGTCCCGGACTTCTTAATGTTTTCTTCTTTTTTGGACTTGGATTTTCCCGCTAGCTTATAACAATATCGTTCCTTTCTTTAGTTGTTCTATTCGTACATAAGATTATCCAAAGGGGAGGGGAATGTGAAGAAGTTAAAGCCGTTTCGTTATCGTTTCCTCGTTGTAAACAAGCAAGCGAAAAAAGCTCATTTTTCGCTTGCTTGTTTACTCATTTTTCGCTGTAAGAATCATTTTTCGCTTCGTTTGACCTTTAAGAACTATTTGAGGCTGCTTAAAACCAACGGATTCTGCCGATTTCAAGAGTTACCTGTTCAATCGATTTCGTACAAAATATGTTAAACTAACCAATTTCAGTCTCACAGAACTGTCCTGTGAAAGATGGCGGACACGTGTTGCTACCACATGTTGCTGGCTCCATGATCGTAACATTGGGTCCTTTAAATTCATTGAGGTGAATCCACGAACGCAAAGTATCTGCAATTAGAGTGGAAAGCACATCGAAAAACTTCATCAGGGCACCAAGGGGATGAGTACAAACATTAAAATTGAAAAATGTCACCTATTCAAGATACCAATCATAAATGAAGTACTCAAAATGAAGTATCCAAAGAAACATTTAAATGAGATTCAATTTGTATTCTGAGTGCACGGTAAAGTAGAACATAATCTAAGGGAGACAGCATAGAAGAGAAAGGGAGAAGAGGATCGAAGAATATGGCTTTACGCAGAAAACAGCGGACAAAGTAATAAGTGAGATATTGTAAAGCAATGCAGCAGTAGCCTAACAGCATTATAGTATTAAACAAGGCTTTTAAACACCCTTTGACTTATTCAGCCATTGTCTAATAGATTACAGTAAAAGGAAAATTGAAAAAGCACCCCATCGTTATATGAGAACAAAAAGCAGATTGCAAGTTTCTATTTGTCTTGAACACTAACTTGAATAGCAAAATGGCATACCTGTGAGGTTTGTAGAACAGTTTGCTGTCAAGGCGGATCTTTCAGCAGAGCTCAGGACTCTGTTCCAAATGCCAACCTGGCCAATTTCACCCGCAAAGGAGTTGCTTAGAACTGACCCCATGTTCGATATTTCCTGACCGAGTATTAGCATGCCTTTTGGGTCAAATAGTTTTCTATTTTTCATGCTAATCTCAATCGAGTTAAAAACAACCCTGAAATAAAAAAATGTTTTACAACTAAGGCATGTAAACCAAAATTGCATTTTTTTTAAAAGAGCAGTGTTGATGGCTTATCCATCAGGAAATTCAAAAGAAAAGAAGATGTATGATAAACCTTAGGGCTGACATTTGAAAAGATAATACATCAGATCTATAATAATCTTCCGGCTTAAATAGGTTTAAAGCGATGTCAGTGTCAAATATATTTTTCCACTTTTCTTAGTTTGGTACAAGCTACACTTACTCTGTATCCTTGTAGACTTGCACGCTTCCACTTGTTGGTTCAATTGATACAATAACGTGGTGCCATAGACCGTCATTCAAAGGCTTTGTAAACGGATGAGTCACTCGACTGCCATTCGATGGAGTAAATCGTACGAATCTATCTTGGATTTCAAGCAAAATATCATGATATGATGTGTTGACCATGTTTGTTAGCATTAAGAATGTGCCAGCCGAGGTCTTTCCAAGGAAACGCACCCAACTTGCTACTGTAACGGCCGGTACACTGCTGAAGTTCATGTAACTCAAATACGAGCCACTTCCGGCATGAAAACGAAGGTCAAACCTCGCTGATTTCGCTGTGATAAATACAATGAGTAGCAGTAAGTATCAGTAAAACGCACTAAAACGAGAAATATTCATTGCTGAGCCTCAAAATGACCCACTGCTGAACATGCATAAGAATTGACGATTGGGAAGAAAATTCTCACATTTCATCACATGAGCACAATAACAACAGCAGTAACAACAGAAGCAACAACAACAACAACAACAGCAACAACAATAACAACAACAACAACAGCAGCAGCAACAATATACTCTATAAAAGAAATAAAAGATGGATTACCTTTCTGGCATCTTTGCCCAGTATGTGTAATTGGGCATTGGCATCGGAAGGAGTTGATGCCATCTAAGCAGACACCACCATTGAGGCATGGGAGAGAGCCATTACGTACAATGCAGTCATCAATATTGATTTCACAATTCGAACCAGAAAAGCCTAGCGTGCAGTTACAAGTGTATGCTGCAACCTGTGGAGATATGAAAATAGCTTTTTAGTGAGATCTCTGACTGTTGTAGGCTTGAAGCTGATTGGAAACCGGGACTTTCTTTCAAAATAGTGTGCATGGCAATAATGAAATCGGAACTTCAGTTTTGTTGATCATGAAATTCAAAAATTTCTTACGATTTCTTACCATTACTTATCAACACTATAAAGAGCAGTTCTTCTTTGTAATACTATATATGTTCAATGGAAAATTACTATAATTTATACCAGGTCAACGCAAGTTCCTCCATTCTGGCATGGACTCGACGCACACTCATTAATCTCGGTTCCGCAAGTGTCACCGATATATCCATCGGTACAATTACACTGGAACGAGGCTGAATCTTTTACGTTCATGCATGTACTGTTGTACAAACAGGGATTTGGCGTGCAGTAGTCTATCTCAATCTCGCATGATAGTCCTCTGTAAGAGATAAAGCATTCAATCTGACGACAATTGCTAAGAAGTAGTAACGGTACAGCACTATTAACTCCCAGCTGAAAGCAGCAATTACATAAATCAACTTGACGCTAAATTTTTACAAACAAAAACTTCAGCCAAAGCAGGTAAAATGAAATAAATTTTATGTTAAACGCTCTCACGTAACAAAGCATTTGCAAATGGAATGTTATCGGCAGGCCAGTAGCTACAGCATAAAAAAAGGATTCGACAGCTAGAATATTACCTCTCTTTGTTATTGGCCGGCTGAATACCTGATATGAAATGCTCAAAAGCAGAGGCGTTGTGGCTCCTAGAAAAGGGCCGGGAGAAAATGATCATAAGGGGGCCCGCTTTTCATCTCCAATTACAAACCACAGGTCGCCTAAAATGGTATGTACCTGGAAACCATGCACCAAAGAAAAATTAAAAAGACGCCAGTTTTTGTCATCTCTACAAGCTCGTCACTATCTTTATTTGGGGTGTATCCCCTTTTCTCTAACCATAGTCCCTTTAAGCAGATATGGCAAAAAAACACTTACATGCACTGGGAGCGAAGCGAGCAGAAAGGTTTTATGGCCATGCCCTTTAAATTAGTTTGAAATAAATTTCAGAATGTTTTTTGCAGTCGTTTGCCAAGTTTTACAATTTTTTAGGCATAATTTTTTTGCGTTCCTTGCTTTAAGAGGCCCTGGACCTGGAGGCGCTGCGGCAGTTTGCCCTACTTGTCCCCCTCTTGGCGGTCCTGTTCATATTCCATGCATCTCTTTCGCAGGGGCCTGTTTGTATATGTTGACCTCCTCTTATTCTGAACTGTAAACTTGTTTCTACGTGTAAGTGAGGTGTTTTCTCACCAAGGATTTTATTCATATTAGATATTTTTCGGGGTTTTACAAACTCACTTAAAAGGAGCCCACCGGGAAATTTCCCTGTGTCCCGCCTAGCCACAACGCCACTGATCTAAAGATAATTCTTGGTGCAAGCAGCAATTACGAGTTCTTAAGGATCTATTTCTAAGTAAAATGCTTTAGTTCATTTACTTTTGATATTAACACAATACCTACCTATACCCTGGTTTGCAGTTACAGTAAACTCCATTGCTCAGGTCTGTGCAGTTGTAAGCATTTCCACGGCATGAATCAGGGCTACATTCATTGATGTCAGTCTCACAGTTTACACCAGTATATCCTGGGACACATGTGCAGTTATAGCCATTAACGAAATCCGTACAATTCCCAGAATTCTGACACGGAAGTGACGCGCAGTCGTCGATATTATGATCGCAATCTTTCCCAGTTAAACCAGCCATACAATCACATCTATCAAATATATTGAATACCAATGACCAATTAGCATATCTCAGCAAAAAAAAATAGCTTGAAGAATAAGCTGTATACGAATAAAAAACGACAAAAATATATGAAGGAAAAATAAAACTAGACTTTCTCTTATGAGGCAACAATAAGGTTCGACAAACAGGAGACTAAACCACACTATCACTTGCGCTGGTCTTGGAAAAATTGATAGCTTTTACTATTGAGTAATAAATGAGGAAAAAACTCTGCTGTTTTGAACATCGTTTAGGTGCTGAAGTAGAAATGAAGGTGCCATTATTAAGAAACTAGCTTTTAATAACGGTACGATTTCAGTGCATTTACCTGTAGTCAGCAACTAAATCTACGCAGTCACTGCGGACACAGGGATTTGGAACGCATTCATTTGTCTCATTTTCACAATGATCGCCGTAGAATCCAGGACGACAAGTACAATTGTATGAATTCACCTGGAGAATGAGAGAAATCGTTTCATTAATAAGATGCCAAGATACAATTGATTGCAGAGCTTAAAAGTGACCTACGATGTTACAGCCAAAATAAGATTGCTTTGTTGCTGATTTATAACTGAAACTGCATTTGGGACAGAAGCAAGAGCCAGCGCTAAATGTACAGTGTTTTCCTCGTCTATTCTAACATTAATGAGCAATCTAAGTCACAACAGAATAAAATTTAAGAGCTTGTAGACTGCCATCCATAAAGTGTCACGAATGACAACGTAATGTTACCCCATTCATTACATTGTAGTTGTCAGTGCGAACGGGAATCTTACAAAGTTTGTCAGATTTAAAGATGTTCCCTTAATTACCGTCAGATTATCAACTTTGTCAAACTTATGTCAAAACATAGTGCGAACGGGCCCAAGTATAGGGTACATAGCTAATCAACAGTGCTTATGATTGATGATGAAGAATGATTGTTTTAATGCCAATTAATGATTGATTCGAAAATAATAATGATTCCTGATGATTGATTTGATGATGGTGATTGACACTGATTATCACATTACATGATATATAACAATCATACACGATACGAAAGCAACGAACCTGGTCAACACAAGTAGCGTTATTTCTGCAAGGACTTGAGGCGCATTCATCGATATCAATTTCACATCTTTTTCCAGTATATCCAGCCAAACAAGTGCATTCAAAGCTATTAACTTGATCTGTACAGGATCCACCGTTTTTACAAGGTGTTGTGGCACACCCATCGATGTAAATTGAACAATTCTTCCCGGTATACCCTGAAGAAAAACAAAACATTTTTTCTTTCGATTTCTATCTCGATGTTGAAATCTTGGCCAGCAATTCTAAATCGAAACATTCCTACAAGTACGGGTAGTAGGAGCAGGGGCAGCTGATAGTGGGGGCGCTGAAAAATTTTCAAAATTATTGACGAGAGTATGCTGTATACAACGATTTCAGATCTATTTTCGGAATAAATTTTATCCTTTATACCCTTAATCTTATGCGATTAGGAGCACATGTGGATGTAGAAATAAAAGACTGATAGTAAAAATTAAGGATTGATGATAAAAAGAATTGAAAATTGCTTGTTTTGGACGTTGAAGTAATTGTAAGTAACTAGTTAGAGTAACTAAATAGTAAGAAGTAACTAGGACACTAATTGGCACAAACAGAATTCAAAGTAAAAACGATATAAAAAGCTTCCTATATATCAATTTTGACTAAAAAGCCTAAAAGATCACAAACAAATACCTCTTACTTTGAAAAATCAGTAATACAAAAACACTATCTACCATAAACAACTTTCAGGATGAAATTTTATCCAGAAAGTCAAAGAAACGAAAAAAAGGATCTTTCACAAACCTGCCTGGCAGATACATTGATAGCCATTAACTTTGTCCAAACAAGTTCCATTATTGGTGCATGGTTCACCCAAGCACTCATTGATATCCACTTCACAGATTTTGCCTGCAAACCCGGGTTGGCAATCACACTTAAAATTGTTCACCTGATCAATACATGTTGCATTGTTTCGGCAAGGCTTCGACAAACACTCATCAGTCTCATTTTCACAGTTTACTCCTAAGAAATGATACCTCTGTTAATTTTATATTTCAATTCGCTTTTTCTAAATTGTTTGATTGAAAAAATGAGCTTAGTGCACAGGTTACTTAATCTGGCATTGCTAGGGTAGGATAATTTATCTCTTTTGTAGAATTAAAAGGGGAAGCTGAAGTAATTAAAAATGAAGCATCGTCGAATTCCTCAAAGTAACCATACCATAATAGCCAGACGAACAGAGACATAAATAACGGTTCACTAAGTTGAGACAAGTCGCTCCGTTTTGACATGGACTAGAAGCACACTCGTTGATCTCTGTTTGGCAGAATTCCCCTGTCAGGCCAGGTTTGCAAATGCATGTCACCTGAAACGAGTTGAGAAACAAATCAGTATCATATGGTTACGTCCCACCTTTGAATTGCATACGCTGCATCAGGAAAAAGCATATTCGGAAATCCGGCCTAGATAGCTCTCTCTCTCTCAGTTTTAAATGGATGTCTTACACCTTTTTGAAATATTTTATTACCTATTGTGTGCTAGTTTATCGTTCTTTTGCTTTTGAGTTTAAAAATAAACTGTAAATTCAGGGCTGGTGAAACGTATTTGAAGGTAGAAGGGCCAAATTATAAAAGTTTTAAAAGGGTTAAGGAAAAATAATTTTTATAAATACGGCATCTTAGGATGGCCAGAAACCATAGCTTAAGGAGATTTTAACTGGAGGAAAATTGAGGCAATATTTTCAAGTTTTTATCAATATGCCCATGTTTTCGTCTTTTGAAATGCTTATATGATTAAGGCAGGACTTGCAAAGTTTTAGAATAACATTTTTAATGTAGCTTGAAATGAAACTTTTTTATAGATTACAAAAGAAACCATAATAGGATGGAGGAAAAAAATGAGACACAGTTAAACTTAATATTGAAAAATTTACACAAAAACTTTAACTTAGAAATAAAAAAAACGGTTTAAAGTTGGAATATTATACTTTCTCTTTTCTTAAATTTTTCGGGAATAAAGTGCTTTAGCAAAAAAGCTTTCATACTGTGCAGTTCAAAACGAGCTGTAATAGAATATATAATTACATCTAGATTTATAATTACATCTAGATTTTCTCTTCCTTAGCAGAAATGGCTCATTTGTACAGTCAAACTTTGAAGCATTCTTGCTGACATTACTTTGAAAGAAAATATCTGCTGATTATATATTTTTCATATTCTCAAAAATTTTCTCGCTAGCAGGTTTTCTCTGTAACAACTGATTTCTCTCTTATTGTAAAAATTTGGAGAAACTTCCGTTAACAAATAGACCTTAAAAGCAAAAGATTAGGCCATAGAAAAAACAAAACCCCATCCTTTTGTACTGGCACTAAGTTTTTTTATTTTAGCCAAGTAGTTCATCGTTGAACAACTTAGACAATGTTCGATTTTATATATATCTTCCATGGTAAAGACATAGTAACCAAATTAGAGGTAAGAACATATTTGAAGGAGAAATACTAGGCACAGTTACAGACAGAATGGTAGACTACAATTCTTTCCACTTTTGCGTAAAAAATGTAATTATCGTCTGCAGAAAAGTTGGGCGACCATGGCCCCCGGTCACCCCCGGTTCCGTTGGCCCGGCAATTACGGTTTCAGATTGTTGCTCTCTCTAGAGATGCAAACATCACGGAGAAGAAGGGTGAGGGAAGTGAATCTTGAGTTTAAACGAAGGCTGTGAGGTCTCAAGATAGAATCTGAACGGAAATTTTTAGGTTTATAGATGGGAAGGTCTATAGGTTGGAAAGTATATTAAATGATCCATATTTTCAAAAGGGTCGTTAGTTTGAAAAGACACAAAGGTATAGCAATCTGTTTTCTGGAACATACCGAATTTTCGCCATCAACGCAGGTACCCCCGTGCATACAAGGCTGACTTTCACATTCGTTAATGTCAATCTCGCATCGCAATCCTGTATATCCAGGAGGGCACGTACAGGTATACGAGTTCACTAAATCGGTGCAGTTGCCCCCATTCTGACATGGCGCTGAAGCACATTCATCGACCTCGATCTTGCAGTCTTTGCCAGTGTAACCATCTGCACACTTACATGAGTAAGCAAATTCACCACGAATGCACGTGCCGTTGTTCTGACAGGGCGAAGCGTAGCAAGAATCGTTGGCTGCAAGAGTTCACAAAGTACGAAGTAAATTGAAGGTACGTGAATGGATAATGAAATTGGATAAATTGATAAATAGCAGAGAAGACAGGCAGGTTAAAGAGTTCCAAGATTCTATAGTTAAGTTCATGATCACATGTTGATCACTCTATGATCACAGAATAAAGATCAATTATTTTCAATTTTTCTAATTCTGAGGGCATTAATACCAATGCAGTACAAAGGAAACGAGGACAGCAATTGTTGCCCCACTCAAGACTTGAAGACCTTTCTGAAAACTTCTAAATCCTAGAAAAGGGTTGTTATCGGGGACACCAGAGAGGGTGGTGTAGTGGCAACCGCCCCTGTTGCCATTTGATAGGACGAGCAAAGGGGGCAAATTGCCCTTTTCATAGAAGTACTCTTCACTTCGGCCGTTTGTAAGTATCAAAAGATTCATATGAAATTCTAACTGTACTGCCTTATTTATGATGACATTTCTCAAAACTTGTAAAGAAATTTCTTACGCAAAAAGTAAGCCGATTTTCAAGATAATAGTCTGCACACAGGCTACGAGATACTTAGAGAAGATAGAAATATAATGGCAGCTACGCAAGAAGTATTTTTAGCTGGAAAATATTTTTTAACTGCCTTTTTATTCGCGCTTAACCTCTTAGCCAGCAGACGAGTCGGCTGATGCAAAGCCACTTACCTGGACATTCTGAGACTGAAGCTGCGCCTGTTTTGCCGCCAAATGCTCCTCCGCCGGGACAGAGATAACAGACCACTCGGCCAGTGTTGGGTTGGTAAGTGCCAATGGGACATTGCGTGCAAGGGCTGTATCCATCCCTTGAGAAGTTACCCGCAGCGCAAGGATCTAACAGATAGAGCATAATAGTCTCAACAAAAGCACTAATAATAATAATAATGGAACCTTTTCATTTTGAATTCCAGTTAAAAAAATAAATACAAATCTCACTATTACAAGGTAATTTGTAACTGGCTAGCCTGTTTTTACAAAATAAAACTATTACAGTCGTGGTAATGAAAAAAGAAAAAAAAAAGTTAAAAGGGGAGTAGCTCTGGGTAAGTCCATGTTTTGTTCCTACAGCAAAATATGTAATAGGTGGTACGAATGGATATCGTAGAAAGCTTAGAAATAAGATATCGTTTGTGTTGATCATCGATGGAAAGAGAGTCACACATTTCAAGGAATGAGCTGCATGAGTCGCTGAAGATGCCAAGAGAGCTGATGGAGAGATTTACAAATATGACAAATTTAAACCTTGGCCTTAGATCTGAGATAAGGCGAGCATATTTTAAACGTTTCCTTTCTGCATTGCAGTTAAGGTTAGTTTCAAATCCTATCGTTAGTTCCAAAACATAAAGAATGTTTTCCTTTGTACGCAGAAGTAGATCTGGGCGCAGATTGTCTCCAGTTATGATGGATGGTGAGGAAAAGCCAGGTATATCGGCAAAAAGAGAGGATCCCTCTATTGCTTTCAAGGAGGTTGCAAGAAAATTTATAGCAGAATTATGACGCCAGGTATAACGACCTTGTTCGAGATAAACTTTGCAGCCTGCAACGACATGGAGTAAAGTTTCGAGAAGAAGGCAGAATTCGCAATCAGATGATTGGCTTAGGTTCCAAAGACTTAGATTTTTGCGCGTAGGGAGAGTATTGTTCAGATATTTGATGGTGAAGTTGAAGATGTTCGTAGGTAGATTCCTCTGCACAGTAGATCAAAGACTATTGAGCTTTTTAAGATAGTGGTCCAGAAGAATTGAAATAATAGCACCCTGGGATAGTAATTGGTGTGCCAAGCGCTCTCTACTGTCTGATTTTACTGTAAAGAACTTTAAAGTAAAGAAAATAACAAGCGATGGCGTAGCCAGGGATGGAAGATCAGTGGGGCAAAGAGGAGAAACTTTTTGGTGACCAGACCCCTAGAAATTTGGAAAAAAGTGGGCATTTTCACGTGGCAATTTTCCGTTATAAAACTTCATATGTAGCGTTTTGTGGCTGACCATATTCTAAAAATGTCTATGTCCTTCACAATTCCATTAGAGTTTATATCCTGGATTGTGTAAGGCGAGAGAGCACTACGTGTAAAAGTGATTTTCAAAAGTTGTAATCAAATATCTAAAAATAATAAATAGTATTCAGAATTTTTCACCCAAGTCCGTTCTCATTGTAGCAGGATCCACGGCAAGCATTTTAGAATCAAATTTTTTTAGGATTGGACTACTTTAGCATTTTAGTTTCTATTTATCGGGAATTTCTCAAGAACTCCGTGTTATCTAATAATCATCTCGAGCCAGTTGTAGGACGTGTTTTTCATCGCTCAGCAAGTTCTTCTAAGATCAACGATACTTACCAAAGAGATCTATCGAGATGAGTTGTAGTGATGAACTAATCACACATGCAATCAATTATATCAGAGAAAAATTAAAGAAGAGACCAGACAAATTCGCCATCACAAGTTTTGTGAACTAGAGGCATGGCCTAAATCACACCGACGTGGCTGACACTGTAGATCAACTCGAAGCCAAGGGAATTATTTTCCGAAAGGTCAAGAAGAAGAGGCACTCATTCTTCATATCTGACTTGGTTGTGGATGAAAACTCTTCTATAATGGAGAACGAGACTCAAGACAGTAATGTCGAAAGGAAAGAAGAGGAGAAACAGCGGGAAAGTGTTTTTGCACCCCGCCATGACAGCCCTCCCTCGACCATCATGGACTTCATTCGTGCCGAGCTTGAACAAAGGGAGCTACGTCTCGCAAACAAGATCATGGCCAATCTGGAAGGAAAATATCTGGAAAAAGCAAATAATGAGAAAGTGCTTATTGAAAGGTTAGAAAGGGAGGTGGATTTTCTCAAATCAGAAATTCAAAAAAAGAACAATCTACTTTCAAGTTTGCTCACAAACATGGAAAATGGCAGGACTAACAATCGAAACGAAGACAAAGGTAGCGAATGCAAGATTAATGCAGGACCTTACACAGACAAAGGCAATGAATGGAGACAAATCATCCCCAAGAGAGCTGGAATCAGAAGAACAAGCAAGGAAAAGAGGCCATCTAGTGAATGCGACTGGCATGCAAGTTATGAGGATTTTCCACCGCTATCGAACAAATTTGACCTGCTGTCATCGTTGGAACTGAATGATACTGCTTCAGATCATTTTTATACAGTAAAGTCTCCAGTAAAGTCACAAGAATCTAATAAAGTTACGGCAAGGAACAAAAGAGTTATTCGCAAAGATTTGGAAAGAATGCCATCAAGGCAAAAGGATCTCCATCGTGTTATTGATCAAGACCAACAGCCAAAACGAGCCCAGGATTGTATTACTATCATCGGCGATTCCATGGTAAAAAATATTCAAGGATTCAAAATGAAGCAAGCAATCAAGAATGACCGAAATGTTTATGTTAAGTCATTCTCAGGAGCAACAGTGGATTGTATGAACAGTTACGTTTGCCCAACGATAAAAAAGAATCCGAAGACAATCATTCTTCACTGTGGTACGAACGATTTGAGAAGATCCCAACCTGCCTGCAACATCGCTAGAGATATCTTCGAATTAGCTAGAACATTGAAAACCAGGAGTAACTCGGTCATGATTTCAGGGTTGGTACCCCGGGGCGACTCGTTAAATGGAAAGGCCACTGAGGTAAACAAGTTGCTGAAGCAAATATGTATAAGCAAGAACTTGAAATTCATTGACAATTCGAATATAGATCCAAGCATACACCTTAACCGTAGCAGGCTACATCTAAATGACCGTGGAAACACGCTTTTAGCTAACAATTTTATTTATAATCTAGGATATTGACTAGAAATCGAGGGGGTAAAACCATACAAAGAGCTTCCCATCGGCATAGAACCTGGGAAGCCTGATCTATCCAGCGCCAGTATTTGTAACGCCCCAGCAGTTACTGCTGGAACTACTGCGCATGACCTACATGACACCACCGACGACAGTGATGCAAAATCAGCATTACATAATCTGCGTTTAAAGAACATAGGTCGTATGACTATTGGGTATCTAAATATAAATTCCATTAGAAATAAATTTGATGCAATAAAAGCGATAGTTTCACAGAATCTTGACATTCTAATGGTCGCCGAAACAAAAATTGATGATTCATTCCCAAAGGGACAATTCTATATTGAAGGTTATGCTGATCCACTACGGCTTGACAGAAATTGTGAGGGTGGCGGTCTGTTGGTCTATGTGAAAAGTGACATCACAATGAAGCAGTTAAAGTCATTTAAATTTGATCTTGACATTGAATGTATTTGTTTTGAAATCAATTTAAGGGGGAATAAGTGGGCTCTTTTCAGTGTTTACCGACCACCGTCCCAATCACAAGATCACTTTTTCGAAAATCTTGGCAAAGCAGTTTATCATCACAGCGAAAAATATGACAAATTTTTATTACTTGGGGATTTTAATACAGTAGAGACAGGTCAACAGATTCGTACTTTTATGAATAGCTATGACCTCAGAAATCTGGTGAAGGAGCCAACCTGTTTCAAGGCTGACAATCCACGGTGTATTGACCTAATCTTAACCAACAGATATAGGAGCTTCCAACATACCACCACTACCGAGACAGGTCTCTCTGACTTTCACAAAAGGATAGTCACAGTTTTGAAAACGACGTACCAAAAGGCTGGACCTACTGTTATTAACTATAGAGAATATAAGAAATTTTCGGAGCAGACTTTCAAACGAGAACTTGAGGAAGAGTTGGCTAGCATTAAAACAACTGATTTAGACAACAGTTCTTTTCAAAATTGCTTTGAGAAGGTACTTGATAAGCATGCACCGATGAAGAAAAAATACGCAAGGGCCAATGATGGTCCCTTCATGAATCGAGTTCTTCGTAAAGCTACTATGCTGCGCTCTAGGTTGAAAAATAGATATAATAAAAGCCGCACAGCTGAACATTGGGAAGCGTTTCGTCGACAGCGTAATTTGTGTGTCAAATTATTTAGAACGGAAAAAAGAAATTTCTATAAAAATTTGAATACTTCTGATATTACAGACAACAAGAAATTTTGGAAAACTGTAAAACCTGTCCTTTCCGATAAAAGTCGATCGAACTCAAATATTACCCTTATCGATAATAATAGGATGATTTCCAATGATAAGGAAGTTGCAGAAGCCATGAACGAGTATTTTATATCGATTACTGACTCATTAGGTCTGACAGGGAACAGGGAGGTTACCATAAGTACAAATGGTTTATCAGATCCTATAGAAAAGGCTATAATGAAATATTCAAAACACCCTAGCATTAGGAAAATTCGCAGTTTTGCTCGAATTAACGGCTACTTTAAATTCCAAGAGGTTACTGTGGAACAGATGCACTCTGAAATTGAGGGGCTTAATCCTAAAAAAGGCAACAACCTTTGGAAATATACCCGCGAGAGTGCTGAAAAATAGCTCTGACATTTGTTCCGAATCGTTGCAGCTTATTTTCAAAAATTGCATTCAAAATGGTGTCTTTCCTGACCTATTAAAACTAGCAGATGTCACTTCCCTCCACAAATCGGAGGAGAAAACCAATAAGAAAAATTACAGACCGGTTAGTGTATTACCAACTGTTTCAAAGGTTTTTGAGAGACTTATGGATAAACAGATTATTGATTATATGCAATCTTATTTATCGTCACTTTTATGTGGTTTTCGTAAAGGGTACAATGTGCAGCACGCATTAATTCGAATGCTTGAAAAATGGAAAGCAAGCTTAGACAGGGGAGAAAATGTTGGCGCAATCCTTATGATCTCTCGAAAGCCTTTGATTGTATTAAACATGACCTCCTTATAGCAAAACTAGATGCTTACGGATTCAGCCATGAAGC